CTAAGACATCAGCCAGGATAGAAAGATGGGTTTTACGCTTGCAGCCATATCAGTTTACAATTAAATATAAACCTGGCAAAGAGAACGCCAGGTTTATATAAGCCTGCGGACTACCTATCTCGCCATCCATCTGCTAAAACATCAAAAGAAACAGAGTTCACTGAGGAATACATAAAGTTCGTAACTTCTAATGCAGTTCCTAAGACAATGAGTCTGCATGAGATTGGTAAAGAAACCAATAGCGACAAAGAACTCCAGAAACTTCGCGCCGCTATTCGCTCAGGTGCGTGGGAATCGGTCGATTTGTCATATCGAGCAATCAAAGAAGAACTTTCGATCGGTGCTCAGAATATTATTCTTAGAGGCTCAAGAATAGTCATTCCTCTATCTTTACGCCAAAAGGCAATTGACATCGCGCATGAAAGTCATCAGGGACTGTCCAAAACAAAAGCTATGATCAGAGAGAAAGTGTGGTTCCCAAAAATAGATGACTTAGTTAAAGCAACGATTGATTCTTGCCTTGCTTGTCAAGCAACAGGTAAAGAAAACAGACCAGAGCCATTGCAATTGAGTGAATTACCAACAAAACCATGGGAGAAACTACACATAGACTATTATGGACCACTGCCAACAGGTGACTATCTGGTAGTCATTATTGATCGTTACTCGCGTTTCCCAGAAGTAGAAGTTGTTTCCTCTACAAAAGCTTCAACACTTATACCTAAACTAGATCGTATCTTTGCTGTGCATGGAATTCCCGACAAGATACAGACGGATAATGGCCCTCCTTTCAATGGAGATGAATTCAAGCGTTATTTACACATATTGGGAATAAAACATGACCGAAGTACTCCAAATGGCCACAAGCAAACGGAGAGGTCGAACGTTTCAACCAGCCGCTAGGCAAAGTTATTCAAGCAGCGATCGTGGAAGGAAAACCGTGGAAGCAAGAATTACAAAGGTTTCTTCTACAATATCGCACAACACCGCACTCTACTACGAAAGTTCCACCGTGCGAACTTTTGTTCAACAGACAAATTCGTGGAAAGTTCCCAATACTGAAACGGAAAAGTATTATAAACAAGCACAAGATCGCTCGAGAAAATGAAGAGAAGTCACAGAAATATCAGAAGATGTATATTGACAAGAAGAGACACGCGAAAGAAAGTGATATAGCAATAGGAGATACGGTACTCGTGAAACAACAGTATAAGAACAAGTTCTCATCAAGATTTGATAAAGCCCCATACAAAGTTATCCAACGTAAAGGGACGATGATTACCGCAGAGAACAAAACAAGACGTATCACAAGAAATGTGTCACATTTCAAGAAATTTCCTGCTAGAGTAGATCAGCATGAAGAGTTCGACAGTGATATAGAACAAGAGTTGAACAAAGAAGGAAATCAAGCAGAACGCGAACACAGACTTGGAAATAACGCACGCCGTCAATCAACAAGAGTAAGGAGTCAACCGGTGAGATATGGTGATCCGATACCATCAAGATTTATTCGCTGATTTTTAAAAAGGGGAAGTGATGTCATAAAGTGAACCTTCATTATTATTATTATTATGAGTAATATGCTGAACCTTGCTTTGGTTGCCCTGTGCAACAATTGTTTTGTTATGCTTTGTTATATTAATAAGGGTGTTATGGAATTTTAAGGGAGTTGTGTTTTGGGATTCGAATATGAAAGTAAACGAAGTGTCTTCTATATGAATTGGCCTACGGAATTAAGAGAATATAACACGTATGAGTGGCGTCACGCTTTTTGATTGGCCAATGCTTGATTGACAGATGGCCTAAGCCTTTTTAGTATGCGTCGATCGCCTTTAAGAAGAGGACGAGGATTCTATTGAATCTCGTAGCCATTTCGCTTGATTTCTTTGGAAACTTCTTCTATAACGCAAGTGAATTCATGTCATGGAGAGAAACATTCTTGGTGCTATAACAAGGGTGTTGATGATTGTCAATATAAACGCTTATTTGCTTCAAGGTAGCTAGGCCTTCCTGGCTCCTTTCCTGATTAACGTTGCTTGTGCAGTGAGAGAAGCTCGAAGAATTCAACCAGCACGTATCTGTCCACTGAGGCAAGAGGCAGCATTGATATCCATTACGTTATAGAAGCGACTATAAATCTTAGGTTTATATATATACATACCATGAAGGCGCCTTATGTCAACCATGAGCTTCCCACAAACCTGCAAGGAGGATAACCTTGTGAAAGGATGAAAGACAAGAAAACTATTTCTAATTTTCTTAAGACCTCTTTCAATTTTCAGTTTTGCTTTATTGAAATATCCAGGCAACAAAAGATCCAGCATGAGTGATGCAATTAGGGGTGATTCGATGAATGATTTACCTCTCCTTGTTGGCTGATGATTGGGGCAGCATAGTCTAATGGGACACTTTCGAACAGACACTCGAGCCATATGGTGGCAACGCCAATCAGCGTATGACATTCAACTTCATAAAACAGTCCATCGTCATCAAAACTATCGCTGTCCTGTAAACGAGAACTCGAGTTAAACATCGCAAAATAAATGTACAGATAAATATTTTTAAGTTAGTAGTACCCCAGATAACTCGGATTTTCATTAAGACGGATAGCATTTCAAATTTAATTGGATTTTCATTGGACTACCCTAGTCAAGTCAAAAGTTGTACTCCGAATAGGTCGGACACCTGCTAAGTCAGACCATTTCTTTTAACCCTTTGAAGGTCTGACTAAAAGACTCATTGCTAACAATGGGCCTGCGAGCGTGGTGACGATCCAAACAATGGCAGTAAACTTCTACGGATTAACTAAAATTGATTTCAGACTGTCTGAAAATGCATTATGGGATGCTTGAGTAGCGCAATGGCTCATTGTTAGCAATGAGTCTTTAACGTGACCAAGAGATAGTTATGATAATGACAAAGAAATAAACATTCAGATTGACCTCGGTTGAGTAGAAAAACTAAATATTTTCTGGTCTATACTAAATATAGATCTTAAATCGAACTCTAGTTCCAATAGTCTAGTTTTCTTTATATTAGAAGCCAATTGGAAAAATAGTTCATAATTATCGCCACTTTAAAACAGTCGAAAACCTGAGGGCCATTAGAGGAGTTACAGGCAGCAAATTTTTCCTATCATGGCATGTCGCTGTGAGATTTTTAAGTTTTGAAACCTATAGTTAATGACGTCACAAGCATAACAAACGCGTTTTAATAAATTCAGTCTTTAAGAAGCAAAGACCATCTACTCCGAAAGTGCCCGATTCTTATTCAGCATTAACTAGTTGAATATTTAGAAATATCTAAAGAAAAGCAAGTAATTCGGAAATAGGTAAATAATGTGTGCTAACTTCAATTTGGCAAGACTGTCTAGAGAAATAATGAGATTTTCCTCTTGTCTAGGTAATTCACACTTTCTTCACCAATCGAAAACATCCCTGCTTATATGTGAATATTTTGCTTTCTGCTGTATTTTAAGAAATTTGCAAAGAGAATTGACCCTTGCCTGCGCTGTGTGTGCATCCGTCCAAAAGGAGATAAATATTTTTTGGATGAGAGCATTTTTGTTTCCGGCTACAACTTTTCTTGTTTTGACGTAATTGATTGAAAGTACGAACGTGCGAATGCAGAGATTTTCTTCTTTAACTGAGTGATCAACTGTTTCTTTCAAACACCTATCCGGTTTGTTGGTGTCTTAGCAGGAAAATGCGAGAATGCCGAAAAAGAAAACAGCTTTGTTCTTCGTGATCAACATGTTTATCTGTGGGAAGGCCAACGTAATACCATCTGCTTTATTAAGAAATGTAGAATATTAGGCTATTTGACTTACAGGACTAGCTGAGCTCTCCATAACTGTCTGCTGATACAGATCGCGCATTCCGTATAGTTTGTTCTTCAATTTCTCGACAGACCACACTAAAAACATTAAATAGAGAATCAGTAAATTTTAGTGGAAATGCTTCTTTGCTAATTTATATCAACAAAGTTCGCTTAAGTAATGTTTATCCTTGGTCAGTTATCCTGATACAAAATGTCAGAAAGATAGAAACATAAGCCAGATATCAAACGTTGCTAGCGCGTGAAGACATTTTGAGGAAGAAGCCAGAACTACTGTGGTTTACAGGGGTACGAAAGGTGAAGGGGTGATAAACATGACCAGTTTAAATGATGCTTTGGGAAATTTGGGCTTTCTGAGAACTAACGAGACAGCTGAAATGCAGGGTTGGGTCAGATGAGAGATGAAGAGAGGCCGTGACTGACAAAGGGATTGAAATCATAGGAAATCAGCTTTCAATTTAAAAATGACATAACGATAAGAATCTGGTACCTTGGGTTCCGCGTTTGCTATGCTTGACAACTATGGCTACTTCGCTGGTCAAAGGCGTTCTGTTTCCACCGAGACTCAAGCTTGATGTTGGAATCTGGAACGATTAGAGGATTAACCACTTAGCTTAACTTATTCAACAAAATTACAATGATACGAACAAATAATTATACGAAAAAGGAACGTCCCTAACGATATAAAAACAAGTGCAGTTAAAAAACACCGTAAAAAGAGATTTGACCAAACGGTCAAAATTCGAACAAATTTTTTAACAAAATATCAGACAAAACTTCAGAAGAATTCTCAATATTTTCAATGTCAGAAGAAGTGTATTAAACTAGAATGTTTCCTTGGTTTGTTATACATTCATCGTAAAAAAAAGTTCGACCAGCAAAAACAAATATTTGCTTAAGCGACTGGGTAAAGTTCTTTGGTTAAAGTACCAAAAAGACTTCCAAATTTCGACAAAAATATGATAATCTGAAAATTATTATGTTTATAGAAGATCAACTTGGCAGCACTCGGTAAGATGATCTTTTTAGCAGTTGATGAAAAATGATAATGAAAGATCGTGATAACATATGATTTCATTTCTATCAGATAAAAAAAATACGAACTCTGGTTTTATCTGTACACTTCCTATCAACCATTTTTTCTATCACCAATAAAACTAAACAAAAACAAAACTCAAATTTAATTACAGTTGAGCTGAAGACAAAAAACAACGTCAGCGAGCTCTTTCCAATTCCAATATTACAATCTTGCATTGTAAACAAAAGTTGTGGGCAATAAAAAGATCAGACACGAAAAAATTGGACACCAATCAATTCTATTACAGAAATTTGTTATGGAATAGTTGAGCTCACCTGTAACGTGACTGCATACTCGACGTTTTTACCCATCTCACTGCTAAGTTGATTGGCTTCCCTACAAAGCACATAAAAAATATCTTTGATTTTTCTATTAAGCGAAAATCGAATCAATAAATTGAAATAGTTGTGTATAAAAGTGACATTGGTTCTATGTGCAATGTTGTTGCCAGCAGTCATAAAGGGGGAAAAAGAGGGGGGAGGGTGGTTTGAGGGGGGTCGCCTTCGGCGAAATCACACCCTCTTTATATTACATCAGTGGGCAAATTCTGCATCATCCCAGTGCTGCTTTTTTCTAAGAATGCTGATTTTCATAAGCAAAATTTAACGAAATAGAATTTTCTCCTATTCAGTAAACGTTTATCAATTTTTTAGAAGAATTAAGTAGACTTTAAAAGTGGGAGTGTAACCACCCCACCCCCAACCCCCTAGGAGCCGCAAATGACTATATTAAATCTCAATATTACCTGACAAACGAATTGGCTCTGAGTACTTCTTCTCGTAAAACTCGTAAGCTCTCTTCAAACGACATATCTCTCCTGCAAAATGATTCACACTGAAACTAGTGATACTACTTAGATCGCTGTTATAATTAAAGGTGCTTGGATTTTACAACAGATACCGAGGTTTTAAAATTGCAGCAGGACCACAAGCAGGAGAATAAAAGCACAGGATAAATAATATAATCCTTAAAGGAATATTTGGAGGGTAAAATGCATAACACTCAAGATCGAAAACGATGGTGATGTCCACATCGCAAAATTGGCGGTGCAGGTTGTTTACAGTTTGAGACGAGTGTAAATTTAAAGACCGAGAGAAATTTGAAAGCGGGGAAGCAATTTCTCTTTTTATTAAATATTACAACGCTCCTTTCAAATATGTAATTGGATAATGTATGATAAGAAGTTTAATACAATATTTAGATGGCTTATTGAGGTCATAATAGGCCTATTATCGTTCAAAACTAAAACACAATTTTGATTAAAAACTAACAGGAGAATGAAAGAATGGGAAATTGTATGTTGTCAATGAAAAATAATAGACAAAATCATACAGCTAGACAAGTGTTTTCTGCTTCTTGACAAAACCAAGATTAAACACTTATTAAGACTGATTTTTCTTCGGCGACATCTGATTCAATGATTTGATTAATTCCAAAAATTATGTCAACAGTAATTTCTAAGAAGTAACCAATCACTTACCCTTCAAATGGGTCTTGGTTCTTTTCCTCAAGGAGGTTGAAATTTGATCCTTCACGATCCGAAAGTCGTGATCCATAACCAGAGGTTGTGAGACTCAGTCTTCCATCCATGCTTTGGGGGGCATCTGACAGTGAATCTACTGGGGTGTTCTTCCGTAGTCTTTCTATTTCTTCCTCGTATTGCTTTCTTTGCTCCTCCAATGCACCTAACATTCAGATAGACCGTTCAGTTTAGAAACAAGAAATTCCAGTCTACAGATGTTATGTAAAATTGTTCTAGACATAACTTGAGAGGCCTTAAAATAAAACGAAACATAATCGTAGACACATTTAATTGTTGCAAACTGTCCTTCTCAAACTTTGCATATGGTACTTAGAAAAAGATAGTTCTAAGTTACAGCTCAAACTTCCCCCTCTGATGTGATCATCAGATAACAGTACATCAGGCAGAACAGTTGACTGATGATAGTACCAAGCGCTCCCGAACCGCAACTGAGATCCATTTTGTTCTATGCACCATAGTGTGTGCAGCCCTACCTATACGACATGGAGCACTCTATGATAGACCGGTTGAACAGTAATTTTCATTCCTACTAGGAATACTATCAATCATTCCTGAACCGGAGAGCCTGGGGCCGAGCTGCGAGTCATAAGTGACATTATCCTCAGTTTTTACATGAAGTTTTATGATTTGTTTAAATAATAAACAGAGCAAACTTCTCAGAAATTAGATTAAGGACTCATGAGGAATAAGAATAATACTATATTAATACTGGAATATGCACGAGCCAAGGAAAAGTATAGATTAATTCTGCTAGGGCCGTTGACAAAAGTTATAATTATAAACATAACAGTAATTACAATAAAAGAAGCAAGGTTGGTTATATACTTCATAAACTGGAACAAGATACTATGGCATGCGGATTATGGATCATTTTCCCCTCATTTCATAACTCTAATATTTTGACAGCATTTGTTCTCTCAATGAAAAGGTAAAATTTCTTTCGTTTTTGATCTTTTAAAGGCTCTTATCGAGTGCATACGTCTGTCACATTAGGCACAATAGGTTCAGAACACAACCACAGAATCCTGGTTCTAGTCTCAGTGTCTTGGGTCAATAGCCTATGACACATTTCTGTCCAAACAAACGAATGTTTGGCCCTGTGGTTGGCAACATCTTCAAATCAAACCTAGGACTACATGAATCATTGGCATTGGTATAAACTGCAATGAGTACCCTGTTTCTCTTTTTCATGGTGCTCTTCTAGATGTTTGATGATATCCTTGATTGGTTCTAGGAAAGAATAATTAACATGTGCGGATCAACTAAGGACAGTGCTCAAAACTTCAATAGCAATTCACAAAAAACTAACTTTCCTCTTGGCTAAATCAATATCTTGGGAAACTAATCATAAAAGAATTATAACGACGTTGCATCAAATTATAATGTTAAAACTATACGTTTTCAAGCAATGAGGATTTGAAATGATTTTTATTGGGTATATAACAAGCAGAATATAGATTTGATCGTAATTTTGCAAATATTTAAATGAACGATGTTGAAACAAACTTTATGTCTTATTTGATTAGAGAACACATAACCATTAATAATTTGATGTTGACTTAGTGTAATGGTTTGTAATCATCTATCAGTTTCTTTAAAAATGTACGCAAGGGGCAGTGAAAGTCAAGTATTTTAACGAATTTTATATTTAGGTATTTGTTAGGCTGCATACCCTTGCTAAATAGCCTGAAACTCTTGCCATTCTTATCGGCCGTGGCAGGCCCTAGGATAATGAAAGAATAACAGCTTGCAATTTCAATGATTACGTTGGGGATAACAGAGTTACATTTTATCAGATTGTGAATTAATTCTGACAAAACTCGTTTGAGCTTCGACAAGAAACGTATTAACAGTGCTTTTACTTTTAAATATTTTGGCGTGTTAATTTTGGCAATAATTTAGTTGCAATTTATGTCGTTACTAGTCAAAATGGCTGAAGTGAAATATTTGAGGCATAACATAGGTCGAAATAAACAAAAAAAATATGGTGCAATAAATTTACTAATAGTTTTACAGGGTAAAATGAAGAATATTTCAAAATAACAGGTATGCGAAAATAAACTAAATTCATCTCATTTCAAGCATCAGGTAAAATTCGTTATTCAAAAAAAAAACAGTCAAATAAGGAAGTTTGTGTTTCTTCGGGCAATGTTCCTTTCAGAATATGCTGATAACTTCGAAGTTTAGTTTAGAGGTGAAGTTAAAGAAATCTGTTAGCATCTTTAAGGGTCATAGTATAACCAGATTATTTAACAAAATGTGCTGAAACATATGAATGTGCTTTTAGGTAATGATACTCATTGTTCAGGCCACGATATTACAGTTAAGTGTAGGCCATGACGTTACAATTTTGACAAAAAGAAGGAATATTTCAGATAAACTATAGAAAGGATCATAGTAGACCCCCATGTGCCAAATAAAGCAAAAAAAAGAAACTTCTAGAGCCTTGAAGTAGTGTCTCATTGTAGGTTTTCTTTGTTTTAAGAGACTTAAAATCGTATTAATGTATATCAAAACGAAATGATCAAAAGGAAATATTCCTGTGCTATATCATCGTGCAACACCAATTGCTCATAATAGAATCTTCTTAACCCCTTGACTTAAATACTAGCCACGCATTGAAGAAAAAATACTTGGCCAAAGGAAACAGTGAATAGGAAGGGGCTAATAGCAGCATCTTGGAGAACCCCAACCGTAAAATACTTATCAAAATAGAAAATGATATCTTGGTCTGAATGTGTTGGCAACAAAGTAGAACTGAATTTGGCATTTTGTAAATACGGTACAAATTGAAAATACAGGCACAATGTAATGATTTTCAAATTTGGTTGCTCTACCATTGGTTCTCAACTTTATACGTATTTTTTTTGTCAATTTCTGTGAAGCTTCAAACTGCAAAACGGTGCTTTGGGAATGAGATGTGTGACAAATGAAAATATAAAATCGACCAAATCTTATTGCTTGAAGAGACCGGCTTTATAGATAGGTGAATTATCAACGTAATTTTTGGATTGTGTGAGTTCTGAAAGAAAAAAACCGTTGCCAAAACTGCATTTGTGGAAAAGCAGAGAAATCGTTTCGATAAAAGTGCAATTATTGTCGTTTTTAAGAAAGAATCGTAATCAATGAAGAAAAAATCTTATCAGTGACCAAAACTGTTTTAGCTTCTGCCAATTTTCTTGTATCGAACACGGCAAAATTTCTGAGCCGGTAATGGCCTAAGAATACCCAATTCTTGATAAGCAAGCGCCAACAAACGCTTGCAATGATTTGACGATAATTCACTGGCAGCCGAACAAAATTCAGATGGTGTCGCCTTCAAGTTTACAAAAAATCTGCAATATATTTTTGATAAATAGTTCAAACTTGCTTACCGTCAAGCGAGTAAAATTCATTGAGCATAAGTTCAGTCTGTGCAAAATCGAAATCCAGAGTTTGATCGCTAGCTGCATCTGAAATTGAAATTATTTCTGTGAACAAATACTCAAGCTGAGAATACGTCTTGCAAAGACAATTTCCGGGTTAACAGACAAAACATGGCCAACTGATGTTTATAAAGCCTCTAGCCGATTGATAATAACAGCGCCAATGGCTAGAAACGTTTATCCCCTCCTTTTCAGGCATTTTCATTTTAAGTCGAAAGCAGAAATGGCTTTTGGTAGAAAATGAAGTTGGGAATGCAAACTTTACGGGACACGAACTAAATACAAAAGTGAAGCTTATAATGTAAGCAAGAGATGTATTCTTTCTAAGTATGTTTTGCATTCCTCACTTTCCATAATTTCACCGAATCAACTCCAACCTAGTCTGAACAAGGAAACTGGCCGATAACAGGAGGAAATCCGAGTGCTGTGTTCAATAAAGACTAGAGACTGCCTTCAAAATAAAGCTTGACTTAGTATAGACCAAGAAAATAATTTCAGCTACATACACGTGTATGCAGGTTACATACACGCTCGAAAAATCGAAACAACCTTGTAAGGCAACTAAAAAACAACCTTGCATTTGTGTGGTCGAATGAGGGCAGTTAAGTCTGAAGAAGTAGTTATTTCCCAGGAGAATTCGATCACCGTGGCGAAGCTGCGTCCTTTCAGATATCTGTTGGCCATTTACACAAGTCCTGGAACAGAATTAATAATACATCTCATATGCTGTATATGAAAATTGCTGTTTACCGTGCTGTCATAAAGTGTCATAAAGTGCTCGATTACGTATAGGCAGAGCAGGACGGTACATGGAGCAGGACGCTTTAAAATTGCTACTCTGAGTTTCATACTTAATGCGATTACCAGGCAATGAATACAATACATGAACTGGTAACTCATTAGCCGATCACCTACCAGCCCTTAATTCAATACAATAATTCTTCTATCTAACTATTTATTGAATACATTCAACTCAACATTACTCACAAACTTCAGCGCTTTAACCACTTTTGTTGCAATTTTGCTACTTTTGGTTTACAAGAATTTTCAATCATAACCATTTTGAAGTGAGCAAAACAAATTCATTGTTACCTCGCTTCCGCAAAAGGTTCTAAGTAAACAATCTCATCGTCAATGTCAACTATGCAATGTTCCTTTAATATGCCAAGGCCACTCAGTTGTATATCCTAAAGGAAAAAGGTTTATATACGCCTCAGAAATCAAGAGAGAGAACGAGTAAAGAAAATTCAAACGTAGGTTGATTTCTGAATAAGGAATTGAGCAGTTAGAAACACACGTTAATAAGGTCGGGCAAAACATGACATTGAACTTTGTAATCTGAAGGTGTGGTATATTGTAAAAAAATTTTCATAAACTAAAGTAAGTTTAATTTTCGAACAGAAATGAAAAATATTGTTTAAAGGTCTGTCGTATAATATATAACGAAAAGAATTATAGACTTTGAAAAATATTTAAAAGATCAATGTGGTATTATCAAAATGGAGCGGCTTCGTACTGAGAGAACTGCGTGTACTCACTTGTAGCTTGGGGGAGTTGTGTCGACCAATCAATGTATGTTCCTTGGAAAGAGAAACAGCAAGAAAAAATACAAAAAAGTAACATTAAACGATGTTATGATCACAGCTCTAAAATAAACGGCTAGAAACATCTCGAAAAGCGAAGATGGCGAGACAGCATATATATCGAGCCTTTGATTGAGTATACTAAGGTGCAAGAATTCATACTTATAGATTGAAGCGAAAAAACATGGTTAGTGTAGTAAAAGAGATTACCTTTAAGTAATAAACCAGTAGCTCGTTCAATGAAGGATCTGCATTGAGATTTACAAGAAAGTAGCGACCCTCTTTCACGCCAATCCCAGAGTCCTGTACGCTGATGCCCATTTCTTCTAAGATCTGGTGACGCTCCTTAAAACATGAAAGAAGAATGCAGAATAAGGGAAGTGTTTTCAATCAAACGATTGACGTATTAAAGATAAAAGAGCTTTAGAACCTAGTTGCACGATGAAAAAATATTATCAAAGTGTATATTAATTGACAAAAGGATGTGCTGGCAATGATACGAATTGGTTTGAAGTAGAGAGTTCCGCCATTTAAAAACTTCCGCACAAGCGGAAACAGAAGGACAAAACGCATATTCAGTGCTTGTTCAGAGAAGAGAATCTCAGAATCACGCAAAAAGGACATTGCTGATAAGATCGCAAAGTTAGTAGAAAGATGAGAGTTGGCAGAATGCAAGCAATTTGACAACGCAATATATAAGCAAGAGGATAACACTGCGGGATATAATCACAAATAAATGTTACAAAATCTAACAGGCTGAATAAGAAGCGCGTTGTACGTGCAAAGTACATGAGCTGGACTAGAAAGGCCAGAAGTCGGGGGGGGGGGGGTTGTCCTTTCCAGACAATTTAAACCTGGATACACGATCAGATGCTTTGGAAACTGCACCATTCTAAGATTAATTATTTCTGAATGTACATTAATTTGTCATTACAATTTACTACGGTCAGATTCAAGTCAAACTTTCCGAAAACAAAACCAGCCTTTCCAGCCTACTTGCAGCTATTAGAGATAAAAACACCTTCCTCAAGAGTCCAACAACATAAGGGTTATTTCTGTCCTTGAATGGCTAAGCCCTGAATAAAGGAAAACAGGGCAAGTATCTCGCAGTGTTTCTTCCTTAATGGAGTGCTTCATCACAAGAGACTAGAGGAAGAATCTTGTGATTATCTTCGTTCGTTTACCTTGTGAATCATCTCTGTCTGTTTTTCCTTTTCTTCCCAGGTCTTCGTGCATTCTTGAATCAATTTCTCATTTTCTGCAAGCTCTTCCCGAATATTGCCCGTTTCTGCACTATCTCTACCGGATTTCGATAAAGTGCTTTGTGACAAGTCGATTGCTTTGCTCTGCAGCAGCTCCCGCAGGCGCTCAACCTCTTGCCGCAGTTCTCGTATTATCTGTCAAAATAAAAGCAGAAAACACTCTAAGTATTTCACCAACGACAAAGAGAAAAGATCAACATAGCCTTTTATGTTGCATAACAAAAATTGCTGCATGATGTTAAAAGTGGAAGTAGCCTTTCCTTTAAAATTGACATTTTTATCTGGACAATTAAGCCAATCATAGAAAAAAAAGGACAATGATTCTTATCATAATTGTTACTAGCTACGTGTTTGGCAATTTCATTCATCGTGCACAGAGACTTGTGTTCGTGCTACATAATCAATTTAGAATACGAACAACAAACCCCAGCTGGCATTAGAAAAACAATAAGATACAACAACGAACTGTTCTACTGCAAATTACTCTTGCCTACACCTAAGTAACCTTTATCATATAGACTTTCAGGCATTATAAACATTCTGGCCTAAGTAAACCTAGTGACCGTTGCTATTTTTGGCTCTATGCGTTATCTTGATCATTCTTTTATCTGAAAAACATTCCATTTAGGCAAACCAGAATGTTTATAATTCCTGAAAGTCTATATGATAAAGATTCCTGAAAGTCTATATGATAAAGGTTCTTTGCATGGTAATAAACATTTTAGAGTATTTTCTTTCGCCATAAAATGAAAGTCCTCTTGCGGCAACATAATAACTGGTACTGCCTAGCACTAAATCCCATGCTTCATTTCCGAAATGAAAATAGCTTGCGGATCTAACCTTTGCATTCGGGTCTTCGTTGATGACAGCGTGATTCTCTATTCTCTTTGCTCTGTCCGCATACCGAAGGGTGGAAAGCGTCTCCTCGTAATTGTCAGCAGCAGGACTAATCGTAGCAACCATGACAGTTTTACTGTTGCCACCAAGGTTATCCTAATTGCAAAAACAGAAGGCACTTAATCTCGTGATAGCTAATGATCATGCAATCATAAAACTTGTTTTTCAACAAAAAAGCGATTCGAGTAAAAAGGGGAACCATCATCGTTTTTAGGTATTTTTAGGGAAACTATCATTATGAATTGGTACATACATTTCTAAGCTATATAGACTATTCTTGTTTCACTATCATTTGGCTTTCTCTAGAGAAAACATTACTGAGAAAGCGTATTTTACCATTATTACCTCTCCCTGTATACTCGTATGTTGTTGATAAATTTGAACTGAATTTGACTTGAAGTGAAAAACTGACTTAGCAAATAAATACCAGATAGCAGATTACCATGAGATGTAAAGTTTTAGTTAACTTTTACCAAATCTATGCTAAAAATCACATACAGTGGAGCTTCGCTATATGATTGCCGGGTTAAGGATGATCCTAGCTCAAGTTAAATTCAATTTTGTAAACCAAAGTCAATTTAAGAGAGCGTTTAAAGCCTGATTTATACGCCGCGAATGTGCGAAAAATATACGCAGAAGTAGAGATTAGAAAATTCGCTGCGAAAAAGTAGAAACCATTCCTACTTTCTGGCTGCGAAATTTTTCGCCTTGTAAAATAAACCAATCAGAACAGCATTTGAAGACACCTGACTTCTGTTTTGGTTTCAGATGGCCTACATCTTTCCGCATTCTTTTTCTCAAACACTCTCGCTTTTAAAACGTCAATAAAAAGGTTGGTAATTATTCATTTCCAGTTCCTCGTACACAATCCATGTAAGTGGATTCATATCAGATTAATTTTCAAACATTTGAATTTCAAATTGACGAAAACTGGCTTGAAAGATTCATTGTTCTACCAATATATCAGAAATAAAAAAATAGGCAAGAATTTCTTCAAATTGCTGAATTATTGGCTGCTTATTGGCCTGCTCAACAGCAAAAGTTTTAAGCAGATGCAATGACAGGATCTTGCATGCTCTTGCAAGCTTCGATGGCGACCTTTGAAAGTATTTGAAGAAGTTATTCTGGTCTTATAAATGTAAACGTAAACCTCTCTTACCGAAAGATGGAATTCCCCCTTCTGAAGACGTCCTGAATAAATTTTTCCAATCCAGTGTCGCTTTTTGCTGTTTTGCTCGCTTTTTGATAAATTTAAAATTTTAAACTTGCTGATAAGAGCGCTCTCCGGACAGTCGCTATATTATTTTGTAATATTTGCAGCGAATTCGCATTAAAATTTCTGCCAGTGTAAATTGAACCTCGAATTCGAGAGAAAAATTTGCAGCTAGAAAAGTCGTGGCGAAAAATTCGCTTCGCGCGAAAAATTCGTCTCGTGTAAATCAGGCTTAAAGAATCATAAAAATCAGCACCAACAAAAACAAAGAGCAAACTTGATTGGTTAAAGGGGAAAAGTCCTCATATTTACATGACTACTTGGAATTACAAACCCAGTAGGCCTGTATATATTGTCAAGGTTTGTCATGAAAAACCTTGCAGAAAATATGTAAAAAATATACACGATTGAAATAAAAATACCTTGAGAAGCCAAGTGAGGACAGAGTCTCTGTAAGGAACAAAACCTTTTCGATGTTTCCCACTGGCCTAAATTAGACAAAAACGCTTTAGGATTAGTGTGACCATAAAATTAGAATAGAAAATTGACTAGATGTTTAAAGATTACCAAAAACTTTTAACGAGAAGAGATTGAGGAAAATTGCTCTACGAGGCAAACTGTCAGTTATGTAATATCATGATTGTTAAAAGCAATTAAAAATAATTGCATCTATTAAAGATAGTCTTACATACAGTATCTTTTCACTAAATTCTAAACAGAAATTTCCAGCTTTATAAAAATCCAAATACAATTAATTTGATTGCAAACTATGGAGAAGTATTTCAGATCTTGAAAATTTAATAACGAACCCTGATTTCTAGCTCGATGGTGTACCCTTATAAAAAATAAACAAGTCTTTTATGGAAATTTTTTTGATGTGATTTGAGACACGGAATCGACTTTTTGTTCATTATTTTGACTTCCGTCAAATCAAAGCAGTAGAAATGCTAGCAGGCTGGTTTAAATATTTATATCCATCATTCTGTGCAGTTTAAATGTAACCTGCGTGTAGTAGATATCTACCTAGGGACAGGTGAAAACATTCTTAAGCAGATTTAACGAAATAGATTTTAGAGACAGCGATTTGAAGGTTATTTAAATAATATTACCTGGTCTGCCAAAGCCGATATAACCAACCCCAGGGTACTTAAAGATCTGGAATGAGATACACAAATTAAGATTTACAGTGCGAAAATGCTGAAACTTTAGACATTTGTATTTGTGATCATAAAATACGGGTTTAGGGATTCAGTTGTTTCTATGGTATAAATTTACAATGCTATTGATAAAGAATTTTTCATTCCAAAATGCGTTTATTATCTGTAGTCTCTGAAAAGTAAAAAATTAAAGAATCGACTAGGTCTAATGGCCACAAAAGCAAACAGAAGCCGGAAATTCGATAGCCTGATGAAGTGCAGGCGCTCAGGCGGAAAAAACATTTAAAGAACGAGAAAACCATTTGAAAGCAATCAAAAATTTGAAAAACAAATCTCCTAGCCTTTAAAATTGCAAACAATTCCAAAATGATACTTACCAACTATCAAACTAGACTTTATCTTACTATTATATATTTAATATAATAAATCATCATATGATAAAAAACGTCTTACTTGTTGATGTTGCCTCCTTCTTTGAGCCGATCCCCCGCAGCACCAGTTTTTGACACCCGTTCACTCCCTGCCAAGTCCACCAAACTTATCTTGCTAACTTTCTCACCAGTACTCTAATGGTGGGTATAAAATTGGTACTTTAGATTGCGATAGGGAATTACAAAACAAAAACATCGAAAAAAGAAAACGATAGAAAAGTTCCAAGAACACGACTTCTCGCGTAAACCGTTGGTATCCGTCACTCTAAGCAGACCCACAATGGCTGATAACAACGATTTTCAGTCGTTTATTTATCAGATGTACCCCCACCATTTCAATACAGTGGAAGGGGTTTCAGTCAATGCGGTGTTAAGTGGACAGTGGATATCATCTATAATTTTTAGAAGTTTATAAAATTACAATACAAAGATTTGCATAAAATGATCGAAAGAAATTATTGAAAATTCTTCAGCTAACGCATTAAAGGCTCTTTCGCAACCGGCATGCTTAGCGGCAGTTGTCTTGAGAGATTGACTGTGTTTTGTAATTTAATGCAGTACGATATTAGGATGGTTCTTTGAATTATAGTTGAAAAGCATGCCAGTTGCACAAGAGCCTTTAACAGTAAGTTAAAAGATCAAGTGACGAAATATAATTATTGATCATTAGTTTCTTTATCTTGATTAATAAACGCTTCAAAAACATTGGAATTATTTAAGATTGAAATTATTTCATTTAAAAGTGTAAAAATAACAAAATGTTATCTTTGACTCTTTTTATTTTATCACCTCTTAAAAAAATCAAGATACAGAACTATGCTTAAAATTTTGAAGACGCCACGAAATAGCGAGCACACAGCATACTGTACTTTTCGTCCGACACTCTCAAAGTAAAAACATCGGATACTGACAAAAAGCAAGCGGAAATTTATATCCAAGTGTGAATCGAAGATAACGCGAGAGGAAGAAAGACGTCTCTGGTTGGTTTTAGCTTTTACCTATCCCCGAACCACACAGATGATGTTTATTAGACGCATTTAATTAGTAAGAACAAAAAATATCACTATCCGACGTTTATACTATGAAGTGTCAGACGAGAAGCACTTCAGTATGCTATGTTCCCGCTATATGGCGCCTTCTTCAAATTAAGCATATTTCTTAAAAGCACTTAACAACATTTACATTATGTTGGATTACTCTGGAAAGATAAAACAAACGACGCCGTTTGCTGTAGAAACGCATTGCGGAAACGGCAAGCACTACCTAGCAAGAAGATTCAACCTATTTCGGATAAAAAATAACTCTTGAATGCTTAATTGGGCAAAATTTCTGATCAAATTAAATCAAATAGGCCGCAAAACTAAAATAGTGTCCACTCCCGCTCGTTCATTCAATCATATCAAATTCTTTAAACATGGTTAAGTATACAAATATAATACTGGTTTATAAATATATATATATATATAATGCTTGTTTTGAAACTGTATATTTCATGCAGTGCTTAGCTCACTGTTTCTTTCAGTTCTGCGAGAAAAAACCCATTCAATGGCAGAAAGGAAAAACGCAGGTGCATATAGCTTTCAGCTATTCATAAAACTACGCACGGACCAAAATGAGTTACAGATAAGATCTCTGGATCCCCCAAAACAGCAGTGGTGCCATCTCCTTTGGTTACCAGCAAAGCTAACAATTTTACCAGCACGAAACAGGCCTAACTGTAAAAATGTCTAGGATATCATGTCATTTAAGAGCACTTGTGGATCAATCTTGCACTACTGTTAACTGTTAAGAAGAAAGAAATAGAGCATAAACGTAGGAAGCCGCCTGATTACCTCTGTATGTGGATCATATATCCGTTGCGTAAGAACGACGTTGAAAACAGCGTGAGAGCGACTGCTTTCGGCGTTCATCATGGTGGCAGCCACAGTTCTAGATTTGTTTCCCTCTACCATTAGATTTTCTATATCCTAGGAACAAATATGCGGAAATCCAGCAACATAGATTCACTGAAGAAGATTGCGCAGATTTTGCAGAGATAATCCAATATTTTCGTTTATTTTTAAAAACAGATTATCAAAACAGTTGAGCAACAGGGACTTATTCTAAATACTGGATATCTTATGGGTGTGTTGTTGCGGGAATTGCTGTACTTGGAAATATTAAACAGAAAAATTACCGTATTCATTTTAAACAGTATTGACAAAAATTTCCTTTTATACTCATTCATTTAGCACTACACAGCTGTTCCAAATCCAGACTATATACTGGTGAACTTAACTAAATTCCATATCTCAGATAGTTTGTACTTGAAATTATCAGATTTCTAGCTACCTGGAAACAGGACACAACTAGTTTTGACAGCCCATCAACATACGGGCCAAGAAGTTTGTGCTCTCGAACCTTCAAATTTTGCTTGTCACTAAAACAAAAATTTAGCTGGAGATACTCAATATGAACATTTTAAGAATTGAGATATTGAACACGCATTGACAATTAAATTCCTTTATAAAGCAGAAGACCCGTGACTTAAAAATTGTTAAATACAAATGAATTTTATCAAGAAAATAGCAGCACTCCCATAGAATAACATTTTATTACGAAGAACGTCATAGAGGGAATTAACTTGAAAGAGGATTCTTATACGTATGTTTTACATTCTTGAAAGAAAATTCGAAAATCTGTCGGCCCCAAGAACCTTGATGACACTTTTAACAATAGAGAAACTGTCCGTTGTGTGAGGCTGCCCGTTCTAAGGGATTGTCCGTTGTCTAGGGAGGAGGTCATCTCAAGGCTAAAGAGAAACTTTTGGGCCGGGATCGTTTGTTCCCTGTTAGAAGTTGTCCACAAAAAGCATTTATTATGATCAACTGATCTTATTTGATTGCGAGGATGACTCAGTACAGATCCAAAGGTCTAGGGTTCGAGTCCCTGGCATGACCAATATTTCACCCAGAGTGAGGAGAGCCAGCTTTTTGTAATTTCAGGTGTAGGAATCACAAGGTGTGGTCACATCGAGAAGAAGGACCAGGACATTTCTCGATAAGCATAAACTTTTCAGTGTCCTAAAAACTACCTTCGGATGCTAGGTAGAAACAAATACAAAAAAGCATGATTACAACAGTTTAACGATCACTTTACGAGTTCTGCAAAATGATATTAATCTCCAAAGGATATAGCTATCCGAAACAATAGGATTTTAAAAAGGCAAACAGTGCATCTTGCAATTAATCGATCAAAACTTCATCAAACAATAAGAGATTGCCACGACTGTCTCACCTCTTAGGACAAAGAAGATCTCTGACTTTCTCATTGTAAATCTCCATGTAAGACACCTCAACCTTAAAACTCATGTTAGGATCTTCCTCCTTAAAATTAAAAAAACATCATCAAAGATACAGCCCAAACAGTATCAGAAAAATCGATATATTCATAGTCAAATATCACTACAATTACTGCTTTGCTATCGCGAGGCAAGGAAAATGACGGTGAAAAGCGGTAAAAACTCGAGCATCAACAATGCAGAACCTGGTGTTCTACAGCAAATTAACAGCATGATGTCGGCAGCTAATATGAAAGTGAGTTACCTGGCAAACCTCAGCAAAGCACGAAAAGATAAATGTTTTGAGTTTATCAGCATCAGACTATCAATATCAATACCACGTTTTTATAAGCAATGATCGATAGATGTCAGTTCTTACGTGTTTTCCTGCGATGTTTTCAAACAAGCAGTCACAAATTCTTGGAATCAGACCTTTTGCGGAAGGTGATCCCATCATTGTGTAGCTCTTTCCTGATCCTGAAAATCAAAACGAAACATATACAGCACACTTATACGATAGTGGCCTCATAGCAGATGCAGTAATCTTCTATGGGTCTAAATCGTTCATTTCAATGAGTGAGAACCGGGAACTTAATTCTTTCTCACAAGCAGAACCTGGCACTTTTAGAAACAATGACGCAGTTGATAACTGTGTTTTTAAATGTCAATAAAGTATACTGTAAAATAGAGAAATTATCTTTTTTAAATCGCAAAATTTAAAGATAGCACGGAAATGTTAAAACATAGTATGATAATAGACAAGAAGAAATCTAATTTTAATAAGAAATTTAACTAGATTACATCAAGGAGATTACAAAAAATCAATTATTATCATACTTCAATATCGATTCATCTAGTTTCAATGACTTCTAGATTACTTGTAATTTCCTTGGCTTTCTGTATATTGTTTCAGTGATAAGGACATGAAGCCCAAACAGTTTAAAATTCGAGACTCAGAGAAAAATAAAGAGTAAATTGTTAGGAAAAAACCTTACAAAACATCGGGAGCTTTGTGACAAATTGTGACAAAGTGACTTTCTTAACCGCCAAAATTTAGATATCGCAATGAAAAATTTGATTTTCAAATTAAGGGCACACGTACCTGTCTGTCCATATGCAAAAATACAAGCATTATATCCGTCAAATGCATTGTCTACAACGCCTTTTCCAAGACATTTATAAACGAATTCCTGGCCTATATGAAAAATTATAATCCATTCAAACATAATATACATTGGACAGAAAATTATTTACCTTCTTCATTATACATTAAAGAACATATGTTAAGAGCTTATACATTGAAGTCAACCTGTTAAAAAATATAGTTATTATTATTATTATTATCCCCAAACTCAGTTCTTGACTTAATACTAAACTTAGCTTTGTGCACAAATGTCTACAAGTTTTCTTTATTTATAAAAATAGAGAATCCCACAAATCAGCTCTTGCCTAAAGACTAAGCTTAGCTTTGCGCCTAAGTGTCTACACGAGTTAGCTTAATCATCCAGACTGGCGTTGCTATCAGAAACAGCTTAATCTCTTCTTCTTACATTCAAAGGAAGCTACACTTTAAAATATTCCTAGTCAACATTAAAGCGAACAGTAGAGGTTAAGAAAGAGGCTTGTCCTAGATCGACCTGGCTTTGAAAAGTACTCATGCACTCATGCATACATAAAAGACACTATAAAAGTACGCAAGATTGCATTCATAAATTCAAGGTCATTTGCCCGATCAGGCCAAAATGTCGGACAATAGAGACATTGTGGTGCCTTATGGTTTCGAGACTTTCCACGGTCCTTGTCAAGGTCCTACAGCTAAAGTGTCTTTTTAACCGGAAGGTAACTTGTCGCTGTGTACGGAGAATACTTACAAGCCAGTGTGTGACTTATTCTGTTATGTAGGCCATTTTTCTCAATTAACAGAGCAACGAACGACGCAATGTGTCACTGGTCGCTCGAGTCCTACCCTAATCGTACCCCTTACTCGTATTATTTCAGTATACATCCTCATCTCCTGTAAAAGTAATCAATACTGCAATCTCCCCCCCACGAAAAAGGTTGTTTTGAGAATTAGCAGTCATTATAAGTCTAGCCAGTATCAACTACTGGCCTACAATGAAGATCTGAAAATTACAACAACAATATTCCGAGAGGGACATGGGATACAACTGCAATTTGCAATAATCTAGAGTAGATTACAGACATTGCATGAATTATAATTTTATCAATATTTTTACACAATCTTTTTGTGGTACAGAACTTAAAATTTTTGCTCTTTTCAAAGCAGGCCTTTTCGTCAGAAATAGCCCACGCGAGGGGCTCATCGCTCGCGTGATTTCTTTTTCGCGAGAGCTCGCGCTGATAGTGAAAAAATTGTTCCTGTTATAAGGACCCTTTTGTTTGAGGTAACATCAAATGAAAAAGAACTGTTACAATGTTCTGTAATGCACTCCAAGAAAGACTGAATCCCCTTTATAAATGTGCTTCGTTTATAAATTTTATATACATCACGATGGTCATAAAGCCGTTATTGCCGGATGATTGCAGAGTGTTGTTCCATACCTTTTTAAAAACGCTTTTACTGCCCAGAAAATGTCCTAAGTGCTATTGTGGTTCAAATACTAAGTACCTAAAGCATTCCTAAACATTCGCTGCGGAATTGATTTTCAAATGCACTTTTTCGTTGAGATGTGGTTAAGTCAGTTTTCTTATATTTCCTGTGTTTTGATATACCAGCTTTGTTTCGTCTATGTCACTTGCTTGGGTTACAAAAGATGACTGGAAATGTGTTAATTGATGAAACGTTTATTTATGTGATCGCGAGTGATCGCGAGTGATCGCTCGTGTCAAACGAAAAGGCCTGTTAAAGCCATTATCAATATTTCGCATTACGTACAATTAATGAAAATGGAAATTAACAGCCAAGGACCGACCAATAAAAACAACAGCCAGTCAATTCCCATGCGCGAGTTTGGTACAATCAGCAAATGCTGGCCTTGGTATATTACTTGCTTAATACTCCGTATTAAGAAACGGAGCAAATTACTGATCTCTAAAATAGCTTCTAGACAGTTAGAAATCACACTACACATACACGTAAATAAACTTACTTGCAAACTTTTCAACTTCTTCGTCCATTGACCAAAAGCAGTAATCATACGCAAATGTCTAGAAAAAAGGGGATTGACTAATTCAAACGTCATCTTCAGACAAACGAATGACAAAAACTTCCCTTTTTGTAACTGGTGGGTCATCTTGTTGTACGAAAGACTTTATCATAAAATAGCAATTAAAAATGTCTGAAGAACGAGAAAACACAAATAAACAGGGTAAAAAGAAGTTGACCAGGAGGAGACCACACATAACCCAATCATTTTTCCAAAGAAGTGGAGGGGGGTTTTCTTTCCCACAACGACTTCTTTCTGAGATTTTTTAGAGGTCACACAACGCAGCCCATTATCATAATGAAGCGACAATGTAGACAAATGATATTTTAACAGATCTAAATTGTTTTGTTTTTTCTTGGGGAAATGCTTTTCTAAAATCTGCTGTTTTCGTGAAAAAATCTCACCTGGCGTTAATATTTAAACAAAAAACGATTAAGCAACACGTGCAAAGGATCGTGCAGCAAAAATTGTTACTTTATCAAAAATAGTGGTAGCCAAAACAAAAAATGTCCCCCTTAGTCAAAAATATCTCTTTCAGAACTAACACTTCTTGTGACACAGCCTGTGTTCGTCTTCCCCTGCTAAACCATAAACACCTTTTCTTTTCCAGGGCGCCTTGCAAAAGAGCTACCCCCTGTATGTACTGGCACCTGTCACACCCAAATTAAACAACCTCCCCTGTAAGGAGTCTTTTCGTAATGAAGACTTACTTTAAATAATCAAGCCACAATTTTTCATAATACTAGCTCGACCCGAAACGAGCGCATAATTGGCATAAATCTTAATAATGTTTTTCCGGCACTGAACAGATATTTGAGAATATTATTTATGAACTACAACCAATCGAAGACATTTTAATAATGAAGCAGCAAGAGAAGGAGGCCATAATTGAGAAAGAGGCCATAATGACAACTTACCCTTGGCGGTTTCCTGAAATAAAAAGATACAAATCAAAATATCAGTGAACGACAAATGAAAAGTACAATGCAAATAACTAAAATATTTCAAATAAACAGGGGTATTGTGGCATTAATTTCTACAATTGTGGCATTAATTTCTACAGTTAGGAAGTGTGCACGACACATTTGCAACCGTTTAGTTACCTCATTATTACATTTAATCGCTTTCATGGTGATCATTTACTGGATAAATTCTAATCACGCATTGAATGAGGCTTATGCAGGTGAATAACTATATACAAGGAATGATTAGTGCTATATAAGGAACGCAGGGTAAAATTCCAGAGGTTTTACATTTTTAAATGATGGAACAAGAAGATAAGTGCGGGCACTTTAAACAATTCGAACCCTGCAATGACCTGAAAATAAGAATTCACACGTATGCACGAAAAAAGCAGCAATATCAGAAAATATAGAAGCTACAAATTTAATTTTTCTTGCAATTCTGAAATATTGTGATTAAATAGGTAAATACAGAATGAAATTAGCCAACAGGGACCTTGCGTCGCAGAATAAGAGCTAATGTTTCATAGAGGTAGCTTTTTACAAAAGAGAATATTTCCAAAAAGTTGGGGAAGGGGGAGGGAACGTGCTTCTGGTGCGTACCATTCTTGAATGTCAAAATATCTTCTGTGCAAGCTTGTACCGTATACTGTTTTCCGTTCATACCGTGAAGAAGAAATCCACCTCAATACTAGCCGTAGCCTTATTGCACTTAGCCTGCGTCACAGACCATAACTCCTCCTGATTTGAATTTTACGATGCGTAGGTTTCTACCTGAAAAATTGCTGATCGGCAGAGTTGGGAGTTGGGGTGTGTCACACCCCCACACCCTCACACCCCCACACCACCCGGTCGGGACCTCCTTGCCCATATTATCTGCTTTACATTTCCCGTCTTGAAACAGTCCTTTAATTGAGTTTAATAATATTTTCGATGAAGAAGGAATTAAAAACCTAATAAAAGAATTATCTTCCAGGTTACAACATGCAACTTCCTGTAAATATTTCCCTGATAAATTTTTGTAATTTCCTGCCATAATGTTTTACTTGGTTGTCACTCAAGAGATAAATTACTCTTTAGCTTTGGTTCATTACATTTCACTAACCTTTACAATGGTTATTAGGCAGTGTAATTGAACAAAAACAGACAAAGTAGTGAATTTGCAGTGAATAAATGGAAAAAAGGCAAATTTCCTGTTCAACAAAAATAAACTGTCTAGATTGAGATTTCAAGACTCCTGTGCAACAGAAATTATGATATGGGAGAGCAGTACACGCTTTTGGTGTATAAAACAGTTTGAGGCTTTTAAGTTGCTAAGAATCTGAGTTTCATGCTTAATCTGGCAACAGTTTCTACCTCTGGATAATTAAACAAATTCTCTATTGAAACAGAGTATTTGATTGAAATGTAAATTGAGATGGTTTGATAGTATTGTCAATCTATAAAATATCAAATAGGTTTTGAGTAGAATTGTGGTATGTAAGTAAAAATATTTTAAATAAGAGAAACGTGATAGATGGATAAAAATCCCTACCCTCTTGTAACCATGACACCAAATGACAGCAACTGGTTTGCGTTTAAATTCTAATTACTGAGAATTTTTAATTTCTACGCATTATAGGTCCATACTGTGACATAAAAAGATTAAAACCTCCTATTTGCCATGGCCTGTGCCACTTTCCCTTCCCCAATGTCTAGGAATCTTTATAAACCTCTGATATTTTCAACATAATGTTGATTAGAGCGAGCTACAACACTGTACAGACCAGATGCTCTTGATGCATTGTGAAAACCTTGATGATATGAATGGAAGTCAATTTACAAAAAGTATTGATTCAAAATGGCCACACTGATAGCGGACAGTTCAAAACATTTCATGGCAACAATACCTTGATGGAAACAAAATTTTCAGGTTATTTCACGTTCTTGATGCTCTTGAAGAAAGTTTCTGGCAACGCCTTGCAGCAAAACAGAAAACCTTTTTTGGCCAAGAAAAAATAGCCTGTAACTCACTTTTATTATATTTTGTAAATTACATACCTCTCTGCCTTGATTGCTTTGAGAAATGTTTGATTGTTGTCCATATCTATACAAATGTCAGTTCCAAGTTCTATCTCTAAGAAAACCCAAAAAATTAAATTAATAAAAAAGAAAACAAAGCAGCTGTTTGAAAGTGAGTAGCTGTTTGAAAACTGATTTGCCATCCATAAAGTATATATCAGTTTAGATTTAAGTTTAAAAAAATTAGCATTAAACCATCAATGACCGGGCAAAAAAATATAAATTATGAAACTAAGTTAGCTATCATTGAAAGATTACAGTAGGCTTAGCCCTAATTGTTAACTGGCAGGCACTAACAGAGAGTTACTATTAAATGTCTGATAAGCTAGGTAATTTCTTTGACCTAAATGAATAAAAAATCCAATTCATACCAGATAGGCAGCTTAAAACAGATTTTACTAAAAATAAAAGGACCATGCAAATATTATCATATGCAGGGAAACTTGTTTTGAGAGGCTTTTGTAACAACCTTTCGTAATATAGTCCTGTAGACAGGATTAACACTGGCACTTAGAACAAAGCATGCAGAAAACTTGTGGTCTTCAGATAATCCTCAGAATATGCTAATTTGCAATAAATAAACATTTAAAACATAGGGTTTCTGGATTTCCTATTTGTGGTAACACAAAGAACAAATTCATTGGACATTGTTTTCTTCAGGATATTTCTGTGTTGTTGGTAAATTATGATTGACCATGCTGACTGATTTATTAATTTTTCTTTTCTCTTATTCTTTCTTGGTTTTGTGGATTCTTCATTTCAGGAAATTTTGGTATCATTCTGCATAAATACTGCATTTTGACTTTTTTTCTTTCTGGGACCCGGAATATTTTCCGGGACCACTCTTCCCGTGATCTGCTACCTTTTCCGACCCCTGCTGCCACTATTACTTATTGCAACAAACTTTAAGGTTTTGGCTGCACACCAAACAGCTTTCAGGACATTCAAACACTGAGAATGTCATACCTTTAAGCCTTGAGGCAAATTCAAGCATACAACTTCTTTAACCTTAAGTGAAATATGGTGGCTGTGGTACTGCAATATGACACACTGTGTAAAGCAATCAGCAGTTTTCCAAAAGCTTCATGAGTGTGGGGAAGAAACCACATAAAAAGCCACAGAACATGCTAATTCTGCCATAATCTTGTATCTAGGCTTAAGTATTGCTCAACAAAGAATTATGAATGTATAGTTTATTTAGAAAAATGTGCAAAATCCAGCATTACCATTATTCAACTACATTATAACATGTATATATACAAAGTGACTTAGGGGTCATTCAAAATTGATTCTGAAAGGGGGCAGAGGTGTAGGAAAAACTGGTAAAGTATGACATTTTTCACACTTTCACACAAAACTGACAATAGAGAAGCATCAAAGGTGACCAATGCTAATCCTAAGCATTGAAAAGAAGCTTGTGGACTAGAAGTTTAGAATGGAAAGGTCAAAATCAACAATGAACTTAGGCTTTTTTGATTTGTGTTTTATTTGTATTTGTTTCTACCTAGCATCCAAAGGTAGTTTTACGACACTGAGAAGCTTATGCTTATCGAACAGTGTCCTGGTCCTTTCTCTCGATGTGACCACACCTTGTGATTCCTGGGCCTGGAGTTACAGAGAGCTGCCAATACCCAGAAATATGGTCACATCGAAAAAAGGACCAGGTCTCAAGTGTCCTAAAAACTACTTTCTGATGCTAGGTATAAATGAATACAAACAAACTGATCAAATTTAGCATGATGTAATTTCTGAACAGTCTGTCAGCCACGTTATTGCATAGAAACCAGATAATGCCAAAATTAACAAACATATCACAAATGCTTCTACACCATCTCATACAAACTTGCACCAACCAGACAGCCTGCAAATTGAATCTGACCTTTCACAAATTATAAATTTCATATTCTTTCCTATATATCAGTTGTTTATTTTTTGCCTTTTGGATTCTTTAGCAGATTTTTTTAAAAACATCTAGCAGAATCATAATATACATGCTGGATAAAAAATTATTTAAACTGGTATAGATGAAAAAAGGCTCCATAAAATGAAATTTTGGTTTTGACAGTCATAATTTTGTTTAAAAAATTTGCCTTGCTATTCATTTCAAAAAAAGACAAGTATCTGCTTTTCTGGCCACTAAAATGAAAGGATACACAAAACACTGTTTACAAATGATTGGTTGGGGGTATGGAGCAAACAGTAATAAAAAAGATTTGAAAACAAAAACTTTTTCACAACACACAAAAAAATCTGGGAAGGAATGTAAAGCTATGGATGTACACCTAATTAAGATAGCCCTCTACAAAACAGTTTTCACCCGAATTGCTTAGTTTCTCAGACTTAAAAATGATATGACAAAGAAACAAGAAGAGTAACTAAAAAACTAGTAGTAAAGAATATGTGTCAAAGAATACTAACTTAATGGACTCTTAATTTGCTAAGACTATATCATCTGTCACTACTGAAAAAATCCTTGTAAATATAAGGTTTAAAGTGCAATAAAACTGCATAGTTTGCTAAAAACTCATAAAATGAATTACCAATTAAAAAGTTTTTGACATTGAATCACATTGAATTACACTTTGTAAACACTGCATAATACTTGCATCAGGTTGAAATACCCAAATAAATAGCAAGTAAATAAATTTAAGTCTTAGAATTAGAAGTAAAATAGGAAAGATAGATCACGAAAAAGTGTTAAAATTTTGTTGATAGCACAGGGGTGTGGATATGATTTTACTCGTTAGCCGGGAGTTGCCGTTTTCATAACAAAAATAGGATCCAAAATAACTCAGATTACAGTGTGAAATTCCAATTTTTACTAAGCAGGTAAAATATTGGATAGTTGATAGCTTTGCTTAGCCAAAGTTGCCTGGTTTGTTTTGCCGCGTGGATCAGCAGCCCTACGATTGTGCAATGCAGCGACTTGACGATATCACAACATTCAATATAAAAACATTCCGTATGGATCGTTGATTTGAAGCTTGTAATTTTTCTCTTGATTTATTCAGAAAAAACCGATTTTACGATTACTGTTTTATTGTACTGAAATCTACTGGCCACGGAATATTTTATCAATACGATCTTTTGAAATACTCTTTCAACACTTCCCTTTGTGATATTTACATTCATGGCCTAACTAAAAGGTCTTTACTTTATGCAACCTGCCCTCTTCACAAATCTATTGCAGTAAAAACGAGATATTACATGGTCATAGCTGTTACCATACGTAGTTCAAGCTAACATTCACAAAGCTATATGAATTATGTGTTAAATTTTCGTTACTCGAAACGCTCTTATAATTCATTCAATAATCTCTGTGGGTAGATTATGTTAGCATAGTGTTCGAAAAGTACTCACCTCGCCTATTTAAAGGCCTGACCCTTACTGCCACCTTTACCTTGGAAGAAACATCCATTTTACCTAATAATTCCTTGTAAACTTCTGTACAAAGACGTGCATTACTGAAATTAATGTTTACAGTTATAGGCAAGGTGATATTGTCTCGCCTACTCGCAAATCCTTCACCATCTTTAGTGGTTTCATATTCTTACTGAGGGCATGGGCCCAAGTCAACCTTTGAAGGGGCGATGGTAGTGTGTGACCAAATGTGTTTATGTAAACATTTCTGTATCAAGATTTACTTTGGTTTGCAGAGATATAATAACGTTCATTTCTCTCTGGAATCGATAAACACGTTCTTGTTTTCATATCCATAATTCATAGATGTTAGTGTTTACAGAAGTGTACACCGTCCAAATTTTTAAATAAGAATCCTTCTACAACAAAAACCCAAGCCCAAACTTTCGAAACTCCTGTTTGGGTCACAATGGAAACGTTTGTTATCAAATGTGATCTTTCGAATTGTAACTTTCGTGCATTTTAGTTTGTTGCCAGAAATGTTGCAATCTCTCCCTCCCTATTCTATCAACTTTACTTTCAAATTTTTGCACATGAAACTGGAAACAATTTTTTGATAGTTCAGATTTGTTATTTCAAAACATGTTTTGGGTTCCTGCGACAGAAGTAATTGTTTTGTTGACTGTGCCTGTTGACTCAAAGAATACTTAGTGAAGTTTTATATAGCGAATATGGATGACAAATTGGGTATAATGGGTTTTTACGTTAAATGATTTATCAAGAAACGATTTTGTGTGCAAGATGCGGTAAAAAGTTAGGTTTCTCATGTACAAGAATATTTCGAAGTTTCATATAGACGTGACAAATGCAGCTTGGCACACAGACTCTGTAAGAAAAGAATTCTTTCCTACCTGGAAACATACAAATGCTACAAAAATTGATCAAACCCAAGTCAATTCACGTGCATTTCCCAGTTTTAAAAACTTCGTTCCAGATAAACCGGGGGAAATTTTTCGAATATGCCATTTTCTGATATCTCAGTCCAAAGGACTAATTTGTCTCCTTTTTGAAAGCCCAGACAATCTCTAAATTGCTCGCCAGACTAAAAAGATTTTTCGTTGACGCGACAGAGTCTGATCCGAAGGGGCTTATTGTTTTGTTGCATGTTTCTTTACAAAAATAATATTTGCGAACTTGTCTGTCTTTTACAACCTTTGCTTTAAGAACCCAACAAAAACCTTAGATTTTTATTTGAGCAATTGCTGTTTCTGCTTTTCCAAAACTACGGAAGCCCATTTGTGCCATACAAAGTTTGTTCGAATGCATATGAAATTATTTTCACTAGATAACGTAGACAATGTTCATTTCATTTCATACAAAGTTTGTTTCACTGTGTACAAAGTTTATTTGAATGCACACAAAGTTTATTCAAAAAGCTAACAAAGTTAGTTATGGCTTTGAAAAAAGCAAACATTTTGTCTTTTCGTCTAGATCTTTTCGTCTGCCATTCTTCAGAGCATAGACGCATTTTCACGCTACCCATTTTGGGTAAGCATTTTCTGACGCGATACGTGCGCCGCGCGTTTTTTTCAGCGAAGCGTCATGATGCGTCAAAGTTGGATAAAACGAAGCAGATAGAAATTATCCGTTTTAATGCGATTCAAGGAAGGGATATAAAGATGAGTTGGCTAGTTTGCTTTTATGTTTATTAGCAGTCCTACCATAATGAGAAACAGCATGGAGAAGGCAAGCTTCGCAATTAACCCTAGGATAACATATTACCATGATATTACGGAAACTCGGGCCACTTTGCTACTTAAAGTTTCTTACGTGTTTCTTAATCTTTTTAGGATCGATATCCAGCAATAATACTACTTTGAGAAGTTGGAGATAATACAAGTTTTTAACTTCTTGAGTCTGCCATTTTCTGAGAAAGAATGTAATCTGCATGTCAAGTATAGTGTTGCAGGATACACAGGGGCGTAATAGAGGCATCTTGGTCTCTAAGGGAAAACACTGAGATGGGACCCCTATTTACGGACTGCAGAAAGTCCCATCAAAATGCAAAAAGTGAGAATTTGCGTTAACTAGGGGGAGCTTTAGTTAGAGAAACTTTAGATGACGAAAGTTTTTGAAAATGAGGTGAACTAAAAAGTTCTTAAAACATGGATATAAAAATAATTTGGGGACCCGTTTTGATCAGGGGCCCTAAGTTCTTAAACTAAGGTGCCCTAGACAGCGTTACATGGTTGCGTATACAGTGACTGGGAAAATTAAACCGCGAATCACAGCATTCAAAGCTTCTTAGCTTTTTATATTCTGGTAGGATTATTTCTTAACTTTGAAAATTGAGCCTACCGTTTTCTGTAAGCTTTTTCTTATAGAAAAACACGTATAGTAGACAATGTATCAGAATCATAAATCTCCATGTACTTCTGTTGTGCTGATCTAATGCCAAGCTATCTACACAAGAAAAATCATGTTATCATGCTTCGATGCAAACTTCAGTGTAACGGGTTTTTCTGGAAAAACTGGAAGATCTTCTCACAATACTGCAGCTTTTATAACACCCACATAGTTTATATTTTTGAGCGAAAACTAATTGCAGGAAGCTTATGCCCTTGAGAAGATTGGGTAGAGAAGGGGCCTTAGGCTAAATTTAAACAACAAAGCTTTTGACGTTTTCTCAAAATCTGTAGTGGGTTTAGTGGGTGAATTAAATAGCGGGTACTGTATAAGTTAGTGTGTGAGCCCCAACTTTTTACATGAGAAAATCTTTATGTTGGTGAAATCAGCTCATTGTATGATATAACTGGGAACGTTTTGTCTTCCTGTTCGTTTCCGTTGGTAGATGTTACATACCTACAAATTTCCCAGCCCCCCTCCTAAAATATCCCACTTGACCGAGGCTCGCAATTTCATAAAGTCTAGAGGCAATGAAAAAAATATCAATGGGTGACAACATGAAGAAATCTGGCATGTTTTTCCCTTTTAACATAATTTTCTAGAGCTATAACATATAAACTAATTCAAAATAATATATACCTTTTGAAACAAAAAACACATTACAAATCTTGATTTGCAGCATAGCAAAAAATAAAAGCAAGGACGTAGCTAGCAGGGGTTTGGAGGAGTGTGACACCTCCCAAATGCTTCACGAATTGATCGGTAAATCTTCAGTTGGTCCCCAAAATCATTTTTCAGTAAAACAATCAGTGGGTGAAAAAACACCTAAATTTTTCTTAATCTATGTTTTCGTCAGTAAATTTTACTCTTGATGATCCTCCAGCTTCTAGTTTTGAAGGTCAAGCTATGCGACTGCAGAGAAGTTGTCTCTCAGCATATTTAGCTGCTTGGTTAATGAGTGTTTCACTGAATTACTTATTTCAAATATACCTGCTCTAAAATATAATCTCGTAGTTTTGTGTTTAATGTTAGAAAAAGTACTACCATATGCTGCAAAGCAAAAACAATAAGAAATGAATTTCAATTGTAAATGCAAAGGATTATTGATTATGTTATCAAATTATACAATTAGTTATCTCTAAACAGTGCTGGCTCAAATAATATGCAAAATTAATCGATATACAACATTTATACAACTATTGAAGGTTCAGTTCTATCAAGTCTTCCATGCATTCCATTCTGCGTGATCCGGTTGCTAGTATTGGCGTCACGTGCTTGATGACGTAATTCAAATATCTAAAGAAGAAAGGCGAACAGGATTTATCATTACGAAGTATTCATTTCAGGAACTTTAATTACAAAAAAAATTCATATGAGAGACGTATTGATGAAAGCCTTGGTCGAAATATTTGGAGTTCATGATTTCATACCGATTAAATTAACAAATAACGATATTTCATCTTGACAATTTTTGGAAATAATCTGTTAAGAAACTGTGAAATGGATTATTTGCGAAACACAGTCATGTTCTTGTTTAAGATGTGTGAGTTTGTCTCTATCATCTTTCACTAGGATAAGTAGATATGATTAGACTTCTCAATTTCTGAGTTTTTTGAAGTTTTTTCCTGCAGCCAAAGAGGCTGACGCTTTTTTGGGCGGTTTTTGTCAATATCACTGAATATTAACCTCTTATTTGTGTGGTGAAACGATACTTAAAGCATTTCTAAGATACTTAGATAAAATCGAGTGTCGATTCGCAATTCGATATCAAAGCTCCAGACACCTTGCTTACGCTATTATCGGCAATGAATTGCAAAGTTCTCTAGGACTCATGAGCTTTCAAACAACCGTCAGTAGGAGATCCTTTGCTTGTGGCAAATACAAGTAAACTAAGGAATACTTAAAGGTCTTGATAATCAGTAAGCAACACCAGTCAAGTGAAACTTGTGGATTTAGAACAATGTGTGTATGGATACGTAGACGTGAGACATGATACAAAAAATAGATTAGAACAATTGACGTGGTGACCACCAGTTTTTTCAGATTGCTTTTGCGTAATCAGTGACAACAAGCTAGTCAGTTTTAAAGAAGCGTTTAACAACAAAATTTAGAGCCACCCGCAATTCAACATAATATTTACAGTTTTCTTTTAAAACGAAAACACATATTAAGAAATTAGAAACATTTAAATTGAATGGCAAGGCAAAGCTATGCAAAGTTAATTAACCATATGTTTTAAAAGACTAGCAACATGGCAACCATACGGTGATGAATATTAGTCGATTTTCCTGTGATACTTTTTTACCCTGCAGTTCACTTATCCCAAACTATCCTTCGAGAGTTCGTAATCGTGTCGCCATAATCTACTTTAACTTTTGACTACAACAACAAGAAGATTCTCAAAAAGTGCAAAATAAGCTATTGGATTACTGTTGTTTAGGTACGGTTCACATGTTTTAGAACCAAGAACAAATCACATTGACCATTAAGTGTAAATGATAAATCAGAATGCAGACACAGCTTCTGATTCAAAAAAAAATTTCCAATATGCTTCATACGATTTAGATTTTACATGATACTGATATATTTTATATACTGTAGAAATATGGTAGCAAATGAACGTGATAAAAAGGTGATGCAGGGAGCAAAATACGCTCAATTATTCTACAACCAGACGCATAGGAATATACAGACATATGCGTCTGTGGAAGAGGTTTTGGATCTTCTGAATGCTAGGGCCCTCGTATAACACATATAACAATTTGGTTGAAAGTAACATAACATTGAATAAAAATAATTACCTCTTGTATGGCTTGTTTGAAACGGTGAAAGTTATAGTCAATCAGTCCTAAAAAGGAATGAGTGCGATTATAATGCAGTCCAGTTGGATGTAGCCATTGACGTAAGGCAGTTATTAGACAACTGAACCTAAAGCTATTCTCTCAACAGTACAGATGCAATGCAGTAACTATATTTGCAGCAGAAATGATGCGTGAAACGATAATATAGGGCAACATGGAATAAAACAGGAAATTGATAGCAAGAATCAGAACGTTCATAAACAGACTTCAAAACTAAGTGATTATACACTTGGAATTAGCAAGAAATCATACGGAAAACTGCTGAAAATAGTTTTATCAATGAACAGCAAAAATCTTACCGTGTCGTTCAAAATTATCTTCGCGTAGAATGCAAACAAGAGCAAGATACCTAAAATGATAAAAAAATAACTTTATTAATAATCATATTTTAAGAATAATCATACCTTTAGCAAATTATAATTATATGCCTTTAGCAAAAAATTATTTGGAGAATTTACGTTGGTAATATCAAAGCTAAAAAAAGATTTAATAGAAATCGAGACTTCCCAACTACAAAAATCATGGTAATGCTAACAGAAAAGATCTACAGTTGTATTGCTGTTGTTAAGATCAAGTGTGGAGGAGTAATTCTAAGCAGGTAGGGACTAAACGAATACTCTTTGTAAGGAAAAATACGAAATGTAGTCAAATATTCTAAATGCAAACAAAAAATAACATTTACCTGTTTACTTCCCTTAAGTATAAAACAGTGGAATTATTCAATCTAATGACAGATGCCGATTCATTGTCGTATGCGTTCAATTCTCCGTCTTCCCTCATCCTGCAAAAACCCATGCAACTAAAATACAATCTTTAATCATTATAGACAAAACTTCCAAAATAAGAATTTAAGATCAGGAGCACGAAGTTTATAAACAGCATCCACGTTGAGCAATAAAACATAAGCTAGGAAAACAGCTGAGCAAAACATCAATATTACAATATATACAAAGGCCCTTTGACAATAAATTAAACAAAGTTGTTCAGGGCATTTTACTGTGTATTAAGAGAACAGTTTTTGTGTTTGAGACCAACAATCGTGCAATGAACAAGAGTAATCGCCGAACACTGGCCTAAGAGACAAGCTAACGGGAAATCTTTGTCAAGACAATATAACATTTATTAGAGAGCCTTTCAATACATGCTGGTCCAATTTCACCAGATCACTGAAAAAACTGCCAGGCATTTCATTGTTTTAGGTTAATAGTCTTCAATTTATACAAATAATAGCTTTTTAAAAAAAATTTTTATCGAATAAAAATTTAGGCGAATTGGGTGAAATGAGAGTAACTGAAGATTTCAACAGAAAATACCGCCTGTCTCGTTACTACACTAAAAACACTTTTAAGGCTTAATATTTCAATTAACAAACAAATAAACGAAAAGATGGTCAAATCTAGAACGGTTTCCTCACATGACAGTATCATGAACACGGCTTTGAGAAAATAGCATATGGATTCACGTAAAAATCTAGCCATTTGCTGCCATTTGTGGACTGGGATGCAGGCTAATAAAAGTCGAGCCGTTGCAAGAATTAGGCTTCATTTAATATAATGTAACAATAAAATTGTCAAAATTCATTTACCCGTATATACAAGAGATATCGATCACAACGTCAATCATGTCGCAACATAGTTCGTATGACTGCATATCAACAGGCGAACTGAAAATTAAGACACATCAACAGTTAACATTTAAATGCTTACAAAATACATCCAAAATCCTACAACAAAGCAAGAAATTGCAGGAACCTACAAATGCCATCAAATAATCTTGATAAGGTGGAAAAAACTTTCACTGTTTGATTCTTAAAGCTTTGAATGTTACTCCTGTTCTTATTAGAGGGCTCCGTGATGCTTAGTGGGTTCTAAAAGTAACTAAAAGTTCAACTTTCAAGCTGAAAGCAATAAAAAAACACAACTTTTTTGAAGAACAGGTGATAAATCCTTTCTTATTTAGTAAAAAATTATAGGGAATTTGATATAAAATTTTCAAGTTAAAATAAAACGAAATGCCAGATTGGATAACAAATCACATTTCTGTTGCAATGGATTTCTCAAGTTGTTGGAAAAGTCTTCCTTCAAGGCTAGCTATGTTGTTACACAAAGCTTTGAAAAAATGAGCATCTACTTTTCAAAGATGGAACAAAAGGCAGAAACATTAAGCATCATACAACGTGCCAGATAGGGTTGTGCCCGATCAGCTTGCAACATAACCCTGTAGTTTTCAAATTCTTTATCTTCATATGAAACGCGATCATAACAACTGATTACAGTAAGCTGGTAACAGTGATAACTGTGGCCAAATAAGAAAGGTCTGATCAAGAATGTTCTAAACAGGGCTGTTCCAGCTCCATTTTCTAAAATCGAGAGGCTTCCGGCTGCTGTCCTGAGATAAACGACTAAGGCAAAGAGCACTTAAGCTGCTTCTTGATGCATCATTCATCTTCAGTTTTACTCACCTATCTGTTGCAATGTATATCTTAGAGACAACATCGAAGAGGAAAGCTTTCTCGATGCCTGAATGCTGTAAGAACAAAATATATTCTACTTAAATTGCATTTAATGATTTTAGAAAGAAATCTAAGCAGAAAGGCTGCAATCTACCAATGTTTTTTCCATTTAACTTTGCTAAATGGCACTTATTGAGCTCGCGGTTTCCACAGACAACTTTTTCTAGGTATCTTAAAAGAACAAAGATGTAGCATAGAACATTCACAACTATAAAATGTTGCAAAGGCCCTTTTTCAAGCGGTACCCTTTTGGGATATCCACGCAAAGCTAAATTCCCGATCTTATTTCAAAATCGTTTCAAACTTCTACATGCTTATTTTTCAGTTCAAACCAAGAAAAAACTGTTCTGGACAAAAAGCGTCATATATTTGTTGCTCTATCCGACTTCGCGACGATATGAACTCGTGAATAGGCATGCAGCTTTAACCAATAGGCTGTTTATGATTATGTTTTTGGAACGATGACAACCAAAAACCTCTTCAAGCAAAAACAGAGTCAAACATCTTGACTACAAGTTGAATAACGGATTGCATGCAACGACATTAGACTTTTTGCTTGTTATTTCAGAGCCTGTGCCATACTTTAAGTTGAAAGTGTATTTGCAGAATTAATCAAATCATTGTTGCTAATAAAGGGGGCATTAAACAAACAGAAAATGAAGCAACCGTAGAATGTTCTGCAGGGACAAGCATTTCCCTTCTGAATGATAACAACAAATAGGCCCGAACTGGAGAGATCAGCTGCAGCTTTTGCTGGGAGGGTCTCTGAATATCAACACGCCAAACGAAATCGATACTACAAAATAAGGCATAGTTGCCAAATGGGAAGTAACAAACCTGTATTAGGATGTCGAGAAGGTTTTCCAGAGCCGGAAGTTGTGGAACCAGCTTTTGCACAACTTTACTAAATGCCTAGACAAGTCAAAAAGCAAATACTGATGAAACGAATAAAAAATGTGCTGCTGCAGTAGTTGTCTCAATAAATTTTTCAAAAAAAATGAAGGGTGATATTTGAAATTCACATTTCCAACACCAGTTCTTGAGAACTTATTACACTTTCTGTCAAGTGTGGTTAACATATTTATTGCATAATATTCTATTCTGAATCCTAATAATTAAACAACTCACTTTTAAAAAACATGTTTACTGAAATCATCTACAAAGGAATTCGGTTTTACAATAAAACTTACTTTGAATAAACAATCCATGACAATGTTCAACAGCCAGTGACATCAGCAACAAAAACTTACAACTTTTGCAATCAAAATTTTGATTAAAAAGGAAAGACGTGTTTTCAATATATTCAAAAGGTACACTACATACAAAGAAAAAATCAAAATAAAATAAGAGGTTATTATTTTCAGTAGCATAAGACAAGTTCATTAAGATTAATTGTTTCAAATGATACTGGATCTGGAACTCACCTCAAATACAGAGTGATCATAAATACTTGTGAGGTAAAAGCTGTTTAAGAAATAGGAAAAGAAGCTGAAATTTATAAGAATATTACCTTTTAAGAGAAAACAAATGAAAGGAAACAAAATGATAAGTAACAGAAGCTGAGAGTAAACTTAAAAAAAGAACCAAAGTGGTTTCCACAACATGTTTACAAATCTGTTCATGTTGAGATCTGTCAGATCAAGAATCTAAATCCTATGGATAGATAAACTCGACAATAAGCTTTCCAGGCTGGAGAAAAAATGGAATAAGAGTGTGATAAAAATCTGCCAAGAGAGGATAAAACCATTGCTATTAACAGTAAAAAGAAATTTGAGAAGCTTTCTGTTATCCTCAAAAGATTAAAAAAACTGCCTTTTCGAACAGATTTAAACATGGGAAATCTTTTTAAATGAGCAAAAGGAAAACTTTTAGAAGCAAACTTTAGTAGATAAACATAATGAGATGGCGTACTTAAGTCAGTTTTTTGAAATTTCCAAAGCACAAGAAGCTGATCCAATTATTGGTTTAACCAGTTTCGACCTCAATTTCTATTGTATTGCACTGTTTGATTCAATTAAAATCCAAGTTGGTGTTGTTTTTAAGATGCAGATTAGATAAAACTAATAAAAAGCATGATCATATAATCTTGTTACCTTAACTGCAGCTTTTCAAGGCCAGCTTCCTGTAGCTCATCTGTTGTCCTTTGATGGATATCTCTTTGAGTTTCTTAAAAAGAAACAAAAAAGCTAAAACTAAATTTGATCACCTGTAAGCAGAAAGCAATAAAATAGTTCATAATTCAATTACATAAAGAGCTAACACATGAATCTGTAGCTTGACCAAACTTAAATTAAGTTTTATTTCCAGTGGATGCAAACAAACAGATCAAAATGTATTTACTCTAGCCAAGAAACAAAATTTACACAGCAGGTGAATTTTATCAGAGACTGATTTTCTGGAATCAAAAAGCATGTTTTGGCATTTTCTAGTTTTAATTGAAACAGACACAACACTTAAATTTACAATATTATGGCATCAAATGAAACTAATATTCCTTACACAGCTAACAGGTCTCAGACAAATATTAATTGGCACCTATAACTTGCTTTCTTACATAACATTCAGCTATTAAACAAGGTTGTATAACTTTGCTGTACAGACAGCACCTGTCCACAATACGATTAGAGATTAAGCAAATTTTTGAAAAATAACAATGATTTCAAATGACTCAATCTGTTACTTTGATCTGCTACATAATATGGGTTACATCCTTATTCTGTTATAAACCATAATTGCACTGAAAATTTCATAGATTGTATTCTAGCTCAGAGAAGGAAACAGAAGCTTAAAAACACAATATTTATACCCTATATGCAACTTATTCCTACATAGCTTAGGACACATAATTCACACATAGCAAGTTCATAATGATTTGGTATACCTTTAAACTCACATTTATTAGTGCCAAGAATTGTTTGCCTTATTATACCCAAAAATACATGGTTTAGTTTCATTAAGAAGCTTTGAATACCTTTAAATCAACTGCAAAAAATTCAACTGACACCTTTCAGCAAGTTACATTTTCCACTCTTTAATAGATAGATCTATACATGTTAACATCTATATAAAATTTAAAAGACACCTCACCTATCTTGTGATCATCTGTGAGACCATCTACTTTGTGAATGAAAACTTCAAATTGGATATTTGGGTTCACCTGAAGAGAAAAATTGGTTTGCACAAAGGCTACTTTTGCATGCATCACTTTGTCCAAAGAAATCTTATCGCAGGGATAAGCAGCACAGTTGAGCCTTGGTTTTTGAAACATTCATAACATCAAAAAGTGACAAACTGAGATTTTAAGAAATTGAAATGCAATTGGTCATCTGTACAGAATAGAATAATTTGTCCAAAGTGAGTTAGGATAAGAATAAATCAGGTAGGTGACAAAACATTAAAGAGTCTGAAGCATCTGAGCAAACAATAACCTGGTGAAAAGTATAACGGGTGTCGTTTGATAAAGCAGGTAAATACAAATGATGGTTAGGACACTATAGGTCTTTTTAAAGCAAAGGTGTAATTGTCAGTAAACCTAAAAAAGTGGAATAGGAAGCTAAAAATTGTATGATTGTGCTTAAAATATGCTAACTATACTGTGCCAGAATAATAATAGACCATCTCAGAGTTTGCAGAACCATGACTCAAGCTGGGCAAAAAGTGCAACAAATAGCATGGGAGCATTTATAATTGAGAAATTATAAATTTATCTGTGGCTCAAACAGGGTCCATTGTTAATATAAAAATTCAGATTGGCATTCTGAAAGTATTTTCTCCTTCTAAAGAAGTTTTACAACAAAAATAATGTAAGAACAGCCCTGAATTTTTTGCTGGTTTGCCCCACCCAAGCCATTTTAACTAGCTACAAAACCGTAGAATTCCATTATGATGTCACAAACTCGGAAATTTTTCATAGCTTTGATATTCTTTGCCAAAATAGCATAATCCTGACTGTTAATTTTCAGCTTAGATATTAAATTGAAATAGCCATTTTGTAATACCCTGTAGGCTCTTGTGACTGTCATATGAAGCTTTGCTAATGCATCCATGTAGTCATCCTGCAAAGAAGATTCAATAAATATACTAGATTGTGTGTGGTACAATATAATAGAAAATAAATCTAAATGTAAGTAAATTGTACCAGGAACAGATAATAGATTATTGAATAACGACAAAGAAGCAAAGAAGCAAAGGTTCTTGAAATGTAAAGATGGAATCAAAACATATCACCGAGACAGAAAAAAGAACATTTTACTTATAGGAGACATAACAATTACACATCTAAGAATAAAACTTTGATGCAGAGCTTAAAGGCAATCAACAAACTCAGTTGGCTTAAGCCATCTAGAGGCACCTGTCAATCAAAACTCAATCAATAAGTGTGTGAGTGAAATTACACTCACTGATTGGTCAATTCTTGATTGCAAGTTAAAGGTTTAAGCCCCTTTTGTATCTGTTGATTACCTTTAAAGAGCAGTTAGCAAAAAGGGACATATCTCTAAAACATGTGAGAACCAGAGATATTATACATTCTTCATGAGCAGGGAGAAATTTTAGCAATTTCAATAAAAATTTAGAAACACTTTACCTGAGCATCGATTACAAAAACCAGTGAACCACATCCACCAAATATTTGCTCAGAATCAAAAGCTGAATCAAAGAAATCAATTTGGCCTGGAAAATCCCATATCTATGAGGTATAAAGAAAAAATATCATCAAAAGGCTTAATTTTTTAAATATAAGTTGTAGGCTAGTCCTATTACACTTTTTGTTTATAATTGAAAGTCTTATTAAAGCAAACCAGAATCTTCCCAAGCTTAATGTATCTTTTTCTGGACAAATTCTTTGTGTGAAAGTCAGAAAAACTTAAACCTTTTTTCAAGTACTCAAATACAGAATTTTACAATATTTAGTAGAATCTTACAATATTTAACATTCTACTATACACTTTAATTACTATACAGAAAGTATGAAATGATAACATGGTGAGCAAAAAAACAATAACTACCCCACGGCCAATACATGAAGACATGAAATGTTTAACTATATACAGTACATGGATACTACGATAGATTTTGTCTCACATCAGTTGTAAGGTCAGCGTCACAATGAGTTAGAATGATGTCAACAGGGCAAACTTACAAATCCAAAAACTGACACAAAAATTGTGACCTGATAAAGGGTGTTGGTATGTTGCTTTAAAAATTTCATCAACGATACTAAAAACTTTCAGGATATCAATAAATTGTTCACATTTAAAATCTGAGAGACCATTTGACAAAATGATGCTATGCTATACAGTGGGAACACTTACCCTAAATTGGACAAAAGAGCTATTAGATATGTCATCTTTTATTATTTTTGTTGTGCTTTCAAGAAAAAGTGTTTCATTTGGAGACATTTTATGAAATACCACTTTCAGAATTGATGACTTTCCACTCCTGAAAAGATAGCAGAAGGTATCAAGAAAAATTATAACAAAAAATATCATGATATATCAACTAAATATACTTGAATTGAACATAAGCTCTAACTAAATAATACTTTGAGCAGGAGAGCAATAAACAGTTCTCCTAGTCATTTCAAGGTAAGATATTTGAAGAAAAATAAAGAATACAAAGAGCTGTAGAATTAATTTTAAGGAGAGCAAATTGCATTTTAGAATAATTCAGGAGAGCAATCTGCAGCTTTCCTAAAGGGAAAATTTGAGTGGAGCAAAAGCTATGACTCTCCTAAAATGGCAAGGCCTATAATATCGATATTGATCTACTAAATGCCTTCTCAATTGCCCCTCTCTAAAGCCTGAAATACATGATAAGTTTTTATCAGTTTTTGACTGGCAGTTTTCAGTAAAAATTGATTATGTATACATTTAACAAAAACTGACAAAAAATGATGCAGTTTTTAACTGGGGGGATTTCTATTATATTAATTGCTGCAGACTCTATTCTTTGCAGCTTGTGCCCCTCTGATACAATACCGAAAGGTGCATATTTGTTCAGAGCAAGGTGGATTTACTGACATGACATTTATTATTATCAAGTTTTGACTCATAGTATCTTTGATTGACACTTTAAGTCAAGCCTTGCTTAGCCTATGCTTTGAACACATTTTACTACTCTTACGCTGAATATGTAATGTGGCCTGGCCTAGTATTATATCCTGATCATATAAGTTGTTTTGTCATGTTCGTTCAACGGTAGTTTATCCTTCAAGATACTCTTCATGGCATTCTAATATTTACAAGCAATTTGAAAATGAGGAGAATTTATTAACACCGATGGATTAAAAGATGCAGGGAAGTAAGGAAAATCATTATGAGACATGAAGTCATACATACGAGTACATTAGAAAAGGCAAATAGTTTGAAAATGATCTATTTTTGGTATTTTTGCCTTTTGTTAATGACCAAAGCTAGCCAGTAGAACTGCAGTTGTTTAACGAACAAGCTCCATTGTAAAAACAAGTAGATCATATCAAACAGAATGAGCTGTTAGTCAAAAACTACAGAAAACTGATCATGTATGGAGGAAATCAATTTTAAGAGACTGAAAGCTGTTAGTCAAAACAGATAAAAACTGATTGTGTAAAAAGGACATCAATTTTTGGAAAACTGAAAAATATCAATCAAAAAGCAAACAAGACCTGATGGTGTATTTCAGGCTTTTTATTTTTAAATCAACTTTTTATTCAAACAGCCAATAAACAACCAGGGTTATTATTACAATATATATACAATTTTGCATTTCTATGATGTTTTTATCAGTAAGACATAGTCATAAAAATCTTTTTGATGTTGCACATTTCCCTTGTCGAGCAATGGTTAAGATGATAAAAAAATTATTTCAAAGAGAGAAACAAGTCATGTTATGCTTGCTTTGAAAAATTAAAAACTGCCAAATCTTGTGATGAAAACAAGAATAAGGATCCATTTGAAATATCAGATTCTGATGTGGAGGAGAATCTATCAACTGAAATTGATTCAGATAAAGAGGCAGATGATTTTTAATTTATTAGATTTTGCCCTTTCAGTTTCAGACTTAGCATGAAATGATGTGGAAAAAATGATTTTATCTAGAAAAAAACTCTTTTTTTTCAATAAACGACACTTTCTAATAAACACCCCTCTCTAATAGTTGTCCTTCTTTAAAGTCAAACTTTCATAAACCATTATGCATTTTGATAGACCAAATAGATGTTCTGGGCTTGTAATAAAATTTGCCATGTTAACTTTTGTAAAGATGTTTGGCAAGTGGTGTAGTCTCAAATTCTTAGGAAGTATAATGCAAAAGTAAAAGAAAAAAACAGTGTTACCCCTCCACTACACCACTGTGTTTGGCATCACTTTGAAACTCATTTTATGCTTAGCTTCTTCGCTTGAATAGCTTTCCCACCATTTTTAAAGCATAATAAAAAAATTAAAATGACCATACCTTCTCATACCCATTAACAATATCTTTGGCTTCAGTTCTTCTTGGTGGTTCCCATGATCCTCTCTTTCATCTGGTGCATAACTAAAATTTAAACATGTATTAATATTTGCATGGTAAGAAACCTTTATTACAATATAGCAAGCAAAAATATATTTTCTACAGGCATTGCTAAATTTGCAGAGAAATAAGGAACACTGCAATGGGCCAAGAACAAAAAACAATTAACACAAGCAAATTAATGGTAAGCTAATATTTTGGACTAATCTGTTTACTTTTATGGTGTTTCACTGCAAGCACTCCATTGGAGTCCATTCAATAGCCTGATATTGCAGCCTCTCCTTTATTTACATACATTGTTAAATTTTCTAGCTTCAAATGCTGAAATGCTTCTTTAAAAAAAAATAAAAACAACTTGTCAAAAAGTCTTTGAAAAACCAAATATTACTGTAAGTGAAATTTAAAGTACATAAAATAACAAACAAGCAAAATATATTTCAGAATTTGCAATGTATGAACCTATGCCATCGTTATTATAAAAATTCTGCCCAGATGCTTGAAAAAATAAAGCAATCTTACTCTGAAAACTTGTCTACTTACTCGTAATCTTTTGGAAAGGAACCAACTACACTGTAGCTTCCACTTGCACCAAAGTTTTCTTCTTCTTCGAATGACTAATTGACCAATACATGTAAATCGTTAGGTACAAAAAAAATTACAAGAAACAATTGATTCATATCACTTTGTCTAATTCTTATATTCTATAATGCTTCAAGAAAATTGTAACTTGCTGCATTTGAAATATTTTTTACCAGCTAAGCTAATCAGTAAGGGTTCTCAAACTTAGTTTTATAAAGAAACATTATGCAACGACGTGGAGTCAAAATTTAGGCCATCTTACTCAGCTTTAGGCCGTTTTAGTGAATTCATTCAATAACGACAGCTGTAAATGCAACCCTGACTTCAGGAGTCGTTTTCTATGAAAATATCTTGCTTACTTACTGCCATTTGAATGTTGTTAAGTTAGTTTCTTCCTTGAGGTTAATACTTTTTTCGTTTCCACAACTAGCAGCGATGTTGTTCTCGTATCACATGATCCACTCCAATGACTTTCGTGATGGTATTCAAAACGAGGTAAAGGTGGGTCAAAAGGATCCATGGGTCGCAGGCCATAACAAAAGTACTGAATTTAGTGTTTTTTATTTTTGGGCATTTTGGCCACGGTAATTTTTTACCAGCAAGGTGGGGCTGGTACACACAAAATTTTATCTCACTTCATGTAGCTTTACACAATAAAGTCTTTTTAAAGCTTTCGAAGGTTGTGAAACTGGCACAGTTAGGTTACTTTTCCGGAACAGTTAAGTGAATGTACTTCACAAATAACAAATCCATCACCAATTACTTGTGACTTGTGTTGCTAAGATTATTTCTTATTCTATTTCAAATTTATTCGATTTTCTTGATTGGCACCTGTGCTCTTTGTAATACTAGAAATTTTTACACATAAACCAAGTTCTCCGCTCTTTGGTTGGAGCATTTATGACTGTATCTTGTAAAAGTAACTCTGAGTCTTTTGAAATACAACAAACAGATATAGGTCCTGTGCTTTTCAAAATGTTTAAAATTTCATTCAATTTGCATTCAAGAACATGATCGTACTGAATGTCTGGTAACAAGTATCAGTTTCATTTGAATTGGTAGCCTATCATGGCTATTGAATTTTAGATCCGATGATTATTTTCGACGAATAACTTTGTATCTTAGAAAAATATACTGTCAAGTCATATTCACAATGGGCCCAGGGAAGGGGGTACTCCTATTAAGGCCTCACAGGGGTCCAGTCGATTTGAGGGTATTATCAAATGACTACCAAATGGCCCAGTTTTGATAATAACACAACGGCTTAGTTTAGCTTGTGATTTATTATAAACAATGAACATGGTTTTATCTTTCACGAATCAACAACAGTCAATGGCGAAGAAATTTGTCAAAAGAATGACCAGGCGCGTACAAAGAAATGGATGCTACAGATAATTATAGGAAATTCTCTACGGTTATTTGTTGTCAGGAAGATAACAAAAACATAAAGGAATTGCCAACAAACGAAACATCCTACTGTTTTGAAACAAAAGTATAAAAATAGAAGTATATAACTGCAAAAAACTTTTTAAAGAAAGGAGCAAGAACAAAGACAAAACTAAAGATTGTTTTTGTCGATTCTACGCTTCATATTTTGCTTATACACAAACACAAGATAAATACTTACTTGCCTCATAAAAACACACCTTTAGTTTAAACGAGGTAAATATATACATAAATGAATTACCAGAGCAAACAAATGTGCAGTTTAATATTATCTCAATTCTCAAATACGGGATTGACAGTAAAGAAATTTTCAGTCCAAAATTAAAATTTACACTTCTTTGTAAGAATATCATAAATTTTCAAAGCCTAAATATTTTTAAGAAATTTTCGTTTTGAGCATGAATATATTCTTAAAGTATTCTTACTTTTTTCAAATCTGATATAAATTCAGGGGAACATTGCCCGCCTTCGAACAAAAGCCACGAACTAAATATGGCAGCAACTTGATTGTCTGTTATTAGCATCGCAAAGTGGGAAACAGCTGAAAATGCGACAAATATGCGAACTAAGGTTGGAAATATTCTAAAAATATTCTTAAACATTGGAAGATCTTGAGCCGAAATATTCTTATAAGCAATAGCAACAGAAAATGATGTGAAAAATTTGATATTTTCTGATGAAGATTCATTACTGATTTAAGCTGGAAAAATCTATGGGGAAATCAATAGAAAACAAGACACTCTGCATTGAAAATGTATGGAAACTTCATGGATAGAGACTATGCCCAATTGTTAACTGAGCAATGTCTTTACCAAAAATAAATTAAGGACAAAAGAGTGCGACGTTACTAATTTCCAAGAGTCTCAATTCTTTTTTACATACAATCTGCCAAATCTATTGAATTCTTAAGAGCCTTTAGCCACCTGTGAAAAGAAAATTGTTTACTGAATCAAATTTATAAAGAAATTAAGGGGAAAATTCATAAGAAAACTGACAAGAAGGGTGTAAAATAGAAAAAACTAACTTTTCTTAATTTCTCTTTGTAAAACAGGATTTACAGTTAAAAATAGCATAGCTATATCCTCGGCATGCACTCAAAGCATAATTTTATACTGAGATAATTTCATTTACTTTTTAGGGACCCGAGTGAGCAAAAAATCTTCAAATGAGTTAGTTAGGCAACCCTCCGGCCCGGAGTCAGAGAGCATGCGTAATAATAACTTATTCCATAAGAATGCTCTTTGACTCCGGGACGAAGGGCAGCCTCACCCATTAAAAAACTTTCTCTTGCTCATCTCTCCAACAATTACCGTCTTAGCAGATTGAGTTTTTTTGATTATACAATTTGGCACTGGTTTAACATGATTTTATCCAAAGATTGAAGTTATGAAATCGGTGAGATTGAAGTTACGCAAGGACCAGTAAATTTTCAAAGAACGACTTTAACAGAAATTTACTTTAGAATGACGATGGTTTTATAAAAAATAGCATTATAGAGTTTAAATAAACTTTAGCTTGCGACAAAAAGGGAAATCTGGCCATTATCTTTTTTACATTAAAACATTTGAAGCATTAGAGCCCTTAACTTTATACAAGCAACGAACGAAATGGCAGTCGGTTTTATTGCTTGATATTGTTTGATACTATAATTAATGATAATTTCAGCTTTTTTAATATCTTAACCATTAACAACCATCACAATTTTCATCTCTTGCACGCTAAATCCTGATTGGTAGCTTGTCCTGAATTTTTTTACACAGAAGCTTTAAATCAATGACCGATTCAATTGATAACTTGCTGCAGCAACGCAAACAGAATGATCAATCATATCAAGATCTTTGGACATCTTGTTTTTAGTATTAGGAAAATGTATTATTCTCTTTTTGCTACATAAATCACTTTCACAAAGTGTTAAAGCTTAATGTTAACAAGGTGAAACTTGTAGCTGAATTGTTTCTCTAAATTGTTAAACAATTGAAAACTTTTAACAAGTCCATCTAAGACAGCTTTTTCAGATGTGCCTGCAGACGTAATTTGATCGGCATGGTTTGCCTGCGAATGCCGCTCGCGTACTTTAGCGAGGACTGCCTAACTGATACACATTTACTAGCTTAATTTTTTTTCATTATTCTGACATTCTATACTCTGAGAAGTATCGAACGAAAAGCTTAAGTGTATTTAAAACACTTACTTTTCAAAGTGCATTTTAAAAGCTGGATAGTACTGATCATTCAACAGCTACTGGGTTTCAGATGCAAGCCATTCCTCATGAGTTCGTTTTTCTCACACATTACAATGTCATTTTTAGAATGAAACAGACAAAAACGTTGAAAGGCAGTGAGACGAAAGGAATCGTTTTAGAACACAAAGCTCATTTTCCACCTGAGATCTGGTTTGTATCCTTCGTAAATCGCAGCTTGCTTTGACTTAAAAGTGAAGGGAACTCAAACTTTGTTCCAATTCGTCCTATATCATCCACTCACCATCGCCCAAAAAATCCAACATGGGTGACAAAACCAGTGCAACATATTATTTACTGTGCTGTATGAAACCCAACATTGCTGTATGAAAGGTTGTAATGGTTTGAACAAGGTCTTAAACGGAAACAGGAAATAAATCTTTCTTACCTATCGCGATCATTTTCAGTTTCTGTTGCAAAGTAGTATGTCCTCATCAGCGGCTGTGGTGGAATAGCAACAAGCCCATATTTTCGGGATATCGACTCAGTTTCGTTAACAGTATAGCAATGTAAACAAAAAACGCCGATAGCAGTCGTTTCTGACATGTCCTTATAATAGAACAGGGATCCATCTTTTAACACAGCGTAGCGTCTCTTCCAGGTTTTGTGAATCTGGCCTTGCTTCCAGATGTAGCCATGGCAGTCCGGATCTTTGATTGACAAGGCAGGTATACTGATATTGTGGATACTGTAGTCCGGAGTAGACTAGAATAGAAAAACCAAAACTGATTACTGTTATAAATGTTTATCTATATTGGTGATTTAACCGGGTTATAGCTCGCTTGCTGCTAAAAAACCAATAGTATTGGTGGTGTTAAATAAGGCTAAATAATGGCTTAAATATTTGGTAAACAAAAATAATGAAGAAAAAAGCTAAATCTAATTGAATTTAGAATCTATTGTGCATTCATTTACAGTATTAAGTGCTCTTACAACTGAAAAGATGTTCTGGTGCATCTTGAATAGAATGTATTTTGTTGGAAACAAATTTGAGGAGATTCTAAAATACAGATAATGACAAAGTTCAAATAGAAATGCCAAAAGAAAACTTTTTGACCTCAAGGCATTTCTTAAAAACTATTTTAATAAACAAATGTGATCAACGAACAGCATCTTGTTTGATATACACATTCACACTGGATTGAGTATCCATGTTTGTGTTCACTGCTTTGATCTTAAGACGTCAAAAATATCTTTGATGCTTAAAAGGATAAAAGATAAATAAAGCAGTCTTACGTGTGGTTTATCGTCTGATTTTGTTGCCTCTGATATTACTTGTATCCACCTTTAGAATAAACAGAGCTTCATTCAGTCGACCTTTATCACGATGAAATATTACTAAATCTATCTGCAACTTTCACATAATTTATCAATATGAGCTATCAGCTTGTACATGTCAAAATATATTCCTTGCAGTGTGACTTGACCACACGATTTCCAAGGATTTTGAATAAAACAGACCACACGAGAGAGAACCATTTACGAAATTACACAACAGAATACCATAAAAGTAGAAGAATAAGACAAAATATCACGAAAAACATCAATTATAAACCAAAATAATTTTTAGTTGGTCTTTCTCTTATTCCATAAATCACAGGAACATACAAAACAACAACATAAACAAAAGGTTTTAGTAAAGTTCAAAATACAAAATTTCAACAGTAATATGTTGCTTTTTTAGAAAACTTAGAAAACAAAGATTCTGAGAGATCTATTACTGAAATAGTTTGGTTTACATCACAGTTTGTCATCAGGAAAACATTCCCCTACCAAAAATTCGCCATTTTAATTTTACATTATCAATTTACAAAACAACTATAAAATTACAAAAACGATACCACCGGAAGTAAAACTGTAAACATATACATGATGGTCATGACTCTGAACAGATAGAAGAAAAGTGTAACCAAGTACAGGATAAACTAACTATACACAAAATTGGCACATTGGGAAAACATTAGCAAAAAATATATAGCGTAGCACGTACGTTCTCATTTCAGTTGATGAAAGGGCAGCGAGTGTATACGTCCTGGCACCACCTTTCGTGAGCTGGAATGAAAAGCTTTTGCTGGTGCTACCCATGACAGGAGTAACGAGGTAATTTGATAACACTATGCCACCGGCTGGTTTACCCTGCAAAGAGAAAAAGCTCCAATTCCAAATAAACTGCCATTTACGTAGCCTGCACACACTGCATGAGTTTGAATCAGTCATAGCCACAAAAGATAAAATGTGCTTCTTTTTTACCATTAAGTCAACAGTGCGTCCAAGCACAGGTGCGTCGAAAGCAATATAGAGTAAAAAGGTAACCCCACCCGGTCTCTATCAAAAGGACAGACGCTCTTTGACATCACTTTTCAATGGTCTTCGTTTCCTTCATTAGCTCCAATGCAAACCTAGCAGTACAGACACAGACCTAAGATAATTTGATTTTATAGTCAAATTATCGACAGGTTCTTAGGTAACATTAAGGGTATGATCTAGAGCATTTTTCCTAGAAGAGAATAACAGAGACATACAAAGTTTCATGCTCTAAAGGCCTACAAGGTTTCCTCCTCCAGAGGCCCAAAAAGTTCCCTGCTCTCAAGGCCTACAAGTTCCCTGCTCTAAAGGCTTACAAAGTTTCCTTCTCCAGAGGCCTACAAAGTTCTCTGCATAAGGCTCAGCTACCACCAGTCTAATCTTACAATCAATATTGACCTACAACCGGTTAAAAACTGGAGAATACTAACATCTATCACAAAGAACTCAGCCTTTTATCTTTGACTTATAGTTCTGCATCAAGGTTAGAAAAAGTGAAAATTTTCCTCTCTGTTTCAAAAGCAAATCAACTCAAAAACTCAAAAACAATGCTATACGATAACTATAAACTAATATGAAATAAAGGTCAGAGTTGTCGCAAATCTCTGATATTAACTATTACAAATTCTTGCTACAATAGTGGTTTTGTTATTCCAGAAATAAGATTATAAAATGGCCTTGAAAATATATATATACCCAGTTGTGGATCGAATCCATCTAGCAGTTTTGGAGTCTTTGTTTAAAAATTCTTGCTTTCTTTAAGTTCATTTATAAATTTTGTACCACAAAAAGATTGTTTGCAAATAAGATTATAATTAATTATCGATTAGCTTAGACAAAGCGGTTCGATATAGCTGAAGACAAAAAATATCAAACCTTGAAGATTGCACGGAATACCGGAAACATCGGAAACATAACAATCTTCAATCTTACAATCTTCATAGCAATTTCGTACAATCTTCAGGTTTCGCAGTACCAAAAACTAATTTGAATATCTCACCTTTGGATTTTTGTAATAATACAGACAATGGTCACTCCGTAGAACAAACCTGAAATATAAGTAAAGCAAGGTGAACAAAAGTCAATGAAAATAAAAAGAACATGATACATAGGATGGAATGTACCAAATATATAGCGATCATTACATTTTTGATTCCCATTTAAAAAATTGTAATTGAAATCATTAGGTTTGCGAGGTAACTTGCTCAGTTTTGTTTACTTAGAAAAAAATTGCTAAGTGTTCATTTCAACATAAATCCCATTATCAATGACAAGATACAAGTTTGTTATAATCAGGGGCCTGGGCCATTTAAAAACAGCTACACGGTAACTCCACAAATCTGTCACCCTTGTGTAACCAGTTGACATTCTCTCGACTTTAATAGCGGAGATCAGAGAGGTGCAGTGCAGCATTTCCTTGCCTGTGCAAAAACCCAATCGGATCATAAAGAAAAAGATAGTGTGATAAATCCTTTTACAGTATTTTTAACTTCCAAGGAGTAAGCCGAGGTCTACGTGGCCTCTCAAGGTACTGAATTTCATTATAAGACTGGAATTAATCCATCGTAATAAAAGCATGCCTTAAAATGGCAAAATGTTTTTAACTGTTGCAAGAAAATAACTACAAGAAAGTTTCTAAAATGTATTTCAAGCTAATCTTAAGTACGTGGTCCCAAAAACTTTTCGAAATTGAAGAATTTCAATGCGTTTTACAAAATTGGTTTTAAGGCTAATAATGCCATCAACTAGAGCCCCCCCCTCACTTCTAATTTTCTTGGTGCCGCCCCAGAAAAAAGGGCGCTGCAACAGAGAGTCTTCCAAATATTTATGGGGTGAGTATCCTCGTATCATCGCATCACTGTGATCGCAACACTGTGATCGCATCACTGTGATCGCATCACTGTGATCGCATCACTGTGATCGCATCACTGTGATCGCATCACTGTGATCGCATCACTGTGATCGCATCAAGGATCAAATCACAACAGGCCCCCTAATCAAGAAATTTCAAATATCAGTAGGCTAGTCCATGTCCTTGAAAGTTTTTGATTTGATTTTGATAAAATTGATCTTATTGACAAAATGTTTTACAACCGTACTCTAGTAGAGGTTGTTAACCAAGAATATGAAGTTTTTGTAATTTTAAGTGTTCAAACATCAGTACCAAAATATCACGCAAATCACAAATAAATCATTCAAATGAAAGGGCATAAAACCAAACAAACCATCTCTTTCGCCAATTCTTTGGTGTTAAACCAGTTCCTCCAAGCTTCATCATAAATCCACTATGTATAGGAAGTCCTGTAAATGAGAATTCAACATGTCTTCAGAGCATTATCGAAAGTGAAGATAATTACAAAGACAGTACTCTTTGAGAAACTAATAAAACTGCATATAAATTTGTACTGCAAAATTTTCATTGCCCACTTCTTGACTTGGCTTTCTAAAAGGCTAAATGTAATGCTAATTTGAACACTGCTACAATAAGCATTAATTCCACGATCCTGTTACATATGAAATATGATTAAATTTTATTTAATCAAGCTACGAATGAGTGGCTGCAAAGAAAAATGCCTCGCTGAATAATCAGGCAACAAAGTTACCATTCAAAACATGTGGACTTGCATGAAAACAGACCAAAATATTTTCTTTCAATAAAGGAAAATGAGAGTAAATTCTGCTTCCAACTGCATATCTATTTTACCATCAAGGACAAAATGTAACAAAAAACCCACAACTCTTAAAAAAGGCTAATTGTTGAATAAAACAAAGCAAACAATACTTACTTGTTTCTTTTTCTTCAGACAGCATACGGTAGAGCCTTTGTTTTTCTTCACTTGCGGTTGATGACACTGATGATGACTTACTGCGGCTCCTCCCAGGACTATCTGTCACTATTCCTGACAGCTCCAAGCTATTCCTAATCAAGGCATTACACAATGATGTAAATGAGAAGATATATACCATCCTGCTATTTAATGCAAATTTTTCAATTTGTCACGCTTTAGTTGCTTAGATACCAAGTTTCAACTTGCTTCATTGCATGAATAAGCAATACAAAACCCTTTCTGTGGGAGGCATGAAGGTGCACAAAAAGTTGTTGAAGAATGTGTTCCTGGAAACCGTGGACATGGAATATTTAAAGGAATGAAGTTGTTCCTTTAGAAGCAACCAAAAATTCAAAAAAATCTACAAATCAACATAATCAAAGAAAGCCCAGAGATATGTCACAGAGCATAGACTTTCTGGGTTCAGATGATACTGAGTTGCTATCAGGCCCGTCGGAACCGGGGGGCTGGAGTCCCCCCAATAATTGTCAAACTGTAGTATGTTTCCTTTATAACAGTGTACAAAATGAGAAGGAAAACAATGGGCAGCCCCCCCCAATATGAATTTCGTTCCGACGGCACTGGCTATACAAGAACTTTCAGAAATATTCATTGATTTCCACTGTTAGATGTATTATGTAGTAATAATATGCATTTGATGAATAAAACAGAATATGTAAAGTGTCAATTCAATGCAACTTTATCGTTTCATTTCAACTTCCTCATCATTTGAAACAAAGCTTTGTTCTATGATTGTATCTAAAATTAGGCCTATTATGAAAATTAGTTTACTATTTGTAAGTACCACTGTCTTATATTCCTTTTTCCTATTACAGGTTATTTGTTACTTTGTCATTTTGCTCCAATCAAATTCATTTCCTTTTTTGGTTCGCAAAGCAGGATTGGAGAAGAATAAATATATAAAAAAGGAACCACATGAAACATTTTTTCCCCAAGAGAGACCTAATGGTACATTCCCTTACCAAAAAATGGCAGAAAAAGTTATATCCATGCCTGTTTATCACAATTTAAGATTTGTAAAAGCAACAATGGCCCAAGAGGTAGGAAGTGGCATACTAGAAGATTCCTAGAAGATTCCTTAACCTAAAACATTTAAAGCTTTTGATCTTGGCTGTTTATCTTCTTTCCATCCTTTTCAGGTCAATCGCACCACCATCTATTCCCTAGAAAATATTTTCTGTCTCCAATGCCAATGCCAACAATGCAGTCAAATCACAGACTCATTTTTTGAGATCAATGGTTCTCATTCTACCTTTGTTTTGGTCCCTTTATTCAGTAAAATTTTAATGCTGTACAAAAAAATTCGTGGTGTTGAGAATTTTTCTTAGAATAACCCTTGAAATTAGCAAGAAGAAATCATAATTTGAAAATGGCTTTGAAAAAAGCAAACATTTCACAACATTCTAAAAGCTTTTTCGACTGACACTCCTCAGAGCATAAAATGTCAGAATCAGGGTCTGAAAAAACACGATGAAAAATATATACCCAGTTGTGGATCAGAATAGGCCAATTAGAAAAACGCAAGCACAAGACAGGTATAGTTGACCAATCAGTGCCTCGAGCCTAAAGAAAAATTACCACTGGAGTCCAAGAGAGAAAACTAACTCCTTCTGTATACACAATGGCGGCTTTTTCATTTGTATGTAGATGAACTCCAAAACTGCTAGATGGAGGACGACCGGGCTCTGCCAATTATCTGAAACATGTCGTCATCATACAGTTTTGCACAATCTGGGTTGTCTAAAAGATGTTGACCAATGGCAGAATCACTTGTTTTAACAGTGTTTCTAGACCTACAAGATCGAGGAGGCTGTTCTCTTTGAGGGGCAGTTTTGTTTCTTATGTTGGAAGGAACATGCTGCTTTATCCTATCCTCCAATCTTTCGGTTGTGCATCCTATGTAGCCAGAATCACACTGGCACATAAATTCATAAATGACAGAACTTTTTTGGTTGGTAGGAACAGATGATGGAAGGACTCTCCTAGTGCTGTAAACAATATGAGGATTGACAGCAAAGAAACGTTTAGTTATGGCTTGCCTAATCTGACTCTTGAATGGCAAGGTAGTGTTATCAATCCGTGGTAGTTTTGAATAAACTGGGCACTTTTGCGGACAAAACTTTTGAACAGCCGTAAAACTTGCGATTTTCTCCTTAATATAAGATAAAATGATGTCTTCTGGATAGCCGTTGTCCAGAAAGATTGTTTTAAGTTTTCCAGTTCAGCGTGCAGTTTAGATTACGAGCAGATCATAAGTGCCCTATGTACTAAAGTTTTGACAAGGTTGACTTTGCATTGTTTTGGGCAAAATGAATTCCAGACTATGTACTGACCGGTAGAATTAGGCTTGCGATATACACTGGTGAGAAATCCAGTGTTATACTTTTTGACCAAAACATCTAAAAATGGCAAGGAATCATTTTATTCTTTTTCAAGCGTAAACTGGAGGGCTGGGTGTAGGCTAAAGGTGTTTTATAATTTAATAAATCATAATTTATTAAATCATAACTTAATAAAAAGATGCAAAAAGTAAATAAAAAAAGGATAATTTTAAGCAGCAAAGTTTAGTCATTAGAAAAAGACAATGGTATGACGTTGTTAGCCTTGCTTGAGATTTTTAGTGTACTACTGCACTTACCCAAAGCTATCAGTTTCAGCTGATCCTGATCCTAAAGAGTCTGAATTTGAGCAAAGCTCAAGCTTATTACTTATCTGCAATTCATCTTCTTCATTGTCAAATGAGTCATTGCTGTTTGTTGAGCAGTTTTTCACACTTAACATGGAATCTTCTTCATGGTGTGTCTGGCTGGTATTATCTAATTCATGATAGCAGTCTTTACCATCTACATCTTCTAAGCATTTAACTGCATTGTTCTTGCCAGAATGAATTTCCTGATCTGTATAGCTATTATTGACATCACTGTCTTCAATAATAATGTTGTCTTTAGTTGAATTATCCTTTAGAGACATAGAATGCTCAACAGTGTCTGCAATATTCATGATATCATTAAACAAATTTTCATCACTTTCATAACTGCTGTCATCTGTATTGGAGACATTTGATCCTTGCTCAGAAGACATGTGATTGTTCATGATAATTATACTGCAATAGCTGGAAAATATAAAGGACAATGTTTTACCTAGCATCAACTATCTGTTATTAATTCAAAAGATAGCAAATCACTGTGAAATAACACTTTATCAACAAGAAAATAGTAGGAGAACTTGCTTCTCAAAGACTTTAATTGTGGAAATTTTAACACTGACTTATTGGCAAAAATCAATTTATATTTCTTTATTCAATGTTGACAGAGCAACATCTTCCCGACCCAATCTGACCATAAGTGATAATAACCTATACTTTATATCAATGAGAAGGTCTTTCAGATGATATAGAGCAGTGGCGGACACTTGGGGGGGCGAGGGGAGGTGATCGCCCCTCCAATACTTTAGAGAACAATGGTCTTTTGCTCTAAAGCAATGGGAAATGTGACGTCATCTTATTAAAACAATAGGCTTGCCCCCCCCAATATTTGACCAAGTGTCCGCCCCTGATATAGAGTACATAGCAGGCACCATTTATACCCCTCAACCCTTATTCTGAGGTGACATTTTTAGATTGATGTTGTGACAAATATTATTCTATATTAGCACCTTCTGCTTGGGTTGGCTAACATGGCTTTTAAAATTTTAATTCATAATATACTTTTGGCTCTTTGCACCTGTTTGGTGATGTAATCCAATTGTTTTTCAAAGGCAAATTCTAGTAACCACAAATGTAGAAATCAATCAATGGAAAAATAAATGTTTGATTGAATAAATGGAAAACCATTTTCTAATGTTGAATAGATCAGTTCATCAATTCAGACTGAGTCAGATAAAGGCTTAAATCGTCTTGTCTTTTTGGCATGTCAAAATAGGTTTATTAGGGCACATAATACAACACATAACTTCGTCAATCTACTCAAATTACCTTCGTGAAAACATGTTGATTAAATGAGCTTATCATTTAACTGGCATAATCAATTGATTGGTACTGACACAACATTCGCGTGTTTAACGAATATCAATAAAATCGGCAGCATATATTGCTTATGATTTGGCAATTGATGATTTCACCTACATACCTATTGATTGAGGCGAAGACGTACATGTCGTAATTTCATGAATAGAAACAGATACGCGGCACGATTCTAGGTACTCACTTGTCTAGGAGGTTTTAGTCTCCAGTATGCTTGTTGGATTGACCGAAGATGAGGATACAGGCAGCAAATTCATCACAAGAACCAGGATAAGCAGAAAGGAAACCACTTCGATGCAAGAACAAGACAAAGCCGCTTTTAATTTGTAAACTGTTGTTGATGTTGTTATAGCGGCATCTGGTGACTTGACACCAACACCCATGATCATTTACGCGGTCGCTATGATCAAGCACTCGTTTTATGAATATTTAAAACCTTTGTAGGCATTGGATTACATTAAGTTTTAGAAGAGAACCAACCATTTTAATTGAAATAATCAATCTTAAATCAATTGGAAACATCGAACTGGTCAGTAAAAATTTGATTCGGGATGTGAATTTTATCATTTGAGCGCAAGAGAGACTATAATACTAGAAAACCTTTAATATACGTCACGACAATGGTTTATCACCTAGTAAAAATGGACGATATCAACAAGGGTGAAAAATACCACCTTGAATGTCACAAAAAACTCTTTAGAGAGAGCCGATCAGAATAAGAAAAAGCACGGCCAAAATATTGAGGTTTATTTGGAAAAATTAGCGAGCTGAATATGGCAAATCTTTCAAGAAGTATAGAGTGGCATCACAGCAGTTTATAAATAACATCACTTCACAGAAAAACCTTGTGAACCTGAAACTCTGTTTACTGTTTACTGAGCAACGTATGCAACTGATTCTGACAGCCTGGCCAGAACTTTCGCTATTTTCTTTTTTTTAAAGATTACCAAATGCAAATGTAGTCAAAGGGATCATAAAGTTTGGATTCAACAGGGGCTGAGCAACAATCATTAGGTATTAAATATTGAGAGAACAACGAGAGGAAACTGCAATTTTTTGAAACATTTCGTTTTCGGTTAGGACTGAAAACTTAATTAAGTTTACAAGTTGTCAAGACTACATTATAAGAAGAAAATTACCAATTTTCTTCAACTACATTAATTTCATTGTAAAGCCGTAACTAGTTAATATACCATATATATTTTCTTCATAATATTGATTTGTTTTTAATTCTCAGTCTTATAAGAATATAATATCTTTCTATGGAGAAATTCAGAAAATAGCTCAAGGCAAATCTAGTTGAATATTGTGCTTTCTCGCATAATTCTTCTAAAATATTGAGACTCTGGGGTCAGGATCAAACAAAAATGTTGAAAAAATGGGAGCCATCTCCAAATCCTATCTTTGATGAAAAGGGGGTTGACTGTGACTGCTAAACCTATCTTTGATGAAAAGGGGGTTGACTGCTAAGTTAAAATGTTGTAGAAAATGATCGCAACGGCATTTTGAATTCCGGAATGCTAGTAAAAATTTTCTCTTCGATGAAGCAGAGGGATCAAAATAAAAAGCATCTTTACAAATCCTGAAAAAAACTAGGGGGATGGGTTGTGAGTTAATTGCCGACTACCATGTACACTATGAATTCCTGACTTTTCGTTCCTTGGCCCCAATGGCTTCTTAAATGGCGGTAGCTATCCATTAAACCACGGATATTCTTACAATGCGCAATTAACAATATACTGATCAAGTTCACATGTTCTATGTACTCCATAAATATCAAACAGGTCCAATTTGCAAAAGAATAACCATCTACAACCAGCAACTAAACCACACGAAAAGCATTTCGAAATGAGAAAACTTTTAATTATGATTTGCTTTGGGTTACTTATTCGCTTTCTTCGAGGTTGAGCATTGGTCCTTCAAGTGAATTCTTTACAACCAAAAGTCCGTTTATGCTCCCTGAGCTTACTAGTTTCTGCAGCTTTTTGTAGTCGCCATTAAAGTTGAAATTCACTCTCACTTTGCCAGTTGTTCGTGGATTTCCCTCGACTTCAGCCTCTCTGTTGTTTACAAAAAGAAACCTTGTAAAATAGGTTGCATACTTCATTATATACGACGCTGTATACGACGCTGTAGACTACGTTGTACACTATGCTGTACACTACGCTGTGCTGTACACTCCGCTTTACACTACGCTGTACACTACGCTGTGCTGTACACTACGCTTTACAATACTCTGTACACTACGCTGTACACTACGCTGTACAATACGCTGTACACTACGTTGTTACAAATATAATCAAGGGGTAAAGAGGATTCGTTCTTGGGTAGAAATAGCACTGGGAAAAGCGCCTCCCTCCATCCACATAGGCGTATGAGACAAACGGGGTGGGAGGGCTGCAGCATCTCTAATCAAGCAACTTTTTCCAGTGCTCTGCATTTCAGGCTGTATTCGGGTAGTTCTATTTCAAAGAAGCTTTTAAATTCGGCCAACAAAGAATAACCAAGTTATCTTACAAAAAAGAGCATGAATTTTTTTCTATCGGAAACGTAAACTCAATACGAACAAGCTTTCTTAGATCCCCTTTCAAGCCCTTTAAAGCCCCCTTTAAACCCCAAAAGCATCAAAGATATCCTTAGTAGCTGGAAAAAAAATCAATGCAAAACTTACGAGAAGCTGACATCGGTAACAGCAGAATCATCTCCTAAAGCTTCACCAATCTGAAAAAGAAGACACATTTATCAAAGATCAGGGCAAGTCTGAGTCTTAGACACTACTTCATGTTAGATGTTACTTGTAGAAGCCTTTGTAAAAATTCGTTTGTTGACAAATAAGCAACCGACAGTATGCAAAACGATTAAGTACATCGAAACACAGCGAGCCTAAAGATTAGACTAAAACATTGAAGCAGAGGCCACGGGATCGAGAGCCCGCCCCGCAAAATGGTTTTAATAAAACACTGTTTGAAATGTCTAGGAAATTACTTAATGAAGATTAAACACAGTTGATAAAAGACAATTAAAGCTAACTGAACACAGAGATTTTCGAAAAATTACTTGAATACCATGCCCGTATCCAAGATTTACGTAGATGGAGGGGTCGCACCTAGGCATAAAGGACACTTGTTCTCTTGAAAAATTGTGTTGCTTCCTTATCGGTTCATAATTTATCCGGTAGTTAAGTGTAAAGGGGGCCATTAGAACAAAATGCCCCATCGGGGATGAAGATGGATGTAACAATATTTAAGGATACTTACATCTTTTTCAAAATTCCCTGATAGAATCTTGAAAGCAGGTGCACCTTTGTCTTCGTATTTCTTGTCAAAATTCTGTCTTAGAGTCAAGTGCATTTTGTCTGAAATTAAATTTCATTTTAAGAAAAAACACGAAAAGAGCATCCCGAAACGTTGACAACTACGCCATTTTCACCATTTATTCAGGGGGAGGCCGATTGCGAAAATGTTTCAGCTTGGCCAGTCAACAACAGTCTTTTCTATGTTTGTATGTTTGCAACCAAGATCATCAGGAAGGCTACTTTTTAATCATTTTGAAACACAATTATGAAGGTTTAGAAGCTACAAAAACTAAAAAAGCACATACTAACAAAATTAAACTTTCAGATATTGCACATTACAAAACAGTATATTAAGAAACGTACCATCTTCTGAGCCAGATCCTGAAAAGTGTTCCAGTCCAGTCTCTTTAAAATCAAGATCAACATCCGTGACGTCATCTTCCTCGTCATCACCGCCTTCTTCTTCCTTGTTTTGATGGACCGGCACTTTCCCCCTAGTTTTTGCCTTCGAAACAGATACAGCCTTCAGATCACCATTTTCAAGCATTGTTTCCATAAGGTTTTTCTTCTCATGACTTCTTTGTTGGACTGGTTTCACACCTTTGTCGTTCTGCTTTTCTTCATCTTCATATTTCTCAGCATTTTCAGTACGCTCCTCTTCTGCTGCTTTGTTGGTATCCTTCTGGTCTTTGTTCTTATCTTTTTCTTCATTTTTGGTCTTTTCTTCTGAATCCTTGTCGTTTTCACCTTTCTCTGTTTTCTTTACTCCAGAAGATTCTTCAAAGCCACTACTGGAACCTTCTTCAGTTGCTTCACCAGAGGTTTGATCTTCATCTTCTTGAGCCTCTACTGAAGCTTCTGAAGAAAAACGCACATTGTTATTAAAACGCTTAACAGTATCGAAAACCTCTTTTATGTCACTAAGTTTAGTAGGTTTTTCTTCTATCAAAAAGTCATTAGCGTTGTAAATTCTATCAAGTTCATTCAGGGCTGCATCGCCATCACTGAGCAGACCGGACCCTGAACTGCCTGATCCAAAGGATTCTTTTGTATCTTTTACAAAGTCATTTTGCTTTCCGTGCTCTTTTTCACCATCGCTCTTATCGTCAAAAACGTTTTCTTTTTCAATATGCTTAGATGAAGGGTGGGTTTGCTCATTTGTGGCCGGCTCCTCATCAGCCTGCGAATCTGATTCCTCTATATTCGTTTCCGAATCAAGAGTTTTCTCATCCTTGCTTTCCTTTTCAGATTTAGTGTCCTTCCCTGACGTATTCGTAGCCTCGTTTTCTTTATTAGCCTTTTGTGGCTGCGGGGCATTTGATTGTGGTAATGGTTCTGAAACATTAGTTGATTGTGATGGCGATGGTTGGTTGCCATAAGCAGCATTTGGTGAAGGCTGGGCAGCATTTGCCTGCATTGTGGCTGCTTGCTGGGCTGTTTGGGGTGTCTGGGGGTAGGCTGACGCGTCAGGCTGTTGAGTTTGTGAAGAGTACGCTTGTTTATTCTCTTCTGGCTCTGTGATAAGAAGGAGAGGAGATTCCGTCAACTGCAACTTCTGAAAGCTTGATATCTCGATGCAAAACTCGAACTTTATTATCAGTTCTTGCAGCCCTTTCAGCCAAGCAGCTCTCTAATTGTATAGCATATAAAACATTTCACCAAAACGGATGAGCAATGCAGGAGCTAAACTGATCCGAAAGAAAACATTTGTGCTCAGCTTTTGAAAGGATGTCTGATTTGCTTGGTGCAAATTGCTAAAAACTCTGCCATCCTATTCCTGACAACACCACTAAATGATAGCCCCCTATCGCACTCTTTGGCCTAGCATCAACCTTTGACTCCAAAACAAGTGATGAAACCTAGGCATCTATTAGCTTATACTATATATTTACAGAAGGGTAAATAAATATGTACTTTTTCCATTGATTGTGTTCTTTGGAGTTTGTTCACAGATAAAGAAAAGCCTGGTTAGTTACACCGAAACAGTGGTTAGTTTATAGACATCCAAACATTTGTTAGCAGCTGTGGCAAAATGAATACACTTTGGCTAAGAGTATATTTTAGGAAACGACAGCGAAAAGTTGGGTACGTTTTGATACTTTGAAAAGTACATACCTTTGCAGAATCCACAAGTTAGTGGGCATGTCGCTTGCATATAGTCTTGGTTCTGTTCGCAGAATCCCGCGTTTTTCCACTCAGGGCACTCATTGTATACATTTGTGCAGTGAGAAACTGAAAAAGATTGTAAAAATATATCAACGATACACAGATCAAGTCAAATGCTAAATCAATATAGATTGAGTCATTTATGAAGCTGATATGTAAAGCAGGGGCGGATCCAGAGCAAACTTGAAGGAGGGGCAGTTGGTAGTGGGGGCGCTGAAAAATTTTCAAAAATTGATGGCGAGAGAACGCTGTATACAACAATTTCAGATCCATTTTCGGAATAAACAACATAACTTTTAAGTAGTCCTTGAAGCAAATTAACCTATCGGTCTCAGAAACGTTTCCACCTGATTCTCATTCTTTTAAAGGGGCGCACAATTTCTAAAAAAGGGGCGACATACTTTCTTCAATTCGTCGAGGGAGGGGCAACTGCCCCTAGTTGCCCCCCCTTAAATCCGCCTCTGATGTACAGACTGCACAGGCCTTCTCGATGTAATTATTTTCTAATTTTACAAAAGAGTTACCGTTGAGCCGTGTTAAGTCGTACCCAAAGTTGACTCGGACTTTCACTAAGTCAGATTGATTTTGAATTGTCACTGGTTTTTCCTACTTTACTCAAGACATAATTAATAAGTTAGACATTTGCTAAGTCAAATGAATTCCTTACACCTCTTAAAGGTCGGGCTTAACGGGATTCAACAGTAATGTTGATGAAAAATGTAGCCTTAATGTTAACTGAAAACCGCTTTTTTGTACAGATAGCATTTTCCAATTTATCAACGAAATATCAAAATCTGCATAAGAACAACATTTTGATGATCAAACTCACCTTCGTCTCGTTTTTCCAAAGGCAAACCTGTAGAGATGATAAGAAAATCAATTAAAATGCTACCTAACAGAATAACAAAAAAACTAGCCTTGATTAATAAAAAGCAATTCTGCATACATGTTGCGGATTAGCAGTTGAATTTCGCATTAGTCTTAACTTATACAATAATACTTACAGTTTGCGCAGAGTATTAAAGAAAGCAGACACAGTGCTGTATTGTACTCCATGTTGATAAAGCAGCTGAAAGGTAGAGAAAGCGAAGAGTTATTACTCGCCCCAAAACTTAATATCGACTACATGATTTTATAGCTCTTATTTCTATAATTCTTTTCTGTAATTTGAACTCTAAAATTCATCCACCTCACAAAATTTTCTACTGAAAGGCGAAATTTCTACTCAAAACTTTCGAGGAGCGGGACTTGATGTGTTTGTTTAAGAAAACAAGCGATACAAAGCAGACTCAAATGGTGCTTGCAAAGATCTTTAGCTTTGTTAACAGTGTCCAGGTTCAATAGAATGAAAACTCTGAAGTCGGGATGACTACTCTTATAAATACGTAGCGGCTTTTATTTTTTTTATCGTTTAAATCAACTTCAAAGATAATAAGATAAAATTAGTCAAATCATGATCTTACAATGGACAATGGTAAATCATCAAACAAACTTAGTTATATAAACGCAACTGAAAAAACTTCTTTGTAATTCTTAAGGACGAAATTTAGAATTATGTCTTTAAAATCTTTAATCAATTAAAATACAATAGCCATACCTTCACCTCTCTTTATTCTTGGCACTTGTCCTTCTCCTATAATTCTATTGAAAATGCCTTGCGGCTAATCATTTTGCCACGTTCGGTCTACAGGTAGCTTGATCATAAGATCGTGACATAGCGGCCATATGGTTAATCAGTGTACAGGTACGAAAGCAGCGCTCTTCAATTCTTTTGTGCAACAAGACCCTGACAAGGCAGGTAGCCGATCATAAGTAGACAGTTTAGATTGAAACAAGTTGTTGTGAGCGGCGACTCCTAATAATCTCCCAATAATCTCTCAATATCTCTCAATAAGCAGGGTTGTCCATAGAAATTTTCAGTTATAGGGGAGGGGCGTTGTTCATGGGAGTTTTTTAACAAGATGGCATGGTCAGAAACCTCACCAAAGATAGATGATGCTCAGAGCTATCAAAACTTATATATCAGAACTTATGTTTTGGTGGTGTGGGGAGTGGGAGGGGTGATGGGAGAGATACTAGGAGGCAGATTAATGTGCAATGCTTTTTAATTAAATACTTTTAGGATGTAATTGGGAAATCTGCAGCTACCAGACCCCCTCTCCAATCTTGACGAGCCTAGGGCTTGCGGAATTTTTCGTAGATTGAAAGTTTTTATCACTTTGGTCTTCTTAAAATTGCATGCAAACAAACCTTAGAAAGTAAGTAAGTAGCAAGTAGCAAATCATCGAGCCACAAACAAATAAAGAAATTTACTTAATTCTAGCCGTAATCAATAAAACGTCGTTCTGATATTCAAGGTTTTATTATGAGATAAACGTAAATAGCTCCTTCACATCTCCCCACGGATGTGCAGCAGGAGTTTGTACAGTAAACCCTCGCATGTACGTGCCTACTTTAATATGGATTGGCTTAGCCAGGCTCGTATTAAGAAGGCAATTAGGTTCAGTTCAGGGTATCAAGATTCTTATTTGAAAGGAGCACGTAAAAGCTATTTCAGTGTTATCACTTTAATATCATGTATCACTGCCCTGGTCATTTGTCTATTGACTTAACTTCCCAGGAATATTGACAGAAATTTTGAACATAAAATATTGTACATAACATACTGGATAGGCACAACTGATAAATTTCGTCCTGATTTTACCTAATTGTTCAAAACTCAGAAAGGGCATAAGGGTCAACAGCAAAAGAGAATTCACTGCTCTTTTATTAAAAATCATTCTACGTCAAACTGAAACAGGGTCCATTCTTTGCTACAAGGTGCATAATTTGAGAAAACACCCTGTTGGCAGTTGGTTCTTAATTCTGTGGGCTCGTATATTCGGGGAATTACTGTAGCTAATTTCTTTTACTCAAAATGTATTTTATGGGGGTCTCGACATGCCAGGGTTGCTTTTGTAGGCAGTTCTTTTCAAAGTTTTCTTTTTTCGCCAGAAGCCACACAGATGTGAAACTCTTTCCTTTTACAAGTATGTCATCAATTTTTTGGTGAGCCCGGAAGGCAGGACACGGGAAAGGTATTTGTCTACATTTCGGAGAGCAGGGCTTTCTTGGCATTGAAAATCGACTGCTAAAATAAGAATCAGTAAATGATACCCCGTGCAATGGTACAGTAACTTCTATTCGATTTGACAGACCAATTTTCGCAGAACTTCTCTGGAAGTCTAATGGTCGCACTCTAGGCTTTAAAAAGGACTCTAGGCTCTAGAAATGGAAGCACAATTACATCTAACAGCAAGCTATTAACACAGAGGTCAAAAACACAAAAAATCCAACAAATGACAAGCTTATAGAACAACTTCATGGAAAACAATAGATCTTCTGTTGATAGTTGCGTAACTGCTTGTGATATAACGAATGTTTTGAATGAATAAGCAACTTGTTTCTTAGGTCTTGTTTCTTAGGCTACTCTATCTTTTTAGGTTTCTTCTCAGCAATATATGCGATATAATAAAAATTAGAAAAAAGGAGCAACATACTGAGTCCATAGAAAATACCATAAATACAAAAGCCATGGTACAGATAACCCAGTGTACATTCAATGAGTCCCAGAAGAAACTGAAATATTTGTAGCTGTGTCAAACGTTTCTTCCAAGATACATCAACAGAAGTGGCAATTGCAGATGCAGCATAATAAGTGTACAGGAAGACATGAACCATGGAGTTCAAAGCAACCATTGCGCCAATTGGCGGCCATGGTGCATACTTGTGTGCATAATCACCAAGAAGGAGGATTGATGAATGGTGGTAAACCTACATAAAATTACAGTAAAGCCATCAATAACAATAGTTTTGCTTAGTTCTTGGGTTAGTTGAAATATCTCAATTGACAAATTCTTGCATCACATTTGGACACAAAATTGAAATATCTTTATTGAAATATTCTTGCATCACATTTGGACACAAAAGGTGAATGCAATGAGGAAACATAATGATACCCTTGAGCCTGAATAACCAAACAGCTAATGCCTCTTTGCTGCAATACCCAAAAACATGTAGAAAGTCAGGTTAGAGTGCAAATGCTTAAGATGGTAATAAGTCCTTAAATGCCTTTCATTATTTAGTATGGATAGCATTGCATCTGAGCATTTAAACACTGATCAGTCAATAGCTGACAGATTTAGACTGTCTATGAACTGTAAATGATTAATAGGCCAATTCAACTTCATCTTAATTTTTAATTGGTAATCATCAAGAAATTGTGAGCTTTTGTTTTAAAGTTTCACATCTAAAGGCACGCAGCATGAATAATAAGCACTGAAAAATCTTTTAGAACTTACATGTAAGAAGGATATCTGTCTCTGCTTGTGCCTCAGAACCATAAAAACTGTATCCAAGAGCTCAAAGTATTTGGAAAAAAGGTAAACATGAAGTCCAGACTTCACATATTCATTATGCTTCATTTCAAAAAAACATCCACAATCAAAGTGTCCATACAGCAGAAGCAGAAATGATGATAAGCTCAGCAGGGTGCATACAACATTGTGAACAACCATCACCTGCAAGAGGGAAGGGGAAAAATTTATGATTATATAATAATGGTTAGAAAAAGTGCAAATGACTGGCTAAAAAATACAGTCACATACCTTGGGGCATAGGACAAGATGATTTTAAGTCACAACACAAATTTTCACACTTAATGCAATCAAAAGGCAATGCTAAACTACTCACACTAACTGTTGCAGTCATATATATGGAATATCCATTGTTTAAATAAATTTGCTTATATCAAATGTCTCTGGAATGGTGCTATTAACATTGTTTTGATCTGCTCCTCTGAGTCAGGGTTCTCTCTAGAAAATGGGTAAGTCAAGGGGTTTTATCAAAAAGAAGATGTTTCAAATCTCAAGGATTTGGGGAGGGTGTTAAATTATTTTCAGGTTTTGGCACTTGGAAAATGGTGGAAACACCCATTTTTAAAATTCAGTCATTTACTTTAAGATAAAGAAGATGATTGAAGAAAACTTTTGCATCATTTTATTGCTACTAACAACCAAAATTTGCATTTTACTGCATTAAAGCAAAATTTACTGAAGGACAAAAAATGTTAAGGGTGTTGCATCCCCCCACCTTTAAATCTGTCCCTGCAGCTTTGAAAATTAGAAAGAATGAATCCCTTCAATCAAAAGTGATTCTATTGTAATCACAAAACAAATGCAAAGTTATAATCCTGCTTACTGTTCTGTCCAATATAGCACCAAGTTAGACCAAAAAAAATTAATATAGAGAGAGACAGAGGGATTCCATTCCTGAGATATGTCCCCTTAATTGAAGCACTTATTCAGATAAAAACCACTCTAACTCAACATTAAAGGGTAAACCATTAAAAAAGTTACCTTCTTTAGAGAAAGTGGTGGGAATAATTTCTTCCATATCACCGAAGATGCCACAAATGAAAGGTACAGAAGCACCACTTTGAAGGACGGTAAGTTAGCAAAATCATAACCAAATTTAATATATCTCTCTGCAAAAAAAGACAAAATAGTGTTTTTCAATAAGAATAAAAGTTAAGGCACAGAAAGTCACATTGATAGGAGGGACAGGGAACCACAGATTTATTTTGTTGTGTGCCACAATGAAAAGCTCAAACAGAACCTTTTTTCATATTTGGCTTTAAGTATACCATTGGACATTCACAATAATCCTGAATTGTGGGTACTTGCCAGCAAGGGTGCAAATAAATTATTTTTTAAGTGTGTCAGGACAAGTTGGACCAACTCACATACAAAATGGACTGAATCTTCAAAACCAATCTAAGCAGGCAAACCAAATGTAAATGTGTGTAGAAAATGTTTGAGGAATACCAAGAGACCCCACTTGGGGGCAGGCACTTGGTCAAAGGGGGGGGGGCAAGCCTATTGTTTTGATAAGATGACATCATAGTTTCCCATTGTGTTAGAACAAAAAGACCATTGTCCTCCAAAGAATTGGGGGGGGGGGTAGGGTTGGGTGACTGCTCCCTTTGTCCCCTAGGTATCTGTCACTGGACCCCATACAATGGTAACATGGGGAATTATTTCTCTTTTGGAACTGGATCATTCCAAAGAAGCCAGATGAAGTAAAAACTTTTTTCTTTAAAATGGTGTTTTTGAAGCAACAAAACAAATTTGGATCATACATGGAAATTAATGAAGGACACAGACTGAAGGGGCACACAGACATGCAGAAAAGACACGCTGTAATAGGAGCATCCCGGGGAATGCTCCCCTGGAAAATTTAGAATCTTCATTTGCTATGCTTGCCTCCTAGAGACAAAAGAACCAAATAATTGTGTTTTATATTTGATTATTCCTACTATAATCCAACAATTATTTTAAGTGTCACTTACATGTACACTCTTAGGTGCATTAGATAACAAGAAATAACACTAAAGCAACTCTTATGATATTTTTCAAGGAGGATAAATTAGAATGATGACTGAAAATACTACACATTCCTGTTTCTAACAAGTAGATATTCTAAGGTTTCTTTGTCAAGGGGCATGCATCAAGTTAAACAAAAAGGTTGTAGTGGGCCTAATTATCTTTATAGTTGCGTCTTCTTGGCTTTTCATAATATTTCCTTATAGTTTGATAAGATATCTATTTTTTTATATGACACATTCTTATAAACATTCCTGCAGTACTTTTTATTTGTTTCATACTGAAATTAAAGATCTGTTAAAAACCACATTTTCTGGCCTCAATGTGGGTTGGTTATTTGCTTCTCCTTAGTAAAACATCACAGGCATATCAAAATTTGCTTTTGGGACTCCTCTCTTTTTCAAGATAAAATAATTTTCTGGGGGGTGGTTCCACACAATATTCCTTTGTTTTGCACTGATTTGTGGGATAAATAACATAATTGGTTAGGATCGGCTCTTCCAATTATGTCCTACCTCCTTCAAAATTATAGTTTAATAGCCTGGGACTGACTGGCTGGTAATAAAGAGGGGGTGTACACATCCCAACACCACTCTAATTTGCACCCCTGCTTTACTTCTTTCTAAAGGCCCTATACTTTTCTGTTATGTCACTGCCTCCAGCATGCACAGCATATTGTAGGGGGCTGCCACAATAGTCAGAATGATTCACAATTTTGTTGAATTTCTTTTCAAGATGAAGGATCAGAAATCATTTGACAAAGAGATATAAATTATATGCTATGCTGCCTATTTTATTTGAAAAGCCACCCAGGCACACCCAACAGCCACACCCCTAGCATACCATTTGCTTTTGTCAAAGTTTTTTATTTATTTGACTTAAAATGACAATACTGATCTTAAGAATAACGTAAATCTCTCAATGATCGGATCTTCTTCTCCGATTATAAGGTCTGCTAAGCCATCAAAAATCTTGAACCACAAAAATACAACGTCGACAAGGTTGCGTTGCCACCACAATGGTCAGGGTCACACTTACAGCTGCCTTTTTTGGTCATTTTAGTAAATATATCTTTTTACTTTCCGATGCAATTAGAAATGATATCAAAATAGTACCTGGTAGCATTTTTCTCTGTTTATGTTGTTCCTGGCCCTGCTTATCTTCATGGGTGACAGGCCTTAAAGAGATCAAAGTCTCAATTTCAAAACGAGAAAAGGGTGCTGGGAAACCTAGTGACGTCAGTGGAGTGAGAGCTTGGGTCTCTATTCTGTGTTGAAAGTTCTACGCCTCAACTGGAATTTTTTTGTCTCTGTCTTATATTTTTATATATTTTGTGGATGTAAAGGGAAGTGATGGTGTAGAAAATAATCAGTACCCCGGAAAATATTATCCGGACAAAAATTTGAGTATTTAACGCTCTCAGAGTGTCAGTTAGTCCGGCAAAATTTGTTTGTCTTTAACTCATATTTCACATGTTGTAGGCTTAAGAAAATTCGTATTTCTGTTCTTGCAGCCTACTAATCGACAGCCTTTAGATACAGAAAAGAATCTGGTACCCTGCTGTTTTCTCACATGCCCTTCCTTTGATCATCAGATGGAAAATGCCTTAAAATACTGATTCGTATAAGCGAATTACTTTCCGACTAAATTTGGATATGGTATGCCCGCCAGTATACTATCAAACTGACGGAATAAGGTGTATTCATAATTTGGTGGTCAGTATTTCAGTGTAATGTTGTTGCCCATGTAATCAGTTCCTACTATTCTGTCTTGAGGGATTATCTAAACTAATGTGCCACTGCCAGCCGATGCACCTTAAGTCATACAAAGCTTGATTTAATGAAATTTAATCACGTTTAATATTTGACAGGGTACGCTTTTAGATGCCCCTTGGGCTTTTGTTTTGGACACAGATTTCACGATTGTGGAGTTTGTGTTTATTGTACCACTGCTCGAGTAAGCTTTACATTGTGTCTTTTATACGGCTAAAGCAACAAGCGTGCAAGTGTGCATTGGCCTTGGGTATATAAACTTTGTCTTGGTATAGTTTTATTCTCACACACTACAAGATAACCTGAAGTTAGACGTAGAGAGGAAAGGTTTTTCCTTTCCGACCCTGCCCACCCTACCCATATCTAGGTATTTTCAGGTGTTTGCAGGCATGTTAAATTTATCTTTCTTTTTTTTCGTGCATGAGTTAATGGCCGTATGGCTTGCAATTTTTGCATTTGCTAGTCGGCGAAAGAAGGCCATTGTTCTTCTTCTCAACCCCCTCAAAAACGGTTGGGCTTTTATCTATGACCGTCTTTGCGATTGGCGCACCGTCAGCTCAAAAATAAATGGTCCAAATGATGAGAGAACACCACCTTCAGTCTTATGATTGACAATGGTAAAATATTCTGAGGACCATCTTACTCTTATTTGCTAACGGTTCTTGTTTGGTAACCTGGAACAAATATAAATGACGATTTGTGCCCTTGCAGGAGATCAGATAACGGAATTTTGATGGCTCAAAATCGTGATTGAGTCAATAACAACAAATTATGAAAGTAGAATAGAAAGTGACACATGCTTGATATTGATGTGTCAAACAGCAATTATTATGACATATACAAACAAACACAAACAACAAGTAAATTCAAATTTTGAAAATTATTGAAAAAAACATAGAAACAGAACAAGGTAGTGGTTATATTTTCATTTCATTTACTTCTATAGTCAGACATCATTAACGAAAATTTTAAATAATCATTTCTAAATCTTAAGTCACGTAAAATCAGTTTGCAATGACGATTCGATCAAGTCCAGCCAAAGCACAGAATAGCAATTGAGAAACAATACCTGGAGGAAGTCGTACAGCTGGATCCCGTTCATTCGGACCTTCAAGGGAGGCAAGATAATGGATTTAGCAAATGCCCGACTAAACCACAGGGTACAACTTTTGCCTTGAATAGGATAGGAAAAACCAATAGGAGTTGAAAACCAGTCCGACTTAGTGGAAGTCCGAGTGATTCGGGGTATGACCAAACCGGATTCGACTGTAACAACTATCTCTGTTTTAGAGGATTCTCCTCTCATTTCTAGACGACGCAATCAAATTCGATTGTATTGACTTATGGGTACCGCTTGAGAGAGACGTCCATTTACGATGTTTTCCTGACACTGAATAGGATAGAGTGCATTCAAAAAAGCTATATACAAATATATCTATTCCGATTTACAACTGAGATGTCAATCCCTGCTTGGCCTCCTGTCTTTCCTCCCACAATGTCTTGCCGCTACATTGGCACACCCGTTTCACATTCTCGAAAAGTCCTGCTGACCTCGCTATGATTCCACAAGCAATGCTAAAAAAGAAGATTTTCACAAATGGAAAAACATACATATGGGATACATTGCTAAGTTATTTGCCTGCCTACCTCCGAATACACTAGAAAATATATTCTATAGATTTAAAACTATTATATAAATTTGGGGTAAGATTCTTTAAAACATGACACATTTTATAAACATCTTCTTTCCATCAAAGATGAATAAGTTTGCATGACTTCTGTGTGGACAGAGACATTTTCCATTTAATATGTTCATTTGATAAATTTGAAATCTTATAAACATCTAACACAGAGACGTCTTCATCAGCATTGCCATGCGTGGCTGTGACAAGGTAATGAAAAATTTACCTATCTTTCCATTGAAAACTACTTCAGTATTTGTCATCTTCTTTATGTTAAATTTCGAAAAGATTAATCAACAATGAAAAAAGTAAAACATCCATATACAGTGGAAATTCTTGAAGACGGACACCCCTATAAAGCATACGAACCTTGATATTGATAGTAAGCAGAGGAACGGACTGTGATCCTGGTTAAACTCTTCTAAAGGACTTCCTATTAAGCGGAACGATATAAAGCGGATACTCAGTAAAGCGGACACCGTTATTTGGACCAAAATGACATTTTCCTTTGAGTTTACTCTTTCTAAAGTAAACCACTCATAAATTGATTATTTTTTATCCATTCTAAAAACCCATTTTGTGCAAATTTTATCCTTGGGTTCACAGAATAAGAAACCGTGTGTGTATTTAAACCTTTATACAAAAACAGAATAAAAAAGTGTTCCATTTAGCATAGAAGGAAATTCGGAATACTGTCCGATTTATAGAAATCCCACTTTGACTTATTATAAGTTATTTAGCTAGGTGCCTTCGATATGTCACTCACCCGTTACTACTGTTTGTGTCTTCATGAAATCTATCCTCTTCAGCATCAACTACCAGAGACCTTCCAATAATATCCCAAACCTTCGTGAAAAGTCAAAATATTTAGCACACTAAAACAATTAGGAAAATCTAACAGATATGATAAGGTTGAGAGTGGAAGGGAATAGCAGGCCTTGGCAGAAAGAGATGCAAAAAACATTACTAAGGAGCATTGGGAAATTACTTTAATGCGACACTTAAACGAATTTATTTCGAGAAATATTTTTGAAAACTTTAGCAAACATCACTTTTGGTCATGCAACAACGATCTAAATGTTTGATTCTAGCCAAAGCTGTATGAGACTGGAACACATTTCTCAGATCCAGGCCAGTAAAATCTCTCGTATCAAAGCAGTTATTTTAAGAGCTACGTGATCAATTGGTACAGCAAACAAAGTACACTGTCGCTGATTGTTGGTTCCATTCCAGCCCTGGCTATGTCACTAGCTCGCATTTTTCTCTCAGTATAATTCTAACCATACCTAGTCAGCCAGAAACAAAGACACCTCCAGTCTAAAAGTTAAAAAATGAAGCGGTTAGGGTCTGTACCTTGACTTTCTCATCTTGAAATCTGAAAACTGATCTTCCATTGTGATCACTTTCAATGTTTCCAAGGTCACCAACATGCTATTAACAAAAAAGCTGCATAATTATGTAGGGCTAAGAAACAATGCTAGAAATAAATAAAAAATAATACCTAAAACATTTCTTATAGATTGATTTGCAACATGTCATCAAATCTAAAGTTTTGGTTAGTCAATGGTAAAACTGCTGGGAGGGGGGGGGAGCGTGTGGGCTGCTAACTTATAATTCAAAAATTGACTGGCATATAGATTATGGAAGAGTTTCTTGTTTGTAAAGCATTGTTGCTATTAGTTAGGATATAAAACAGCTTTGAGGGTCTTGAGCATAATAAACCAACAATCAGAAATACTCACTAACCCTTACACTATCTGTTCTGTTTCCGTGATGTGTGTTGGTTGGGTTGAAATGATTTCCAGTGCTACAAATGCAAAGACATCTAAAGTCAACACTGTAGTCAGAAAAAAATAACACCAATCATTAAGACCATTGCACACAAATTTGAGCCAAAAACACCATCCCCCAATGGCACTACAACTCCAACTTAACTTTACGACAATACAACTCTGTTATTACTTCAGTTGTTCCAAGTTTTATAAAATTGAATAAAAGTTTTGGATTCTAGCTACCTTTGGCAGCCTTTAGACAGGTCACCCAATGTGTTTATATGCAGGCCATGCTTTCCCTTGGGAAGGCCATCAATAGTACCATCAATTACACAACTGTATTCAGTTGTCTGAAATTTAAAAAAGATTGACTCACTGACAGGGGGTAAATGAAAAAAATATGAAAAGTTAGGGAGGCAAAATATTCTGTAACTGCATTTGGCTCCTTCAAACCTTGGAAGTGAATTACCTTGAATTTTGAATATTTTTAAAGTTCATAAACTTGATGAGCATTACCTTGAATTTTGAAAAATTTAAAAGTTTAACTTTTATATAAATAAAAAACAACTCAAAATATTTCCAAATATAAAAAATTCCATATACCACACACACATATATATATACAGAAAAGCAGTGCTGTATTTTAAAAAAAGAGAAAATTTACATTAGCAAATTAACTAACAAAAAAGTGGAGTTACCTGAACAAGCCGTACAATTCCATTTATTTGGTCACCCATGACATGTACAACTGCTGCTCCAATATGGCCTTGGCCTTCAAGTTGAAAAAACAATGAAAAAAGCTATATTTTTCTAGAAATATAGATGAGGAAAAAACTTCTCTGATGACTGCCTTGAACTTAGATACAAGCAAAATGATTATCCATAAAAAATTTCAATTCCCCAAAAAAATGAAGGAAGCACCTTGACTATATCCATGTCCCCTGAATACAACTGTATCCCCACTTTGCTCTAACAAATTTTGAACAACACCAGAGGGCAACGTTGTCTCCAAAACAACACAACGCTTCTCAGAATTGATATCTAGCAACCTGATATCTAGAATATAAATAAATACAAATGTTTCAGTGTCTAGTAATGACACTACTGAATCAATTTCAAGATTTACAAACTGACAATTTATTGAACACTTAAGAAAATATCCATTCTAGCCAGGCTACAATAGTGGCAGTAGTAAGTTTTCACATTGCTGGTTACTTTGTTCAACATTCTTCTATTGAACTATTGATCTTGATAAACACCATAGAGTGGATGTCAAGAAAATGAATGGATTTAAAGAATTGTAGTGAATGTATTTCTCTAAGTGTTTTAAAGAGTATTTATTTTAATATTTCTTTGCTTTTAGATATGGATAAACAAAGAAAACATTCAGTAAAAACCGAATACAAAAAGAAAAAAATCAATGAGAACATACCTTTCTGTGCCTTAATCAAATCTTTGATTTTGTCAATTGAGGAGTTATCTGCCATGTCTACAGCAAATTCCATCTGTTTCATTTGTATAAAATAATCAAAGGAAGATTAATATCCATGATAAATTGTGGGAAAAAACGAGTTTCAAATCAGTGCTCCGACAATAAGGAGTTTTTTATCTTTGATTCTTCAAACTCATATATCAAGAAAACAAATTTTCAGGTTCTTACCCAGTTATACAGTTATAAAAGATTTATCAGTTGCTATAAAAACTTTTTCCAGGCCAGTCTGCAGAGTATGGCACTTTTCGACGAGATCTCCGGTGTGCACGAGCAAAAAGCCTGGTGTGACGGTGTGCACCACCAAAAATGTCTGGTGTGCTGGTGTGCACCGACTATTTTTCCCTGTTGTGGTTAAAATTTGTGAATTTGCATTTCACCGTAAAAATGCGTGTGAAGTATACTGTTGAAGATAGCGCAAGTTTTTATTTGAATATTTGTCAAGTAAGATTCATGATATCTCAAATTGTTCATACACAACTGTGCTTGTTTTTATCAGCTGACATTTTCTATGGGACGACACCAAGCCACACCCATCTTAGTTGCCACACCCAAAAATACGGGTGTGCAACAGGTTTTGCACAAAAATATATCCGGCGGTGTGCACATGCCATACTCTGCAGACTGGTTTCCAGGCATGCCAAATAGGGTAAGTTTATTTAAATTTAACTATAACGAGTAACAGCCTCACTGTAATTCTCTCAGGTATGCATTGAAACAACTCACAGTGGTAGGTATCATTTCTTCAAGTGATGTGGCCATTTTGGAACAATTACACCCAGAAAACTTTTTCCTGGAATATTTCCCGCTACCTGACTTTTTACTTCAAGTTCAAGCAAATTTGTTAAATCTGAGTTGAGCTGCATTGAAAGATTGCAAAAGGCTGCTGCGCAGCTCCACGAACATTGCCTCCGCACTCTCTATAAAGCCCCTTTTCATAGCAAAATTTGAAAAGCAGGAAACTCAATTTCTGCAATAATTAAAACGAGAATATGTTCGATATATCAAGCAAAAATATTCGAGCAAAACAAAATAAATCAATTTTCCAATATTTTTCATCATCATAGTTTCTATGGATTTACTCTTGTTGAAATCTCAACGCAAGCAAGTCCAAAGGTACCCCTGCAGCTAATTCTTCTGTGTTTTAAAAACATACTATTTATTCAAAACATTTAAACAAACTTCAGAAGAAATCTATCAGAAGAAAAGAATATATCATGCCGTACACGTAAACTTGGTTAGAATCATTTGAACATATGTATAATAAAGCACCATGCAACCATGCAAAGAGACCGACGAAAAATTATATCCAAAGCAATGATTATAAATGCTTGGATAAATATCAATGGCGGCGCCAGCCGCTACGCTCTGGGGGGGCAGGGTGGGGGGGGGGGCAGAACAAAAAAGACTAGGCCATGCCATTTTAGCACTAGAAAACGCCCTTTTGCAAACAAAGGAAGCCAATTTTACCTGAAAGGAACGCCCATAACTAACTGTTGGCTATGTAAAGGCAGTTTTAAAATCAAAGGATGACATCAAAAAATGTACTTTACCAAAATGTTACCTCTCCCCCAACATTTTCTCATCGGATTTAGACGAAATACAAAATTGATCTTGCCGAGAACTGGGAGGGATGTGTCAAATCCATCCTTGAGCCTTATCCAGTGAATCATATCCAGTGTTCCGTATTATATAGATAAGTATTCGCATTTCTTTGATTTACGATTGTACGAACTGCCTCGAAACTGGGATTTGGTGATTTTTTGTTATCCATTTTTCCAGCAGAAGACCCCGCGAGCCAAACACTTAGTGCTGACCGTTTTTTGTGCAACTCCAACCGAAGAGTCTCCCTTCACTCTCATATTTTAAAAGTAACTTGTATTACGTACCGGACATCTTTTTCATGCATAGCTAATAGAATAGACATCTATGTTACTGTAGTGAACGCAGGGAAAATTTTCCACACATCCGTAAGGCAGCTTCAAGCGGCAACCGCGTCATAATAATATTTCTTCTAAAGCCTTAACCATACTTGCAAATATCTGCGTAGCAAATGTCTTGCAAATAACGGACGCAAAATCTAAATTAATAAAACATTTCAAACAAGTAAAATGTTATCTCGAAAACTCCAGAACTTAAAGGGACCCTTTTTATTCCTGGTGCCAGTTCCAGTATTTCAAATGCTTTTACTTTGTTATACTAATCTGTATATTTATATATCTGTATTTTCAAATTTTAGCGTTTATCATTTTCTTTGTACAGGGCAGCTTGGAAAGCAATTTATGTATGTATTTGATAGCTTTACCCTGTGTAAATAATTAAAAATGAAAATGAAATGAAGAGGCTGCACAACGTTTAATGGGGGTTATTATGGATCTCGCCCCGAATGGAGTCTGAAATGTGATAATTTGTGCTTGGTTAAGAGGGTACAACCCTCCAAGCCCCTAAGAACCCTACGCCTATGCTTGGAAAGCTCAATATCACAAAATAATCGGAAGAGAACAGCTATGAAAGACAACATTTAACTGCCTAACCGCATTATACACAAAAATACTCATTCATTGCATAAATACTACACTGAAAATATTGCAAACAACACAGAGCATTGTAAATAAAACTGGGTATTAAACTTTGCCTAAAAATCTAGGAATTTAGGGAACACGAATTTAAGCAGACAAAAATCCACGACGCTTATGTAAAATATCTAAATACAATTAAACATGCCCTAAAATAAACGACAAAAAAGACAAACGTGCAATTATAAATTAACAAAAAACTAGTGGCCTGGGGCCTAAAAAATAGTTTAAAACACAGGCTAGGAACAAGAACCAGATCTTAAAAAGATACATACGTAGTCAAGTAGTCGAATTATTCAGTGGAATTTTCATTCCTCACACCCAATCAAGAAATACTTGGTAGGAAGCATGTTTTGAATCGTTTATGCTAACTTTATCCCAAAACAAGGTGTAAATTGACTTTCCTACCAAAGTATAAACTTTCCATGTCCGCTTCCAAATGCGAACAATTCGCAATGTCACTCACAAATTTCTAATACCTCCCTATTTTTCACCCATTGATTGGCATTCGCATAAATTGACATCAACGCAGTCGTAATTTTCTAGTTTTCCCCCAGAACAGGGTGCGCAAATTTACAGGTTTTTCTGTAATTGGCCGAGAGATAAAAGACATGCCATCTGACTTGTAAGACTCTAGGAACAAACCAATTTGAAATTAAATTCTAAAAATAAAAAAACAAAATAGATATGAATCCCAGACTGCAAAGTTTGGGTATGCGCGGGGAACGAAAAATAACTTTTGGGCAATAACTTTTTGCTCAAATCCCGTCCGCGCATTTTTACAAATTTAGATTAATCCGAGCAGTTGGAACATGGACTTTCGTGTGAATTCCGCGCATAGCTTAATTTCGAGCCGTAAAAGTGCTATTTAAAAATGAAATCCCGCAGCTTTTAACCTGTCATTTTGCAAAATGATTTGTTCCCGCGCAAGCGTAAGCGACAGAAAATAATTCCCCGCGCACAAAAAATACTTTGCACTCTGGTATGAATCTTCGTGCTTAACTTCCTTCATCTATCTTGACGCAGATTGTTTTCACTTCGGTGTAAAATTCCAAGGAATCTTTGTATCCTTCTCTCCCTAGACCAGACTGCTTGTAGCCACCAAAAGGCATATTCAAGTCTCGAATCAGCCAGCAATTGCACCAAATTGTACCGGCCTAAAATTCAAAATAGCATTTTCAGAGACCGAAAGTGGATGAAGAATCTGAAACTGATCGGCATTCGCATGAGCCCCTGATGGACCTACGCAGCATTTGTAGGTACGTATGTATATTCAAGTAATTTGAGCATTTTGGGTATTCGTTCAAACCTTGCAGTAAAAACTAAATCGATCAAAGAAAACATTATCTTAAACTGTCTAAAAACAACGAGCTTTAAAGAAGCAAAAACATACTTAAAGAAAGAGATATTTGAACTATCTTTTAGCAAATATAATTTTAAATGTATTATAAACGAGATCTCGAATGAAGGACGGGGAGCATTGATTGGACAATTTTAAATATATTAAAAGGAAATGATTGGCTAATGCAAAACAACTATTGTTTTAGTTTAGTACAAAGCATGGAATCGAGGATGAATGTTTAAGGCAGTAAAAATTCATAAAGAAGTAATGAAAAGTCATGAAACAATGGAAGTCCAAGCCAAACGTTTTTGTTGTATTAGCCAACTGCTAACAAGACATATGCCCTTTAAGAAACATTTTATTAGAATGCTATCAACAAAACCTTTCTGACTGGATTATATTAAAAATCCAAAAATACTTATATTATCAAACTGAATCTTAACTTCTATAATCCGGAAAGTATAAAAAATCATCACACCAGGAAGTATTTAGGGTTAACTAGAAGTTTCGAAGATCGTCTAATGTGAAACTTTGGTCTGCTCACAAGGAGTGACAGCCCATTTTAAGCATGCTTTTTTAACTGAAACTTTCATCTTTTCTAGCCAGAGTATCGCTGTTGACGCGACACATCCTTAATCAACTAGGTGAAGTTTCTTCCTATAAGGTATTAATAATCAAATTGCTGTTGTGGATATTACCTCGAGTTTTGGTGCCACGCGATGAATTCTTGATCCATTTTCACTCCAAACAGTTGCACACAATCCGTAATTCACCCCATTTGCCCGTCTAACGGCCTGTTGTGGATAACAGAAGACTGATTGTAATCATATCGAGAAAAAGTAAGTCAATTGCATTTATAAAAGGCTAACAACCTGGACAGCGTGACTCCACTGATGTCAGTCAAATTAAACCTAAAGGAATTAAACAAATTTTCACATGCATTATTATCTTAAACGATCTTGGAAGACGTGTCAGTAACAAAGAGTGGTTCATGACCCCATTCATATATATAAACGTGAGTAAGAGTGATCTTTTTATCGGAATATAATCTTAACAGAACTGCGAGATTATGTTCAGTTTAGACCGAACAAATTCATTTGAACATAGAAAAATATAGTTTCTTTGTTTGTGCTAGCTAGAGACCATAAATCAAACTTTGAAATTGGAACAGATCGAAAACGATTACATAACATCAAACATTACAAAGAGTTGAAATAGAAAAAGTTCATTGTCTTATCTACTAGTTAAAGTGAGTTATATCTCACTGTAATTATTCTTCCAGCGAAGGTAGTTACTTTAAAATACCAAAACTTACCTCTTCTTCAGTATCAAAAGGCGCAATACAAACAAATGGGCCTAGAAATTTGAAACAAAATAAACTAAGATCATTCGAATTCATAATTACACAAAAATCAAAGAAATAATATTTATTGCTTGTGGTAAGAACATGTGATGTGTCATTGTTGAAGAAATTTAAACTTAGCACTATTCCTTTTTTAAAGCCTTAGTTTTATATAATATTGTAAATTAGATTAGGTTAGTAAATTTTTTTTTGTTATTAGTATTAGTGCTTATTTTAATCTTTTAAACAGGTCAGGTTGAAAAACATATAAATGTATGAGCCTTTAACCTGTATAAATATCATAAGATGAAATGAAATGAATGAAATTTATTATGGTCGCATTGTCGCAAAAAAGAGGAATGCAGCGAATACATCGACGAGGAAAAATGCAATATAATTGATATGCTAAAAGAAAATAAGCTGGTTATGATGTCTTGTGATCTGATGCTTGTAACAAGGAAATACACCTCCTCGAAAATACTTCTGAAAAATTATAGATTTTTACACAAGAATGTGTTTTGAATTCATTCCAATATAGTAAAAAATGTAACCTTCAATTTCAATTTTTTGTCTACTTTCCAAAAGAATGCTTAATTTTCCAATTTGTTGTTATATTAACTTCCTTTTTGTAAAATTAAATGCAAGAGAGTAGATATACGTGACCAGATACGTAAGGAGAACACCAAATAGGCCAAGGGACCGTCATTGAGGAGACAAATATTGAACCAAAAAGTATTGTGTAAATAAAGGAAAGGACTAATGGAATACTCGCGGCGAAAAGTCGATAAAAATAAATTTTATTTTTAGCCAATATGGGCGAAATATTAGCCAACTTTAATTTACTTATGTTCGTTGTTGCTTGTTCTCGGCGCATTGCGTTGTTCTGAATTTTCTGCTTATAGAGTATTAACTTACCAAAAACTTCTTCCTGCATGCATTTCGTGTTGTCTGCAAGACCAACAACTACAGTGGGACGTACAAAATAGCCCTATGATGTAAAAAACTGCTGTTACTCTGCTAGATCATATAATCAACAGAAACATATAATCAACAGATCATATAATCAACAGATCATATAATTAACAGATCATATAATCAACAGAAACATATAATCAACAGATCATATAATCAACAGATCATATAATTAACAGATCATATAATCAACAGAATCATATAATCAACAGATCATATAATCAACAGATCATATAATCAACAGAAACATGCGTATCTACGTTTGGAGACTCAGTCACAATGATTAATGTTAACATCACATGAATCTTCAACAGATGCAAAAGATTGGCTAAGAGAAAGCACGAATTGCTTTACAAAATTACAGATTTTGCTTCACATTAATAGGTAACTATGGTATTAAATAGGTATGTTATTTTTACACCTGGTTGAAAAAAAAATAAGGTTTTAATTACACATGTTCGACGACGGCATGAAAAGCATTTATTATTGGCAGAAAGAGGAACCTCAGATAAACTTATTCATCTTACGTTTTTGTTTTTCTCAGGTAGGTCTAGCGGCTCATCTTTGCCCTCTCCACAAAGAATTTTGCCTCCCTCCTCCTCTGCAAGACTTATGAAATATTTCACCTTTGATGAACGAAAGAAAAGAAACTACAAGTCAACAAGATCAACAAGAGGGAAACCATGACAAACTAAATAATGCCAAACAGTCGCAAACATTTTCTAGACAGACAGGCCTGCTCAAAGTTTCAAAACGCATCATGTTACATACTATATCAAGAGCTTTATCAAAAGTTTTCAAATACAAGAGACACGGTAAAAAAACAGCATATAGGTTCCTAAATTCTTAGGTTCTTCTTTGCGGATGTTTACAGTATCAAATGATTTTTCCTACTTTACCAGTAAAAAATATCCCTTTTTTGAAACTTGATATATACTATTTTTGCATGCACAACTGAACATTACACATTACACACAACAAACAATATCATTCATCATAAGATAGAGAACCTTCCCTGAAAATGTGAAAAACCCAACTCAAACTTGACAAGAATACCTTTTCATAATGCTGCTTGCTTACTAGTGCTCCCATAAAACTGCTGTCATCCTCTGGGGGGCCAACTTTGATTTTTCTACAAAGATTAAAGATTATATGAATGAAATATCAAACACTGATAATGTGCAAAACTTCAGATATCTAAAATTTGCATTTTATGTTTGAATTTTAGTTTTATTCTCAAAGTCTAGATTAGCTTTGGTTCCCTTTAAATTAGCAAATCAGTTGGGATAAGATAATCAGTGGCGTAGATAGAGGGGGGTCGGGTGGGCCAAAAAAACCCCTGTTTTGGCCCACCTGACCCCCCGCAAAAAAGCTATTTTGTCAGAAAAATTCCTACCTTGTCAGAAATATAACATGGTTTTCTACTTTTATCCAAGTGTTAAGTTTTGAGAGGACAGTCTTTAAAATTCATTGTAACGATTTCTTCAGCTGTTCTGAATCAAATGAGCAACTAAAAATTCCTTTTGCGAAGAGAAGACATAAAATCTTCAATTGGTATGATTTATGACGAATAACTTTGAGTAAATAATTATACTTTATCTCCTGTTTTATTTCAGTTCTAATGTGGGTATGTTATGTTTGAATCTGTGTCACAACATTTTTGAATCTGTGTCAAATGCTCACCAATATGGTAGGTACACGGCAAGCCACAAAAATGACGCTTTTTGATACGAAAAAATATTTTGCATTCTGGTACTAGATCTGTGCGTTTCCTTGGTGCTAAAGATAAAAAAAGACCATTGTCTGTTGTCAGTTTTTGTCAAAATCTTAAAACAAGAATCAATTTCCGATCATTTTGCGATAAAATGCCATCTATCCCTTGGAAAACCACCTAAGGAAATGAAAAAAGTAACTTTCAGAAAGCTTACACCGATTGATTTTGAGAAGTTTAATTCTGATCTTGGAGACAAATTTGAATCATTGCAGCAGTTAACTGACATTGATGCCCTCGTTACGGCATATGATAGTACTTTATGTAAGATCCTTGATAAACATGCACCTGAGCAGGAAAAAATCATTACCATACGAAATAAGCGCCGGGGCTTCACTGATGACCTGCGGGAGGAAAAAAAGAAAAGGAGACGACTTGAAAGATGGCTGAACAAAGTCAGCTGTTGATAGAGACAATTTGTTGAACAAAAGCTTAGGCTAAGAAAGTTGCTAGAAGAGTCAGACACAGCGTTTTATTCTAACTTAGTGATGGAAAATTCACAAGTACAAAAGGATTGTTCAAGGTTCTGAACAATATGCTGAATAAAAAGACAGAGTCTCCCCTTCCTAAACATGACTCTACTCTGCAGCTTGCAAATGTATTTGTAGATTTCTTTGTGGGGAAAATTGAGAAGATTCAAAATCATTTTGACGTGGCCATGAATAGGGATGGAAATAGTAATGTTGTACCAGAAGAACCCAAATATAAGACCCAAATGACTACATTTTGTCACCAAACTGAAGATAATGTTGAGAAACTTATAAAAAAGTCACCAATAACAACATGTGATCTAGACCCAGTGCAAACATGGGATTTCGAAGCGTTGTGGGGAACCTTTTGTAAAAATCATGACTCTGATTAATTAACACGACATTTCAGACTTCAGTTATGCCAGAACGTTTCAAGTTTGCTATATTAAACCCACATTTGAAAAAGCCAGGACAGGAAGTTAAAAATGCCAACTTCAGACCAGTTTCCAATTTGCCTTGTGCCTCAAAGCTTATCGAAAGGGCAGTTGCAAATCAACTTTTTCAGCATATGGTGGAAAATGATCTTTTTGAGCCATTGCAATCGGCATATCAAGAGGGACATAGTACAAAAACAGCATTACTGAGAGTTCAAAATGACTTACTGATGGCAATGGATAAACAAAAAGTCTCTATTCTTGTTTTGTTAGATCTTTTAGCGGCGTTTGATACAGTAAACCATTCTGTATTACGTGATTCAAGAGGCAGCTTTGAAATGGTTTGTTTCATATCTAGAACATCGTTTTCAAATGGTTAAAGTTAAAGACGAAAAATCAAAGGAGGTGCCTCTATCTTGTGGTGTTCCACAAGGATCGGTGCTGGGCCCATTACTTTTTCTCGTATACACGCTGCCGTTAGGAGACATTGTTCGGAAAAGAGACATGAAGTTCCATCTCTATGCAGATGACATGCAACTCTATATGTCATTTTCACCAACTCCAGAATGTGCAGCTTTCTCAATACAGCAAATCGAAGGGTGTATTCAAGAAATTCAGTCCTGGATGCTAACAAACAGGCTAAAGCGGAGACAAGACTGAATTATTGGTGATCGGAACGCGAAAATAATGTGCAAAACTGTCAAACCTGTGTGTCAATATTGGAAATACTACAATTAAACCAAGTGAAAAAGCTCGAAATCTTGGTGTAGTCTTTGATGCTAATTTGTCACTTAAGTCACATGTAAACTATGTGCAGCTCAGTTAGGTACTACTTGCATAAAATCCGCCTAGCTCGGAAGTATCTCACTAAAGAAGCTGCTGAAAAAGCCATCCATGCTTTTGTCACATCTCGGCTAGATTGCAACAATTCTCTATTATATGGTTTGCCGATCTGCGAGTTAAAAAAGTTGCAAAAAGTTCAGAATACTGCCGCCAGGATTTTGACCGGTGCGAAGAGGGACAGTCACATAACCCCAGTGTTAAAACAGCTTCATTGGTTGCCAATATCATGCAGGATAAAATATAAAATCTTAACGTTGACTTACAAATGCATCAATAACCTTGCACCAGTATACCTTACTGAGTTGGTCACATTACAAACAGCAGCGCGACGGACAAGATCTGCTGATGATGAACTGACTCACGAGACACCAAGGACAAAACTAGTGCCCGCTGGAGATTGTGCATTTACAGGTGCCTCTCCTTTACTTTGGATAAAAGACTGCCATACACGTTGCGAGCAAAGGATTATTTTGTCGCTTTTAAAAGCAGACTGAAAACGCATCTTTTTCAAGAATATTTTAATTAGATTTTATTTATTTTACGAAAATTTTACGAACTGTAGTACTGTATATTATATCATTAATTTTATGAACATTATGTAATGCGCCTTTGAGCCGCATGGATAAATGGCGCAGTATAAATGCCTTTATTATTATTATTATTATTATTATTAACCTTTTTATTCAACAAGAACTATCAAATTTGATTCTGAAGTGAAATTTATTGTCCTGTCATTCTTGTAAATGATCAATTACATTTAAAACCATCTTAGAAAAGGGGGATGCTATCTCTTCGATTAGTTCATCTACTGAGAGAGCTCCTCCTAAAGAAACTCTTTGCAAACAACATCTTACGTAATTGTTATTTATTGCCTGTTATTATAAGTATGTTACGTAATGTGCGAACATTGTATGTAATTAGTTGTAATGTAGTTGTAGTAAGATGCTGTATGTATAGGAATTTTAAACATATAAAACTGAACTAAATTGAACTGAACTGAACTGAATTGTTCAAGTGTATAAAAAATTAAAAATGTTTGTTAGATTTTTGTAGGAAAATCTCAGTTTTTTGCCCCTCCTATGAAATTTCCTATCTACGCCACTGAAGATAATGCATAGGTTTCTAAAATAAGAGTGGTGCTAATAGAATGCAATGCATTGAATAATATATTTACTTCAGCTTCTTCATAAACTATGTAAAAAAGGTTATGGTTAGTTTCCCTTTTATACCATTTAGATTAACTAATAACACACAAAAATTCCAAATGTTTTGGTGCGAAAGTATGCATATTCAAAAGGTATTCATCCAGACATACCTCACACGATGAGCTGTTAAATAACAAAGTATGAAAATGGCAACATTAATGATATTGTCAGAGATTCGTACCTTGTTTGTTCAACGAAACGATTTGTGAATTCATCATAAATTTTATTCTGCACAAAGATACGGCTGGTACAAAGGCAGATTTCTCCTTGATTTGAAAAGGCAGACCTGAAATTATACAGAAAATTCAAAAAAAGGTTTGAATCTAAATGGAAAGCTATTAAGGAACAATTTAATCTATAAAATGATTATGTGTGAAAAGTATGAGCAACAGCTTTTTGAAACTGTACATTGGCCAGGGTACATGCAGATTCGTAAGCAATAAGGGATAGCTTGAATTTATACCAAGTTAAACAAAAATTATCGCATAAATTTGCAGAAAGAAATATTTTTGATTCTTGAAATCGTTTACCATGTTGATGATGTTTCCAAATGTATTTTAGCTATTGCAATTCCATTGTTTAAGCACATGTGTCATTTTCAAGGAATCAATCTTACAAAAAAACCTTAAGCAAAGGTAATGAACTTTCAGAATAAGACAATCAAAGTTCATAAGATCAACAATGCATTGCTTCTGTCTCTTCTATTGTTGTCTTTGCGAAAGTGGTTGAATGAGTCAAATTTCTTTTTTGCTGGGCTAGACATACTATAAAGCTCTGTAGTTACTGTTATGTTGTTGTTGTTGTTAGTGTTGAAAGTAGTGAAGACTAGCGAAGCACGTGCGTTGCGTAGATGTACAGAGATTCAAGTTTAACAGTGGTAGCAGAGGAAAAAAGTTCTAAGGAGCGTTATATCAGTGTTTGCAGAAATGCTCAGTTTGGCTGATGCATTAGATCATGCAATTTATCTACAACAAGTTATTTCAGAGCTTACTTCATTTGATGACATTCCTATTGATGCTTTTGTTGACAATAAATCAGTTGTAGAAGCTGTCTACTCCACAAAATCAGTTGAAGACAAACGTTTGCGTATAGATGTTGGGTCAGTTAAAGAAATGTTAGAAAGAAAAATCATAAATAGTGTTCAATGGATTCCAGGGGAACAGATGTTAGCTAATCCATTAACAAAGCTGGGTGCATCATGTCTGGATTTACTGAAGTGCATTCAACAGGGAAGAAAACTATTTTAAGGATTTATTCAGTTTAAAATTGTGACATTTTGACTTTATTTTATCCGCAAAGAAAAAAAAAATTTATAGTTAATGTTATGTTGTTGTTGTTGTTAGTGTTGAAAGTAGTGAAGACTAGCGAAGCACGTGCGTTGCGTAGATGTACAGAGATTCAAGTTTAACAGTTACAACTTATGTTGGCTTGAACTCCTTTCCTTTTTCGGAATATATTCTAGTTTATTTTGAGTTAGTTATTGACCATAAGGAGAGTCAGTGTGAGCATTTCAGGTATAAAGCCAGTAAGCATTCATGCTATCTAGGAAACATTGTCTGTAGCAGTAGCGGCTCTTAACATGCTGCAGTATTGAGTAGTACAGAAGTTGGGTAAGAAAATTTTGTTAACTGTCCTTTATTCTTGTTTGAAAAGGATCATCTCTACTGCATGAAAGTGAAACATTGGTTTTGAACGGTATTGTATCTAAAATGCTGAATAAAACAGAGGTCAGAATGCGCAGATGGAGACAGGGCATTACTGATAGTGAAATAGCTGCAGATGATACTGGGACATTCAAATTGGTTGAGTGATGTGGAAAGAAAGAGAAAAATCATGGCTAAAAGTTGAAGTCTAAGAAAAGGATGGAAAACCCTCAAGCTGAACCATAGAAGAGATGAACCATCATAAAGGGACAGATGTGAAAAGCAAACAGAGGAAGGAGGACTACTTATGAAAGTAGTCCTTCTTCCAATAATGGACTATAGCAAAAATAATTTATTAAGCCCTAAGTTCTATCAGGTTCATTCTCATAACATTAAATAAATAGATTCTTATTATATCCCTATATTTTTCATTGTAAAAAGTTAATGTTTAATCATACATGCAAAAATTGGAAACGACAAGTTGATGGGATAAATAACCATACCTAAACTTTGTACTAAAGATAAATGCTTGTATGACAAGAAACATTGGGGTATTAGTGCAGTAAAAAGATGTGGCCTTTCAAAATAATAAAAAATCTGATTCCTCAAGCTTAAATGACAATATTTGATGAATTAATCAATGACAATCAATAAAATATAAGCAACTTGCCTTATGCATGTTGAGACGGCTTTCTCAATATTAGCATCATCAAACACAATTGCTGCATTTTTGCCTCCAAGCTACAAATAATTTAAAAGCATTTAGTGATTTCTAAACCAGCTATTGGCTCAAATAAAAAAAGAGTCAAACAGCTAGCAAAGATGATTAGAAACAGAATATGAAGTAGAATTTGAAATATAAGCAACAAACATTTTTGACAAAAAGTGATTTATTTATGTTGTGGTAATGAATGCTTCAAAATATATTAACAGTTACAGGAACTTCTTTTGGCACCAGCTCAGAAAGGGACCAGCAGTATTGACATACTTTGATCATTATAAATACTGAATTGAACTGGGATTACAAAAACGTAATCAAAGAATGCACCAAAACCACAGAAAATTGCAGAAAATAAAAAAGTACCTCAAGAGATAATTTTTTGCATAGTGGTGCTGCTTTTTCTTGTATATAGTGTCCAACCAGTGTTGATCCCGTAAAAGAAATGGCTCTCACTGCAGGGTTCAACACCAGTTCAGCTCCAGTGTCCTTTCCATTACCAAACACCATGTTCACAACACCAGGTGGAAGACCTACCAAAAATGAAAGGCGCTGCTTGTAAAAAGTTTAGAAAATATTCTGTCTGCTTTGGCAGCCAATTTTTTAGTCATTTACAATTGAATTTTTCCACATGAAATTTTCCAATGATGTAATAGTGATCAAGAGCCCAATGGTGGAGTTAGCAGCTGTGATGACTTGTGGCTTGTGAAAAATGTTGGCTTTTACTGTTTACACAATTAGTTTCTGTCATCAGTTAAATCTTTAGGACGATGTTCGTTCAACATTTCTTCGGCACATGTTGCTTCACCTTACCCAAACAGAATCCTGACCTTTGATATAGCTTAAAAGACTCAAGTACAAGCAGCTTAAAGTTCTGGGCAGGGAATGGACAAGAAAAGTTCACTTTTCCCCACCAGAGAGCTGATGCACCAGTCATACCTTAGATACCTAAGATATGAGAGGGGAAGAGAATATAACTGAATTAAGGGTCTAGCCTTTTCTAAACAAAAATAACAAGAAGTTTGAAATGAATCCCGTGATGTGAACAGGGCCTAGCTTAATACAATAGAATGAACAAGGACAAGAAACACACCATGCCTGATATAAAAAGGGGAGGGAGGGACAGGAGAAGAGAACAGCATGGAAACAGCATACAAAATAAGCATGATAATTCCAACCCAAAGCAATTAAATACACCCATCTGAGTCAAGGGACCCACACTTTCGTGCAGAAGCCCAAACTACAGAACTCCTTCTTTTCCCAATGGCATCAAAGAATCACATAAGGACTTAAATACCAAATTTAAGCATGACAATTGACACCCAAATGAGAATAGTACTGAATAAGCTACAATAAGAACCCCCTAGCAAAATCTAATTCTAGAACATCCCTCGTGAAATTAACTCTGATGAAATTTCTTTTGATCAGCATTGTGTTTTGAGCCTTTCCAGAAGGGCCCCTTAAACTGCAAATATGAATAGCTTGACAACAAACCATACACCAAATGGTTTTAAATGAGCTACAATTCCGACCAAAACTTGTAAAACTGCTTCCAAAATGCAATCCATTTCTTATTCAACATGACTTCCTCCCCCTATATCAAGGTTGGGACAATTTTATGGGTTAAAATCAAATGCTAGGACATTTAGCTCTCATACGACTTCAACAATGATATTAGGAGAAGGGGAGAAATTGATGTGTCCCTATATTTCTTGGGAACAATTGATAGCATGCAAAATTTTTAATTCAGTGTCAAGAAGGTTTGGCCACGATTGTAGAAACCATAGGATTGAACGCTTTTTTCGCTCTTTAAATCTCACACTAAAACTTCAATTGGAAGTATTTATCGAACCTGCATCATTGAAAATTCCACATAGCATCCAGGCAGTGACAGAAGTGAATTCACTTGGTTTGCAAACAATGCAATTTCCAGCTGCAATGGCAGGAGCAATCTTAAATGTCAACAAGTAGAGTGGAAGATTCCAAGGTGTTATCTGACCAACCACTCCCACAGGACTGCGCACAGTATAGTTCAAAGCCCCTAAATGACTCTGAGTTGAGGATCTATATAAAAAAAGTAACATTAATTCTTTTATATTTGACTTTATATTTAAAGAGCATGTGATGAGATTCAATTTTTTTAAACTGGCAAATAATTTCAAAACCCAGAAATAAGAAACAGAAGAATGAGAAAATTTAAGAATCAACTAATGATTGAACAAGTTTAGTTCTCTCATATCACATCAGATAACAATATGAACTTTACATTGATAGATAGATATTGGCCAGTATGTCTGATAGTGTTTTTTTGTATATAGACACAGCTGTTAACAACTATGGTGTAGAACAGGGTCTGGTCATCCAATTAGGTGCAAAATTCAGAGTAGCAACTGAGAAGCCCTTTGACACATTAAAGAAAAAGCAGTACACAAAGACCCCATGTACACTACAGAAAAACGAACGGAACTCTTTGGTTCCGTGCCTGAAAAGCGATGATAGGCCTTGCATTTACACTAAGCATCTTGGTTCCATTCTTCTTTGGCTTTGCTAAAATGCGAAACTCTTTGGTTCCGTTCACAAATCGTGCTTGTTTTCTCTAGTGTAAACGGTGGTTACAATTGAAAACGGGGCTTAATCTAGGGTTGGGGTGAGGCTTTCTGAAAATGTCGGGTGTCATTCCCGTGCCACTGCGCATCCTTCACAAAGAAGTTCTGTTCTTTTTACTTAAGTGTAATTGGGGTCAAATTTGGATTTGTTCCTTTTTGCTTCAGTGTAAACACGATGAAAAAAGTGCTATCATGCCCACAGAAGAAAGTAACCAAGAGTTCTTCTTTCTGTAGTGTAAACGGGGTCAAAATAATCAAACAATTGTCATAGTGATGGAGCTATAAGAGACTTACTCATTGCCAAAATGGAGAACAGCAGAAGAGAAAAATCTAAAGTTGTGGACAGCTCTAGGAATGTCAACTGTCTTTGCTAACCACACAGGCTTGCCTTGATCACGTGATTCTGCTTTTGCAAATTCTTCAAGCCTTGCCTCCAGTAAATCAGCAATTTTCATCATGATAAATGACCTTTTAGCTCTTGAGCACTTTGCCCACCTGGTGAAAATTAATTTATAAATAATGTTTATATGGATATATTTTGAAAGTTTCTCACAGGATGCTTCAATAATCATGGCACCAGTGGTAGCCCTTACTAGATTTGACTATCAAGTATAACTAATGGTTCATCATTTGGATAGCACAATTTCAGGGTGGCGTCCATGCAAATAAACAATATGCCAATAGAAATACAATGGGAAATTGCTTCCTCACACTGAATGTCTCAGGCATGAGTGACATGGATTCCAAACTGGCAATAAGCACCCTTAAGCCAAGATCACTTGGGTCCATGCCACTTTAAAAAACATTGACAACACTTATTCCAATCAAAGAATAGAAAAAATAGTATAAACTTTAAAAAATGATATATGGAATGAAATAAATATATATTTTTGTCAGCAGATGGCTGCTAGAACTGAAACGGGATATGATAGGGTTTCTAATGCTAATTTTTAAATTGCCTTTAACTGCGAATTCTCTAAAAACTTGTCTTTGAATTAAGAAAGACATTTTAGTCTTCTCTATAAAAATCTGGTTTGTTTGTTAATGCAGCTAGACACCCAGACTGTATTTTTTGACATGTGCTGATAAGCAAAAAATAATTTTTACGAGTTTCAGACTTGTTTTCTCTAATTTTTGTCACTTAGTTGTTGTTAATCTTAGTCTTTAGCATTTTTAAGAAACTGATGTGAATAGTTTATATTGCTTTTCAAAGAAATAGAAGTAGGAAACTTACAATAAAATTTTGGTAGGAAAATGCAAAGGGATTGTAGGACAATAACCACCAAACCAGATTTATGTTCAGTTCCTTTGTTAGAAATTGTTATGCTAGAGCAGTCATGATAAAAATAACACTTAATGGCGGGGAAAAGATTAATTAAAAACCATAAACAGTTCAACCATTTAACTTAATTAAAATTAATATACTTCAAACGAACTAAAGCTCAAAATGCGCTATCTTTCATCTTGATTCGCGCAGTAAACAACTCTATTCTGAATGAACTTTTCTGGCAAATTTTAATGTCGCAATAGGTGTACTAACCCATCTTTAGCATTCTCTGCAGCTTGGATAGCAAGCTCGACATCTTTTGGCCCACTTGCAGGAACTTTAGCATACACTTCCCCTGTTGAGGGCTCAAAGCTATCAATGAAATCATTGGCATCTACGAACTTTCCATTGATGAAGTTTTGAAGAACAACCATGTTTACACCACCGCGTGAAAGCGAACTCATGTGCAACTACAGCAACTCTAGACGAGGTGTGTCATAACACAACAATCTTGTTTTGCCGGTTCATCAATTAGTCCGAGAAGCAGGTACCATAAAAACTGCCATAGCTATCAAATATACGCTCCCAACTTTTTGAAATCAACTTTTCTATCTAATCACTCCTGTTGTACTTAAAATTGTTTCGCTCTTCTTGAATAAGCGAGACATGCAAAATGCGTGGACTTGCTGGCTGGTCCAGTAAATTACGTTGTTTGATGTCAATGATTATTTTAAAAATTTGCATAGGTAATTGGCTGTATGGTTAAACTTCAAATCTTTCTTTTTGTAGACAGCCTCGTATGTGCATGCCGATACCTATCAACAAACAATAAAGGAAATTTGGATACCAACATTTGAGTAACATTCCCCCTCATTGTTTTCATGGTCTTTTTTACAAACCAAAAGTGACCATTCTTTTAAAGTCACTGTAAAAATATTTTTTGAAGAACTCTGTCATACACCAAGAAGCTAGCATCAAGGATATGAATTTTCACCTACATATGATATTGACCACCTTACTGTTCTTCATACATCATTATTAACATTGTTGTAGCATCAATCACTCCCCTGAATTTTCAAAAAAAGATGGTACTTGGAATTCTCTGCAGGGTCACTTCCTTTTCTCTTCTTCTGAACTTCATAAAACATAACAAAAGATAAGCAAATGCAAAAGAGTGAGTGGAATTTTAAGGCCGTCTGAGTGAAACTATTCATCTCATCATACCAGGACCACACAAAGCCAGTCCTGTCATTGAAATTCACATACTGTAATTGGCTGGTGGTAAAGAAACAAAGATAAAGAGACAATTGTGTTGCAGTTATATTTTCATCCACATATAAATCAGTATACATGAACCATGACAATGACATCATTTGACACCAGAGTTCATCTAGTCAAATAGACCTGAAAAAAAAGTTACGATAAACATAAATTGAAAAACTTTTATACTAGGAAAGTATGGAAGATAATAAGGGTAAAGGCAAAAAGGTATCTACTGACTACTCTTCTATGCAATTCTTATATTCAGTGACATAGAAATCTAATATAATAACACCAGCAAAGAGTAGTTTAACAAATGCCTGATGATCAAAGCATGAAAGTCAGAGTTGAAGCTCAGAAACATCCTGTTTTACATTGTGGTTTGTGAAGAAAGAGTCACCTAAATTGTGAATAGTGAATATATGTGCAGAAAAAAGGTCACCTCAAAAGTAAATGTGGTTAATGGCAAGGCTCATTATTTACCATATTCTCAACAAAATAAACTTGAAAAATGTAATGATGTTGGTTCATGTAAATGTGCCAAGCAGCCCTTTACATTTCCAGCCACAAAGATCTTTTGGAAAATTCTACAAGCAATAAAGAAGAAACACAAATTTAATTTAACATACCGAAGCCCATGTCATCATCAGATTCTTCTTCTGATTCTTCTTTCTTTTCTTCCTTCTTCTCCTCTTTGGAATCTGCTGCGGCTCCTCCTGCTGCTGCAGCAGGGGCTCCTCCAGCAGCTGGGGCACTGCCAACATTGCAGATCAAGTCACCAATGTTTCTTCCCTCTAAAGCCTTGGCAAAAAGTCCTGGCCAGAAAGGCTCTACATTAACTTTTGCTGCCTTAATCAACTTCTGGATTTTTTCAGCCTGGCAATAGAAGAGGGAATAAAAAAATTACACTGACTAAATAACTTTAAATGGCTCATATATAATATCAATTTAACAGGTATATAATATTCATAAATATCAAGCCTGACCATTAGACTTTTAGCAGGGGAGTAGTAAAAAGCTCTCCTAGCAATTTCATGGTGATCTATTTGTAGATATATAAAAATAGAAACAAAGGTAAGCTTTTTAAAGGGCAACTTGCTTTTTTGAACAGTTTAGGAGAGCAATCAGCAACCCCCCAAGAACATTTAAGGGAAGCCTGACTCTCCTCAAATGGCCAGGTTTGCATATATACATTTGAAAATAACCAACAGTGTAACAAGGCTGCAGAACTATTTTGCCATCGACATTACGGTAAAAAGTATTTCTTGTGAAAAAATAAACATATTTTCTTAAGCATCTTGTTTTGATATTCTTCAGAGCTAATTAAATGCTAAGGTGAATAACAATGCAAATTATGGCAAACTGCAGTTCTAAATTGTCAGCAGGCAATGCTAACAATTAGTTTCTGCAAGGGATAATTTCACATGAAATCATCACATTTGGATGCAATACTGAACCTTAACCCCTCAGGTTTTCTTGAAATTAGGCTCACTTGAGGGTATCAGCAAGGTATTATATAACTGTGCTTAAGAAATCTCTAAAGAGCTATATAGATACATATTGTTTCTTTAGAAATGATGTGTATGGTCTAAGAAATTTTGCAATGTACACTTTGGGTACAAAAGTATGGAAACAGTAGGCTTAAATGGTCACCCAGTGGCTGCAGGTTTAAGCTGACCAATTTCCAAAACAAAATTCAAGGCTAAAGAGGAATGGTAGGAAAATTCCCTTGCCATTTTAAGGAACGTTGGTTTAAAACAAAATTGAATGATTGTATATATATAATTGAAAAATAAATTGACTGACATTTTGAAGCATTATATACTTCAAAAAGATTCTGATGATGACAATGAAATGTAGCTTTTTGAAGAAGGATGAAAAGTACTTGAATAAAATTTAAATCAAACAACATCAGGGTTTTTTCTGATGATAAAAATATTACTGAGCAGTGTGTTTTGGCAGAAGTTTATACATTGGAACAAGGCAAGAAATCTTACATATATATATATATATGATATGACAATAAGGAATGTGTAATTTTGGATTAGATTTGCTCTTAGCTAAACAAGAAGAAATTCAAAAAAATCAATGAAACATTCTTCTTTTATTGTGCCTTTACAATTGGTGAGGACAATTACCTAAACCCAAGCTAGCCTGATATTTAGCTGTAGTGAAAGGGTCTTCACAGTAATATATTTACAATAAGCAGCTGAACATATACAGATTGGAGATTTGACGAAGTATATTCCAAAATTTTGGATGAATGTAGTGCTTAAAATTCTCCAGAGCAGTTTTCGCTCAAAGAATAGATATTGATAGACTTTCCCTATTGCACAACCTTTATGAAATTCGATGGGCCTAAACTTTTTATAACCTAAATAATGAAAAATCCCTAGTAGTTGCTTGCCTTTCAGAAAAATATTCAACGATTAGCATCATCGAGTTTAGGATTCAGAAAAACCACCTGTCTTGTTAATATCATTAGGGTATACATTATATTTATAAGAATATTCGTACAAACCGTAATAGGGACATCATCATCATGGAGGATCAAAGCACTGTATACACATGCAAGTTCTGATGTTTGGGCCATTGTTCCAATAATTTAAAGTTTTTCACTCTTATTGACGTTTATAAGGATGTGGGTTGCTCGAAGTCGCGATGGAATCGGATTCTAGCCTTAGCTCGAATGAGAACTCCACACCTCTATAACTTTGAAAATAGAAAGACCGAAGCAGTGTGTCAGGGCACATGGTCAGCGGTCAGTGTAGTTGTATGAAACAGAGGCTGGGATGAGAAATGATACCTGAAAAATCTCAATGACCTGGAAAAGGGGGATTTAATTTTCCAGCATCATGTCAGTTTTGTGTGAAAAGTTGTGCCTAGAGAATTTCTTTTAGTTCAACAGTTTTGCAAGTACGTAAATGTACGTAAATGCAAGCCCGTGGAGTAGGGGTGGCAAACTCCCCATGTCCAATGCAGGCGGTGTTTAAAATGAAGTTTTTGCAGGGTTGGGGGTGGGTATGGAAGCAAATAAGCGAAAAATGTTGTAAAATATCTTCAGCATTTGTTGTGCTAGAAAACTATCAAGATCTTAATGTCCAACGCCAGACATGAGGGAGTGCATTCTTTCTCTGTCCGCCAAGGACTTCGCTGAGGGGAGTTAGGGGAGTCCTTATGTGTTGATGTGTAGTAGCTGCAACTTATAAGAATTAATGAAAACTTGCGAGTATCGGCTCGCTCTATCTATGCAGTCGCTACATCTATCTTTTCAAAGTCGCTTTCTGGCCACTTCATATCTTTTGCGCTCAAGAGAAAGATATTGCACACTGCTTTAAGAAAACAAGATAATCTCCTCAAACATTTTCTCCAGAACAGGAAACTTTTCGCTGCGAAGTTGAACAGAGGTATCAGGGTCTTGTACTTTGGAAACTTTGATAAACAAGGCGAAAGAGCTTCTATTAGTCTCCCTTAACAGATCTTGTTGACTGATCAATATCTTTACTGAACATCTACCTCCATGAGTTGCAACGATTCTTGATTGCTTGAAGCTTTGACCCTTAATGACTCACTGACGGAGAGTGTTCGGTACTGATAAAATCATCGTAAGTGCTTGGAAACAAAAGCCCTTCTTCACTGAATGTTGCTGACCTCAGTGTATTGAATTGTTTTTTCGGAAATTAGCAACCATTTTAGCACATTGAGCCCCAGTCAAGTTTGTACATCGTCCCTTAAGATAATCTCTTGTTGCTTTAACTACAAAGAGCACTGTGAAAAATTTGGACTGAAAGATTGAAGCTGCTTCATGGCTATGTTTCTTGGCTTTAGAATGTCTATCAACACGCAATTCACAAAAATGAACATCCAATTGTCCACATCCTCTTCTAGCTAATAAAACAATCCTTTTTCCAAGCTACGGTCTTTGCTTCTTAAACTTCTTTGATGATCTTGATTTTGTAGAATATTGCAAAGCAAACACTGAAAATCTGATTTTTAGTGTTTGCTTTGCAATATTCTATTATAATGTAGGCTAAATCGAGAAATACGTGTTTTCGAGCATACCAGAACATAACACTCTTACTTCGACAACTACTGACTAAGGCAGTGCGTGTTTATATACTACAGTATATTGTCCCAAAAACTGCTATTCGCATAAACCCAGACAACCGTGTTGCAGGAAACTGTTTTAGCAATTCTTCTGAGAAGCTCCCAAGTAGCGTCAAGTTTTTGCTGCAATCTTTCAACTTTTTGCTGAAAAATTTTCAGCGCCAGGCACAACTTTAAGACCTACGTGAGTAATAAGAGATCCCAACAAACAATGTTCCTTTCTCCAGTATTAGCTTGGCCCAAATGGTCATAGAAATCCAATGCAAAAGGCGAAAAACCTCATTAAAATAACTTTATGACAAAATTATTGGGGTGGCAAACAGCTGGTATTGCCACCCCATGCCACCCCTCGGCTATGGGCCTGCGTAAATGCAAAACCATTGATAGATTTGTAGAACGATTATCGCTGTCTTTCACGAGTTTTGATCAAGGCATCAGCAGTTTCAGTATTGTTGTATTGCAATTTATCAACTTACTCTGGCAGAGTTATTTGTAGCTTTTGCAGTTTAAAAATCCTAAAGCGCAAAAAACTTAACAACGTAAAAACCTAGTCTATCTACCCATAACGAGGTATTACCTAGTTGAACTTTTAAGCATTTGGTTTTCTCAACCTTGTGAGTCATCAGTACGTAGACACGATCTTTTGTCAAGAAAATTTCTAGGATATAACTATAAACCCACAATTAATTTCAATGGCGGCGCCAACTACTGCCGAGTGGGGGGGTAATGGGCGTGGCCAGTGAGACCACGCCCTAATAGCCTCGTTTCAGTGCTTTGTACCAGGTCAAATTTCCTTAGGAAATATGATCTACCCCTACCTAGTGCTTTCTAACCCGTTTTAAGAAGAAATATGTAGACCATGTTTCGAAAAAAGTGGGGGGGGGGGTAATTACCCCCATACCACCCCTTGGCGCCGCCACTGATTAATTTCCTGAGTGACAATGAGATTTAAAGAAATTGGATTTCCTTAAAGGCATTTTTTCTAGCACCTTGAGTCTCTATCAGTGTTTTCATTAAGATCGTCGATGTTGTTGGATGAGTATGATACGGTAGCATCATTAGGATACATAATGACTTGATTATTTTGGAGAGAAAGTGGCAAATTATTAATAGAGATCAAAACAGGAAAGGACCGAAACAAAGGCTTTGTGGTAATCTTGTTCTGAAGTTGATATCAGCTTGCTTTGAAGACCCACCATCATCTCTGCAGAATTATGTTGCATTATTCAGATATGTTGTAAACAAGGCCTGTCGAAGACAGATAGTTGTAGAAATTCAGCATTTACGCTGTCAAACGATCGTTTTAAGGTCAGTAAATGCCATCGCTGTATGTCGATTTCTATTTGGTTCTTTGTATATTTAAAGATCGATAATGAATGCTGTTCGATTTTTAAGGACCGTGTTAATAGTTTTCAATGTGCTTCAAGATCGCTAATATTCTAAGCAACTTTTTGCAAAACCTATTTGCCTAGAATCAAAATGAAATATATAGCTTAATGTATGTATGTATGTATAATTTTGCCATCAAATAAATTACAATTTAGAATTAAAAAAAAGATATAATTACAGATATATAAAGTTTACAGATATAAGTTAAAAACATAGACTAAAAAACCCCCAGGTTAAAAATGGCAGGGATAGCATTAAAAAGGTCAATACGATCTTGTTTCCATAATGGTCCTTCCAGAGGTGTTATAAAAAAATGTGTACATGACAAATTGATTTGCATCCAAAACTAGGAAAAAAGTAATTCTGGAAAAATGTTAACTAGAACCTTTTCGTTGGCTGAATTTGGATTTTCAAAAAAAATATGTAGGGGCTATCCTCCTGATTTTGTAGATCATCAAAGAATTTATCTTTGATCTTGTGTTTGAAACTATTGACGTTCTTTGCAGATTTTAGTTTTGACGGTAGATTGTTCCAAATTTTGGGACCAAGATATGAGAGGCAATTTTGCCCCATGTTTTTCTTTCGGAAAGGTTAATAATTGCTTTAAACGTTTTCATCATCCAAGGACGAAAAATTTCAGAAACACGCATACTGTGCAATGGAGCATGTTTATCGAGCATACGTGAAATATTTTGGTTCACTGTTTTACGATATGGCTAATATCGTTGCCTTTTAGACAATATCCTTCCAGAAAGCCAGAAGCAAATCATCCATAAATGCAAGTTGATCAATTTTTGTTAACTTACTTTAAGTAGCATTTCAACGCTACTTTACAGTGTCCCAAGATGACTTATATTTCTTACAAAGCATTCTATGCAATGATCAGGATCACCAGTTTTTTCTATAGAATTATTAGGTAGTAGATTATAAGGTCTCCCTAGTCTTTTTTAATTAGCTGCTGAAAACCAAAATTGCCACGGAATTCAAGAATACGTTAGGATATGTTTGGTTGGAATATTTGTGTCATGTAATCATCCTCCACCGTGTAGTTGGTAAAATATCAGTTTTCACAATTAGTTACAACTCCCTAAGAGGATAATTTCTTCATTTTCTCTATCGATAACATGCATAATCCCCTCAAACTGGCTAGAAATACCAGCACACTCATTGGAAAGAGGAAGGCTCGATATCCAAGCATCTAAGAACAACTCCGAAAGGCCTTCATGAACAGTCAACCTGTCAACAGTCAATTTTCTATGTATAATGCTACTCGAGTTGAAATTAACTAACCCTCTACAATACTGCATTGTATCCCAAGGTAAATATTCTTGAAAATAAACATTACGACCAGGATCTTCTGATGTAATATCCATAAATTTTGACATGACCAACAGAATTTGCCATCAAATACTGTTTCTTCACTGTCAAAATGTGTGTGCGAAGATCTTTTGTAACAGTACGGCGAACAAGTATATATTCACATTCAAAGATGCTATCGTCATTCCCTTCTGATGTCCAAGAGTGGAAATGTTATAATCAGGGCAGGGACCCTCGTATCAAAATCAGATCGACTTTTTAAAAACAACATCAAGCAGGCAAATGTGACAGAAAAATACAGTGAACGACATTATTCTTTACTAAATAAAGACATTATCAACTACAAGACTCTACAGCAACTGTTATTAATCTTGCAACAAAACAGTAGAGGTTATATATTACTTTTAAAAATGTGCCAGAAGCGTGAAAACAGCACGTTGTGTTATGTAACTTGTATGCCTAATTTTGATAAAACGCACATTCCCAGATGCTACATGTGATAGAAGAATGAACCTGTTACAATGTAAGGGGAGGGGGCAAACTCTAAAAGCCGCGTAAAATGAGTCAAAGCCACCATTCGCGTCAAACAAAGCATAAAACCTTGATTGTAATTGTTAAAATTTTCTTTATAAACAATAACTGCTGATGGACAAATTTAGAAGTTGCATTACAGAAACTTTATACCACTTGAAATTCCAATGGAAAGATGCAGGCGGCGTGAACAGGAATCAGGAGACAGAAATCCAAAGAAAACAATCGCAAAAATTTATGGTGCGCTGTAGAAAGGGTCAAGGCCGCGATGCAACGAATATTAGTCTCCGATTTCTGTACTAAGCAAGCAAAAATCTACGCACTAGAATGCGACAAGGCAGGTGAATTTATGCAAATGTAACCATGCATAGCTCGCCTGTCTCAAGTCTCCAAAATGACTCAATATCCTTCAAAGGCACTAGATGCTACAGTCTTTTGCATTATAACATCCCTGCATGACATGCCAAGCAAGCTTTTTCTTAACGGGAAATGGCAGGCAAAAACGGCAGAGGCAGTAAAATTTGTCTTTGGCTAGCAGGGGATGGGGTATGGTGCAAAAAAGGGAATTTAAGATATACTTGGGACAAAACATTTCCACTTGCTTGGAACGCGGGTAAGTAGAAAAAGGCATGGATTATTCGATTGCTCCAAAGGGGACATTCCGGCGGGGAAATTTCTAACCGGGGACGGTTTTCACCGGGTATGTTACACAGGAGTGCCAACTGCTCCGACTTCAAACAATTCCTAGGATTCTTAAGTATTTAAAAATCTTTTGAGAAAACCTAGTTAATGCTTTAAAATTAATCTAACTATGCAATAGCTAATAATAAATGTAGCCTGTAGAAATCTCAGGAGTGCAGGATTAAAATAACGTGAATAGAACGGGGACATTCTACTTGTAATATGGCTTTGGTATTCTGCTCGTTTTTGGTCAATGTAAGTCAATTTCTCAGTTAAGATTTTGATCAATGAAGTAAACAAGGGAAGTTAATTTTGTGTAAACGGTTATGGCTTTAGAATTTATCTGCTTAAACTTCTCTCCTTTTCTAAACACACGGAGCCGGATTCAGTGCCACAAATGTGAATGGTTGCCATTGAATGCAAAATAAAAAATATCTAAATTTTCAATAAAAATTCGAAAACAGCAGAGCATCAATAAGCCTTCTTTCAGCTCTAAAGCAGGGACGTCAAACTCAATACTCGTGCGACACAGTTAACACAATTATGTGTGTCTTTCGAGTAGAAGTAAAAAATTGTATTTACTTAATTAAATGCTATTACTTTATTAGTTTCTCCTTAGACAATTTTCTATCAAAATTAGTGACAAAACTCTGATATCATAAATCAATGTTTGAAATCATAGTCGTGCTTGGATTTTTCAGTGAACAATTATTCCATTTTGCAAATGCGTTGAGCCTAGTTTAATTCTAGTAATTGAGCTTGTTTGACCTTGACAGCCCTGCTCTAAATAAAACGAGTTATCTAGCAGTAGAAAAAAATACCCTAGCGGAAATTGGCTATTCTAAAATCCTATTAATGTTGGAATACAAAATATCCCATTAGGTATATTGTCTCTAGCAGCTTAATCCTAAACAAACTCAAAGCGTTTAAAATCAATTTTACAATTTATTTCACAATGCAAATCAACTCAATTGGGAATAAAACGTATCATTCACTTCTGTTTGTATTTCACATAAATGCAAATATTTCCAGCAGAATGTTTCCATAAAGACGAATTTTGAGTGACCGGCTCCAAAACCTGATCATTATTTCTAATGAGCTTTCTTCTCTTTGATATGGAAAACGTCGATGCCAAGAAAACTGCTGATTTCTACGCAAACTTTGGTACAAAATATTGCCATATTAAGACATTCAAAGGCCTAAAAAGAAAAACATTGAACAGTATCTCCTGTGTAAAACAAAGAAGACCATGTTAAGAGCTCTAATCCACAGGTTATTTTGATACATATTTGCGTTACACTGCATAAAGCATTGGACACGCATTTCTTGTTTTCATGTCTGTTGCAAAATGTACCGCTGTTCTTGAAATCTGGAAACTGCTCCTTGTTAAAAATACTTAGCACAGTGTGATTTTACTGAAAGGCAGTCTGTCCCCCTCGTAATGTAAAATTTACGCTATTATGGTTCTTCATTCTGATTGTTTATTTGTGCATTGAATCAACAATGCATGAATATCATGGCAATGAAAAGAGATTCTGAGAACATAGGGGAACATACTGCCTTTAAACTTTATGTAAGCAAAATAACTATTTCATTTGGGCTAACATCTCATCTCATCTCATCTCATCTCATCTCATCTCATCTCATCTATCTCATCTCATCCATCTTATCTCATCTATCTCATCTCATCTCATCTCATCTCATCTAATCTCATCTTATAAAGCTCTTAAGTCTCAAAGACTACCAACTAATGATTATCCTGCTATATCATGGAATGGGTTAATTACATGAAGCAGCCTATCTCCTTTATTTAAAGTATTTAAAAAGGAGAATCACTGGAGAGCAAGATTAACTTCAAGCATATAAGGTGTACTGCAATAACTGTCAACCAACATGGTATATAGCAGACCAATTTACCTTGGTCTAAGCTCTGTGTATTTAATCCTCTCATCATACTAACAAACTCTCTAGCCTACCACAGAAAATTCTTGGCTTTTTGGTAAAGCATTTACTTTGGCCAAGGTTTAAAACAAAAGTGTGGAAAAATGTAGAAAAGTGTGGTCAAATCATTGAAAAATGTGGGTTATGCAGCACAATTTGAGTGCATATGCCAGATAGGAAATGAAACAAATAGGATCCATACCAACACAGCAAGCAAAGCATGCCATTCAGAGACTGGAAGAGAAAAGTAAATGATGAAGCTCAGAGCAGCTGGTCCAAGCATGCAGCTGTCTATCATTTCCAATGGGTGTTTTGTCATTGTAGCAATCTGTGCAAAATAAAGCAGAATATGTCTAACTGCAAACTAAAACATGATAGAGCAGACTTTGTTAAAATTAAACGAAATCAGAATGTTACTCAACATAGAGCTTAAATTGAATGTTTTTGAGTATTTGGGTCTACATTGTATGTGGCTTAAACAGTATTGTGACTTTAAGCAGAAAGACCATAGGCAATGTTTACTGTACACCATAGAGGAAAATATAATAATATATAAGTGTTTAAAGCAAATGTTCAGAATGTCCCTATTATGTCCTGCGTTGCAGGTAGTACATAAGAAAACATACATTCATAGGGAACGTAACAGAACATAAATCAAACCGTGCATTCTTATAGCATGGTTCGCTAATTAGCAAATTATTCTAATTTATGCAATGGTAAATTAATATGTGCTTAAATCACAACATTACAGTCCCCAATCTGGTCGAATCTTTAAAATTTTTCAACAGAAAAGAAGAGGCCCAGAAAAGTAATGTTTAGAAAATTTAATTTAATCAGGTAAGTACATAGTCATTGTCATAAAAAATTGAAAATTACTTACCACTAATTTACAAGTCAGCTTTGCAATGGTTATACCATACATTAAATCTACAAGGCATGGTGCTGTTTGGAACAAATTCAGTTCAGAATGTTTATATACATAGAAAGCACAGGCCAACACAATGCCAAGGGGAATCGCTGGAGATAAAACACTGGTATCCTGAAAAATAATACAAAAATTACATTATATGCTGTTTGTAAGAATGTACAAATCTACATACAATGCATATATTTTAATTTCCAAACCACTTTCTGCTTTGCATCTTGACATCTTTCAGTTAGAAACTTTTGCCACAAAACAGCTAGCCAGAGTGTAGACGTTTCTTTTCTCAGTTTTATGTTCATTGCAAAAATTAAGGAAAGTGGTACTCCAAAGACACATTGAAAATTAATGGATAACAGTTTGAATAAAATATATTAGGGAGAAAGGGGCTCAGAAGTTGAATAGATTTTTTGAAGATTTTTGATCTAAAATTTTAACATTTCATTCAAACTTATTTTGCATACAAAGAACACCAGGCTGAAAGTTTGTGAGAAAGGTTTAAAAATGATGAAAATTTTGAACATGCTACATAGGGAGGTATAAAGCCCATTTTGCCTTAAAATTCAGAGCAAGGAAGCCTTTGCCTTCAAGAACTCATTATTATCTATTATGTTCTATTATATTATTGTTCTATTATATTATGCCTATTGCATAGTTCCGGTCTTGTGATCCTCACGCTTGCACAGCGATATATCTACTTTTAGAATTTGTATTGTTCTCAATTGCTTCTTAATGTTATGTTCAGATACAAGTTGTGTTTTCTTTACACAGTTATCTTAAAAGCTTTTGCGTAAGGTCAAAACAGGGTGTGGCCCCCAAAACTTTTTGGCCAATTGGGGCTTCTGCCCCAGGTCCCACCATGCGGAATGGCAGTGGCTCCTTAAAGTGGCTCAATGTTGAAATGGCTGTCCTAAAAGTTAAAGTCTTGAAGAAAATGTAAACAATACAAACAAATGTTGGCTGATGTTATTGAACAACATTTTCTCACTTTTGTTTAGAAACATGACATTACAGACTACATGGTAAGAATCAGTGTTAGAATGTTATGGGGTTTCTGAGAAAGGAGCAATATCAAGAACATTCTTTTAAGAAGCTGGCTTTTTATAACCAAAAACAAACAATACACCAGAGTGTATTTGGCAGGTTATGTGCTTTAACAAAAGTTTTTTGAGATGGCAACAGAATGTCAGGACTCAAATTTCTAAATATGCATATCATGAAAAACCATCTGATAATAATTTGGGAAATATGACCAAAACAATGATAACTAGTACTCACAGAAACAGTAGATTTATTTTTACCAACTCCACCAGCTAAGATTTTTGAGAATGAATTCAGCATGTAGTAAAAGCTGTTTAAAGCTGCAAATATAACAGCAAGTTGTGCTAAAGATAGGTTTGCCCCAAGGATTGTGACCTGGAAAACAAATAAAATTCTTGAGAAATTTACTTTTCCACCAAGGTGCTTAATAAATCCTCCTGTCTATAAGGAAGTAACACAAGAAACTTCAAGAAAACTTAGGATACCCATTCTGAAACTAAATGCATAAAGAAACCAGGAATTTGGGGCAGAGATCTAAATTGCTGTATCATTGTTCATTATTTACAACATAATATGCATTTTAAGGAAGTAAACGAATAATGGCTTTTCCTCTTATCTGTTCCAATATAAAATTTATTCTTAAACCTTTTCAAATCACAGCAAAACATTTTGATTTAAAAACTTCTTCTATATCATTTTGAAATTCTTCAAATTGGTAAGAAATCTGAGAGCAATAAGAAAATTTAAGTCTTAAGTCCAGTTCTTATTTAGGTCAAAGAATGATATAACATAAAACTAATGCTGAAAATTTGCTCAATTCAGAAAGGAAATGAACACACCCTGAAAGGTCAAGGTTCTGTAAGTAAATGCTTCATAAAATTGCATTATGTATTACAATTGGCTTATCATCAGTTGGAACTTTTGCACCCTTTTCTTCAAGAAAACATCCATCAACTTACATTCCTGTCTGCATGTCTCTCATTCTAAAACTGTGAAATTTTACTGTTATATTGTTGTCCTATATCCTTGAAAAAAAATCTTCCAAAAAGTATTTCAATCAATAGATAATTTGATACCTCGTAGCTCCAAAGTTGGACTCCAAAAATAGCAGTTAGTATAAATGCTCCACACCCAAGTATCTGAACCTCTGTTACATCAACTCTGCAAGGAACAAAAAAATATTGTTCATGTCAACAGGAAACAATAATAGACAACAAGGGTATGGCTAATGGCCTTAGGTCAAAGGATTTTCAATACTGTAAAGGATTATGGATTTCTATCTGGGCCTTGGCAAGTGCCTTCCATAATATTAAAAAAGGAAATGTGATTACAGCAAGATTAAGAATTGAGGAAACTGCTCACAAGTTTCAAGCCAGAAGAACAGTAACTGTCTCAAAATAGCAAATGTATATCTCAGAGGAACAAGTTCTATAACAAACTCAAAAATCATGTTGGATATCATATGTTTAAATATGAAATACATAAATTAAAATATATACTCACCTTCCAAATACAAGTATTCCAGTAACATATGTTTGCCAATGTGCAAGGTAGAATATGACTGAGTTATTGAAAAAGAAGAAAAACAAGAAATGTGGATATTTGCCAAGATTTAGAGTACAAGCCATCGCCAAAGAGACAAACACAACTGATAATGAATCACATCCATGATCAAATAATTCTCCAAGTGGAGAGCTACTTCCAGTTCGCCTTGCTTGTTTTCCATCAATAGCATCCAAAGTTTGATAGATAAGCAAACCAGCACAGCAACAAATCAGTGCAGAAGGGCATATCTAAGAAGGAAGTAAATGAGTGAATGCATGCTCGGCTGATTATTTTCTTAAATGTTTGGAATACATATGTAGAGATTTAACTTAATGTATTTTACTCAGTACTCAATACAGAACCATTAACCAGGTTTAATACATAACAATAATTAAAAGTACTCAATACAGAATCAGAACACAAACATGTTTGATGTTGGCTATGCCTGGCTGCAAGCAACAGCACACTATCCTGTGACCTGCCAGCAAAGGCATTCAAGCTGTGAACAATAATGATCATATATATACATGACCATAGTATAATATACATGACTTTATTGATACTGTTGGTTAGGTGCAAGTGCAAAAGAACCAGTGCAGTTGTAAGAATATGCAAGTTTCCCAGCCTGGACCTTTCATCACAAAAAGTCCAGATTAAGCCTAAGTTGACACCTTTGTTGTCACGAAGATATCATTTGGTTATTTACAGAGAAACATCAATAACTAAAATATTTTTGAGCACACATTTTTCCACAGCTTCAGGCTAATCTTTTTTTTTCTTCCAAATTTCATATATGACTAGGACTTCTAAGAACAGCTGTCCTCGATGTTGAAGGATGCTACTTCAACAAAGAGATTTCAAATACCTGATTGGGCTTCTTGTATTGTCAAAACAGACAGGGATAAAAAAACAATATTGCCAATCACATTAAATAAGCTTTTCAAAATTTGCACTTGCATGAGATATGTACATACAACACTAGATTTTTTCAGACAACCGTGATTATCTGATCTCAATTATTGTAATCAAGATTTCAGATAATTGCAATAATAAGTCTAGAATTTTCTAAACAATAAAGTTTTTTTGACCAATTTTTCTGTCATGGGTCTATAATTTTCCCTTGCCTCCTTACTTTCAAGCTTGCATCAGAGTCCCTGTTTTGCAAAGTTGGCCTTACGTTACAACTGAATTTATTTAATATTAGTGTTAATGTGAGAAAAAAATCGGTCACGCAATAGATGTTCTTTGACATTGCTAATAACGGTAACATGATTCCGGGCACATGTGACCTGGAGCATGCGTGTTGACCAGGGAAGTCTGTCACGCACATGAGCTCCCATGGTTCTCACATGGAAAGACATTAATTCCTGACCCGATGCGGCTATACCAAATAAAGTCAGTTTTAGAGGTTGAAATACAAACCTCGCCTACAGCAAGTGGACAAATATACATGATCAATGCCGATGTTATAATGTTGACAGCCAGACCCAATGTTGTTATTGTGTTTGGGGCCAACCAAAGGGGCATAAACTCCACGACATATCGCCAAAATGGCTGTAGATAAACCTCAGCTATTGATGTGCCTTGCGCACTATACTTGTGCTCTAAAAGCTTCTGAAGTTGGGTTTTGCCAAGTACATTTGAATCACCCATCATGTTTACTTCTTACTTTTGACAGCACCTTTCCTCTGCACTAATGGTACGGTCTGCTGGTACGGTTTGTTGAGAAGTGAACAATGAACCTTGATCAGCTGATCACACAGACACAGGGGTGCAAGATCACTTTAACGCAGGAAAGACTCTACCACTTTTTAGACTAGGCTTTTCTTTTTAAACGGCTCGATTTCAATGTAAGGTGTTATAAACCAAAAAGAATTCTAATTGGAAAAATTAGCTATTTCTTTTTTCTGATACTATCTCAGCGAATTATCATAAAAGAATAAAACAAAGTACTTAAATAGCTAATGTAATAAATAGCTAATTTTTTCCCAATTAGAATTCTTTCTGATTTAAAACACCTTACCATAGAATTTTTAAAACATAAAGCGGTTCCTAAAAGCTGTTCCTCACCGGTCTTTAACAAACCTCGGGTAAAGAATGAAACTTTTAGGATAAGCACTGAGACATTCAATTAAAGACGGTAAATGCACTTTATTTTTTCGGGCTGTTGCTAGATAATCTGTCCAATTTGAAAAAAAATTCTGGGATTTCTAAACACTGTAGAATCAGTCGTTTCCTGTTGATGTTTCTGTCCTCCTCGATTCAATCTAGTAGAGCGAAAAGATGATTGATTTCAACAGAACAGAAAGCTCTTTGAACTTGCACCGTTTTTCTGGACGACGCCTTCAGGCCATGCTGGGGTCACTAGCAACAAAAAGGCAGTGTCGTTTCCAAGTTCACCCTTTGTTCCATTAATACCTATACATATAAAAGACTCTTACATCTTAGACTAGGTCAAATTCTTCTCTCCTCGATGCATGCTTTATACGTGATTGGTGGTATGGGTGGTAACATTCAGGCATTGTGACAAAGAATGGCACATCAAATATCAAGTGCTACGTTTATTTTGTTAAAGTGCATATGACACGAAAATTTTTATTCGCTTAAATCATCAAAGAAACATCGCTGGTAACGATGGTGAACTTAGTTTTTTCATTTGCGACTTACTTTCCCCAAAAAACGGGTTTTTCCAACACCCACTCGAGCTAAAATGTGTCACAAGAAAAACGCGGTCGAACCTGTGATCACGTGACCCCTGTGACGTAAAGTGGTTGTGTATCCGTTGAATAGAACAAGGCTTCTGTATGGTTTCACTATGTGCGGGCACTACTGTTGTCCCCCTAAAGATTCTTTTTCTCCATAATTGTAATAAGTTTTATTTAGATAACTCAAGCAATGCCATCAAAGGTCGGAAAGTAATTTAGAAAATTTTTTTGATTCATTATAAAATTGATAAAAATTGAAATAAAGTGTTGTGCATGACTTTATGGAACGGATACCCCCTTGAGGAAGATACCGTTGTGCTTGACTGCCATCCTGGAAAACCTGCCCCAATAGAAGTTCGGCGCTTGGCATTACTTATTAAAAATGCAGCGTATTTTTCCGACTGATTTTTCCCGTACATTTCCCTCTCCTCCTGGTTTTGACACCGAAAATACCAAAACATTTTTTCGACGTGATGCTCTACCCTCAGTTCGCAAACCAAAACAGGACAAAGAACGAAGCAAGAATGAAAAAAGCATGGTGAGTAATAAGTTTCCTATTGTTTTTTTATAACTGCCTAACAACGTTCTATTGTGTAACAGCTGAGATACGTTATTGGTAATGACTCTACAACACCGGGGGCACTCGCTTAATGGAAAAAAGGGACTCCTTGTCTCTCACCGTTTGGGTCCATATCACCGTTTTTATTACATAAAAATAACCCAAATAATCAATTTTGCAGTTTTTTTTAAACCATTTAAACAAATGTAAACTACTTCAATATTTTATACAAAAGCGAAAAAGGTTTTGGAAACTAAAAAAGCAGGGGGTTGGCAACCCAAGAAATATTTAAGAAGCAGGGAAATGATATTCTATGGGATAAAAATTCAAAATGCAAGTGAGAATCGATTAACAATAAACAGAAGTCATCAAGTAAAAAACATGATATAAAAACTTTCAATTAAATCACGGAGTCGTTTCTGTATAACAGAAATAGTGGTCTTTGACCTGGTCAGCCTTGGTCAAAGACCAAAAAATTAATCTTGGATCATGTTTGTTGTTAAATGTAAACATTGAAATTTGTATTCCTCGTTCTTCACAGGCAAGCAGCGTTAACGGAAGCTCTGCACAGATGGAGTTGCTTTGGCATCAACAAGGTTTTGAATCTCTCAGAAGTTCTGGAATTGAAGTATCTACGTTTGTCTCTGACAGACACCAAGACTGTATGCCATTGCACAGAGATACCTATTGAACAAAAACATTGTATGACTTAATATAATGGTTGATTTGAGTTTCTCTTACATTCTTTAGAATCGGCAGGATCCTAACATTACATATATATTTTATATGTATATGGTATACTTATTTCTGCCAGATTTAATGAAAATAAAATATTAAATTTACTAATTCTAAGAATTGAAGGTGCCAAACAGAATTTGTATTTCTAGACAGTATAACTTTTACAGTATAGCAACTAGACAGTATTTGTATAACTTCTTCTTCATTCGCCCATACAACGCAATAGGCCAGGCCGCTATGATCAGGGAATGGTGGCCTAAAAACAGCAGAGATGTACAGGGAATACTGAATTTATAACACTAAAAAACACAATGACAACTTATTTCACTCACCATTGACTCAAAGTAATAATTCCTCGCCATCGATCACGCAGTTGAGATTTTTGAATTCCATCTTCGTCCTCTGCCAGGTCATGAAAGCTTCGAGCCATGCCAGCTTCGCCTAGTTCCGCGTCTGAATTATCCGCAGAAAAAGACTGGTTTGTTCTTGCAAGGCAAAAATAGCCCATCAGCAGCACCTAAAAGCTATTCCCCTTCACTTTCGTCAAAAGCTGACGCCCTCGAGCTTGAATATTTGCCGTGAGACATGTTCATAAACTCGCAAGTAAAACTCCGCCGTATAATTTCTTGTTAGTTAGCAATCTAAATTGGTCAATGATTGTTAGGATGCATCAAAACCACCGTACGAGAATTGCATCATTTGAGCACTGAGCCTCATTCTCGAAACATTTTCAGCAAAAGCTGCCTTCAGGGATGTCTTTAAGTCATTCGGGGCAGTCATAGTTCTTTTTTGGCAGGAAACCTTTTTTCGGTAGGATGGGACTGTAATAGGGTCAGCTTTCGCGTTATTATTATTAGAATATGATTTATGTGCATTTAGGCCCTTCACATATCGAACATCGCATAGGAGTACCGTAAATTATCTAATTAAGCCCCGTCTCTTATTAGCCCCCCTGTTCAGAAGGAAAAAATTATGTAGCCCCCCTCTCAATTTAGCCCCCCCAATTTTCACTTATGCTGAAATAAGTAAACTTGACAAAAGACAAAGATTTTCATTTTATTCATTGGTCGTTCAATACTTCGCATCAAATCAAAATTCACTATGTCTCTTCCAGTCTTGTTGGAACAGAGGACAAAGATTTAATGTGCATTAAGCACGGGCCATGTGAGAGCCTTTTACCAAAATTACAGACCGTTGGTACTCCGAGGGATGAAGTCGACCTTTTCGAATGCTCGATTTCAGAAGGCGACCTGGCCCAAGAAGATATTTCAGAATTAATACTTGATGACGATGACGATGACAATATTATTGATAAAGAAGGCTGATCTGATGTTTTTATTTCGCAAATAACAAATACGGTTTTTATTAAGAAATATCTATTAAGCCCCCTCTCTCAATATACCCCCTCTTTCATAAGCCCCTCTTTAAAGTGCTGAAAACAATAAGAGAATTTACGGCACACTAATTTTTTTATAAGAACAATTTTATAACAACACGAGCCTCAAAATTGGTCAAAAGTTAAGAACAAATTAAGAACAAGGTGAGGCTGAGCTTCGGCAAAGTGCAATTTTGAACAACGTTTTTTCTCAAAATCGAGGATTTTTAGCGATGTGCGGGTGCTTTTCGGTGAATATTCAAATTTGTCAGCAAATTAAAGCTGTCTCACTAACTATTTTGGCAAATGAGGCCTGACTACCTCCCTAGAGCGAAAAAGCTAGCACTCGCACTGCTTACACCCTATTACGTAGATTAAGAACAAATTAAGAACAATCCAGCCCCAGATTTTCGAAAAAATTAGAACAGTCTGCCTGAACTTAAATTCACTGGTTCTTATAAAAAAAGATTGTATTTGCAGACGCATCATTACGCATATTACGTAAGTTATATTAGTGTGCTAGTAGTTCCTCATCACGCTTGACGTTGGCAACTGTGCGTGACGCAGCATGCCTATCTTTTGTCTTAGGATTTACCCTGCACAAGATTTTCTGAGGTAATGGTATTCTTTTATCGTCGATTCTAAAAGACTGAACACTCTAAGAACAGACTGAACACCCCATGAACACCCCAAGAACACCCTAAGAACAAGCTACTAAGCGGCTGAACACCCTTTAAAACATATCAAAATCGGCATATCATTCGAAAAATAATTTGGTAAGTCAATCGAAATTAATCTTGGGGCGGGAAAGGGCCTGATAAGTCCAATGCTGTTGGTGTTGTTACAACCAACTGATGTTTTGCACGCCAAAAGTGTGAACGGGGGTTTGTAGATGCGGAGCAAATTCGAGTTTGACTCCCTTTGTGCATTCAAGCAATTTCCCGTTGTTTTCATATCTTTCACATCCAGTGACAATGTCACTTGACTACCTATTGTCCTCCAAACAATTGTTCTTCCCATCCGCTAATTTGCCCAAATGGCCACGGCATAGAATAGAAATTAAAACTATGATGTGGTCACGATATGCTAGTGCACGCTAGCTTGTTAGTGCAAGCAGAAGGAGACACACACCTCCTCTCTTGTTGTGTTGTCATTCTCCAGGCAGTGACGTCACCAGCTGGTGCACTCGCAGGCCCAATTCCTGGATAGGATTTTTGAAAGGAATTTTTGTCAAATGAAACAGAAAATGCACAGTGCAGGACTTGTTAGTCGTCGGTTAAAGCACAATTTTAAGGGCTTTTGTCGGAAAATTTGCTTGTTTTTGTCGGTGTTGCGGTTCCTCTCAGCTCCCTAGGCAACTAT